ACCTACACTGTTGTTCTCCTTACTTTTAGGTTAGAGATGGTTAATGGGGATGGGGATACTATTATGGATTAAGGGTTTAGGGTTAAACTTTTTAGGGTTTAAGATTATCACTCTACTTATTGTTAGATTGAGATCAAGCTTTATGTGGAGGCGCTTGTTTCTGTAAAGAAACGCTTAAGCGCGCATTACTAGCTTAAGCGCGTCATTGTAGCTTAAACATTTCTTTGTATACGTATTTTTCATTTTTCTGAGTATTAAGATTTGTTACTTTACAGATATGGCTCCTAAAAAATCAATTCCACAGAGAAATAAGTAACGTTCAGATGTTGAAGAGGCTTCACAACATGTACACCAGAGAGCAACTCATAATGATAAATCTCCAACACAACTAAGCCCCAATCAGCAACTTACCTTTGACAGATACAGGTTCTTCAGTCGAGCCCATTTTAGAGATATTTGGAATTACACGCAAGGGAACTTCTGCCTGAAAGGAAAATTATTTTGGAGGAGGGACAATTTGCTAAATTTACAGAAGAACTTTAGAGGAGAAAATGAAATACATTGGCTGACCCACCAAATAAAATTGATGAAGACACAGTGAAGGAGTTTTCTGCCAATGCATGACCCTTGCACCCAAAAAAATCTGAGAAGAAGTCTTGCTTTAGAAGGACATTCATCTCCTATGATATGGATGCTATCAATGCATTGTTGGGAAACCCCCTCACCTTACAAGAAGGGCAGTTGTGCGAATACCAGTAGAGGAGGCGTCTGACCACAGGATTTAATGATGATGATGTAGCAAGGTCCTTATAAATTCCCAACAAATCATATGAAACTATCTATCAAGGCAAGCCAATGAGGTTCAAAAGAGGGAATTTGAAGACATTGACTCAAATATGGGTGTCATTTCTCTTTGCAAACATTGTTCCAACCACTCACACATCAGATCTTCGCATGCATCAGGCTTAACTTGTCTTCAACATTATGGAAAACCTTACAATTGACATTGCAATTGTGATCTTTGAGGAGATTCACCATCTTGTTATGTTTACCAACTCCCTTATTACATCTGCAACAAAGCCTTTGGGCTTCCCGGTATTAATCACTGCTTTATGTGCTGCCCAAGGTGTTCAGATACCAAACAATCCAGCACAAAATCATAAACAACTATTGCATTAACCCATTGGACCAGCCACAACCACATCTAGCTTCTGATTCTTCTTCATCAACACCACCATCAGCAGAACCATCCATCCCCAAAATGACACCCATGGAATGGCGTATCACACAACATCTAAATCAAATACAACAACAAATGGAGGACAACAATCAGGCATATACACACATACACTACCAGATGGTGGCAAACCATCGAGCCTACGCTAGCCTTAATGAATCTTTCTATCACTTTATCCTACACCAGCATGTAAGAGAGACTTCAATATTCCATGGCCAACCCTAGAAGATTTTGCAGCTATAGTGTCATGGCCCGGAGACACATCTTCCTTCCCAAATGAACCTAATGCAAATCATGAAGATGGTGGACCACAAGGAGATGAAGCAAAAGAAAGGGGAGAAGGAAGGCGAAGTAGAAGAAAGGGAAGCACAACTTGATCATAAAGATGGTGATGGGAAAGGAGACCATGTGGAGGATGACCAGCCTATTCATGATAATATTGCTTTAGAAGATGCATGAACACTTTATTTTTTCTTTATTTCCTTTTTAAAGTTTAGATTTTAGTTTATGTTTGGAGTTAGTTCACACTGTAAAGTTTCAAGGACCTATTTAGTTTGTTGCAGCTAAAGTATGGAATTTCACTTTATTTATAAATATCTAAATTTCTTTCAATTTGATTTCTCTTTTATAATTTGTTTAACTTTTTTACTAAATAAACCCAACAAATTACCTTATAAATTAAAACGTCACATACACTAATCATTTTATTTCGTTTTGCCAAAAAGAATTATGTAAAGGACAAATGTATTTTATTTTCAGAAGTGATGTATTCATGTCTGTCAATTTAAGTTGTTGTTTTTTAGTTTTCCTGCATATTCGGTTAAGTCCCCCAATACTTGCTCAAGCTCACAATGTTCGCTTAAGCTACATCGTATTCGCTTAAATTGGTATTGATTCGCTTAAGTCATTTTGTAATAGCTTATTCATGAATGATAATTGTGATTTTTTAGTATATTTTATTCATATTTCAGGAAAAAGGATAAAGAAGTGAGAGCTTAAAGAATATTCAGAATTGAAGTAAGAAACGAACTGGAGATATACACAGCCAAGTACACGCCCGTGTACATGAGCATGTATCTCACTGGTTGCATCAATCAAGTACATAATCAGAGCCAGAGATATACATGGGCAAGTACACGCCTGTATATATGAGTGTTTATCTTATTGGTTGCGTCAATTGAAGTACATTATCAAAATCAGAGATGTACACGGTCAAGGTACATGGCCGTGTACATAAGCGTGTATTATTCAGAAAAGCTTTCAAGGCAATTTTTAGAGACCAAAGATGTACACGGTCAAAATATATGGTTGTATACATGGGGTGTGTACTTTTAACTTATGTCAGAATTAAACTTCTGCGACAAGATGAGCCCTGAGACCACTCATATAAAAGAAAACTTGGCACAGAAACCTATGAGGACTGCATTTTTGGGAAAGAAAGAGTTAGTGACGCTGGGATGATGCAATCAAGATCTTTAATTTATTTCTTTTGTAATTGTAGTTTCAACATGTTTAGGTTTTAATTTTCCTTTGAGTATCTATGCGCAATGAATCCTATTTGACCAAACCTTCTGGAATTTTTCTTAATGCTATTTCATGTTCTCTTCTTTTGGGTTTAATTGAGTAGTATTAATTGTCTCATATCTTATTTTCTTGTTTGATTTTGAGTAAAAATCTTGCATAAAATTACCATTGCTCAATTAAAAGGACTTGAATGTATTTATAGAGATAGAAAGACATGAGTTTTCTATATTAGGAATAACCCTAATTATGTAATTCATAATGAACTTAATGCAACCTAGAGAAACTAATTAAGGAAGAGATTCCAATTAATCAACTGAAGGTTAGGAACCATTATTCTTAAGAAAGGTATTGGTTTATTTCAGAAATTCTTCCAGCAACAAGGGACTAGAACTAAGTAGTTGAAGGAGAATTCCAGTTATTTGGACATTTAGGAGGATTTACAATCTATATATACTTACTTATTTCTCTTGAATACACTTAGTTCATGTGGATACGACACTTGATACTCCAATTTTCGCAATATTACTATAACAATGGGTGCACTTACCCAGTAATCAATTTTTACACACCATTTATTAGTTCAAAAGAGCATTTTCTCTGCATTATTTTTTATGCAATTTTTACTCAAGTTAAAGCATGTTCGCTTAAGCTATTGGTTTATCCATTTAAGCCAGTTTGTAATCCTAGGAGGTAGGCTTAAGCCATTAAGGTATCGTTTAAGCCCATTATTTACTCACTTAAGCCTTACAAATGTGAGTTTAAGCCCACAACCCACCAGCTTAAGCGAATGAAAAATCGCACGTGCAGTTCCCACGTCAACTGCATTGGATATGTATACAAAATTTACATGATAGTCGACTGAAATCTTTAAGTTTCAACTACCTGTACATCATCTCATCATGACATTCTTAACTTTTATAACAAAGTGTTAAGTCTAAACTTTATTAGACGCATAATGCATATTATATCAATCAATGTATTTTCATATCAAACAATTGTAGTATCAGATATACATGACAATAAATATATCTCAATTAATGGTATTTGTGTATAAGAAAATAAATTTTTGATATAGGTACACAACTAGATAATCATATACTCTTGTTCTTGGTACACAACTTTTATTGACTTTGCTATTTGAATGTTTTTTAGCAAAATATCACCCACATTGAACCACTATATGTATAAAATGTTCAGCATTTAATAATAGCAATACATTTAATTATATGTCTTTTAATATTTTTTTATATATAACTTCTTATCTTATACTTGTACATATTAAAAATATTTTAATATAAAAATAACATTTATGGTATTTTTTATTAACAATATATAAATTTTATCATTTACTGTAGACAAAATTTAACCATAATAATATTAAACAAACTTAACTAAAAAAATGGAAAATAAACACAAGAAGAGGAGAGGAATAAAAAAGAATTAAGTTACACACAATAGTAGATAATACCTATTAATTTGATAAAAAAATATAAAAATTTTGTTTTGTGTTTTCAATGACTATTTATACTTTATAGTTATGCTTACACAAAAATAGTCAAATATAATTATTTGTTAATTTTTTTTATAAATACACTATTAAACATCATTGTTAAAAAAACTAATGGACGTCGTAACAGTTATATAAAAAATAACATGTAAAATAATGTTTATTTCATTTAAAATAAATGTGGCGATTCAATCGTAGAGACATTCGACTCCATGAAGGTCACCCATCTCATAGAAAGTCCTCACTCCTCCATGTCAGTATCAACTAGAAATCTTATTCAAGACATAGAGTCCATATCCCTCGTCAAGCTCACGAAGCTGCAGATTACCTGGCTAAATTGGGAACCTACCATGACTAAATTTATCAACAAAATCAAATGATTAAAAGAATGAAAGAACCACAATACGAGAACTAAAAATATATCGTGCCTGACAAATGCTCAATCTATCGTCTTATCTTTTTTCAAATCTTATATTTTATTTTCTCATTTTCTAAATTTTATTTTAATATTTTCTTCGTGTCACTTCAATCTGCCCTTAAACTCTTAAAGCTAATCATTTATAATTTTAACATATTTGTCTATACATTTTTTTTATCACAGTAAAACACAACCTTGCATTGAAAAGATAAATTTAACAATGTAAATATTTATTATTATTAATTTACTACCATGACGTAAAAATAACACGAGACAACGAGGCGTAAGTATACTAACTTACGTCAAACGTCTTGGTTGCGTAGTATCTGCTGGTTGAAAAATATCTGGGTAAGGAAAAAAAAAAACTCCTGATCCAGTTGATAATATTGTCTGGATAATGGATCCGAATTAAATCCGACCCGATCCATAGAGGTTGCTGCGGTGGGTAAAGTTGGGAGACAGTGGCGGCTATAGTGGCAGTCGAACAGCGCAGCTACAACTGAGAGAGTTAACGATGAAGCTCTTCTCATGGACGGTGTTTGCCGTAGCAATAGCATCGTTATCCCTTATTCCACATCCTTGTTCATCGTTCCAATGGCAGATCCTCACAAAGCACAATTTCTCTTCTCAGATCCGACTCCATCCTCACGTCCTTCTTCTCGTCACCGTTCCCTGTAATACTCTTCATTTCTTCAACTTATCAACATTACCTCGAAGAAGATTGCGTCTTGCGTTGCTTTGGTCTTAATGTGTTTGATTTTGAATCGCAGGGTCTGGCGAGTCTCGATCCCTTATGAAGGACTTGTCACTCGTAGTTGCCGATAAACCTCAGGAGTTTGGCTCTTTAAAACTCATGTTGATGCATAGAAACAGTGAGAAAATGCTCGCAGATTCTGTAGGTGCTACTACTGATGAAATAACGGTGATTTATTTCCATTATTCTGTATCTTACAAGTACCGAGGAAGATTCAGAGCTCAAAATATATTGTCTTCGTTGTATTCTTATATATCCCTTGCGCCCGAGGAGGTTCCTCTCAAAGCCCTTAACACTCCTCTAGATTTCAGATTATTCCTCGATTCAACTGATAAGGCTCTAGTTCTCATTGATTTTTGTGGATGGACACCTAAGTTGCTCGCCAAAAGTACCAGAAATAATGCAACACAAAATGGCTTTACGGTGCTTGGTGAGTCTAAATTAATGAATATGACGTTTGGTAATGCCTATCTTATTTAACTTTTGCTTGCTTATTTCAGGAATCATTTGTATGACATTGATAATAGCGTGTAGTTTATGTGTATTATGTTATTTGGAGATTGGAATGTCTTAATGGTTGTGTTGTAGCACTGATCAGAAGGTGAGACGATATTAGTTTGTGGGAATTTTGCTTGCAGGGGATGATCACCTTGGAACGAGTTTTAGCGGAGGGGATGAGAGAATGCAAGTGTCAAGGGGGAAGACTAACAAGAAGGTGGCTGGTATTATCTAAGTGCATTACTATGTGAAAATCTTGGGCTTTAATAATAAATTCAACATTTCATTGTTTACTTTTTTTTCCAAATTATCAGAGGACACGTGCAAGGTGGAACTTGGCATTGATAAAGGGTTTTGTAAAGCTCCTTGGCTGGGGGAATTTACCTCAGTAAATTATGGTCCTTTGGAGGGCTCTGCCTGTTCATTTGATGAATTTGAGCGTTTTCATTCTTTCTACTTGAAATTCATGACTGCTGTGAGAGAATTCTTTTTGCCTCCGGAACGGCATAGATTTGGCTTGGTTTCAGATAGGTCGATGCTTTCATCACTGGGTGTTGGTGATTCTGGTCCATGGTTTGCAGTTCACTACCTGGCTGGATGTGCAAGTTGTTCAAATATTCTCAAAAAAGAGGATGACTTGAACTATGTTTTGCAGATGAATAGTTATTTTGTCATAGAGGTAAGTAAAATCTTTCTAACTTTTGTTCTATGTTCTGCAGTGCGTGTCATGTTGTTATATTCATTGCTTTTGTATCCTAGATCTAAGCCCATCTCTGATTATTGTTGAGAACTAGTTTATTTAACTGATATAGACACACCGCCAATACACAAACATCCATCTTTCTTTCAATTAATTAATCTATTTTTGGGACTTACACTGTTTTGTTTGTCACCATTTAGCTGGAAAGTAGTGGACATGATCAAGAGCCCATTCTACCAGCAAAAAAGCCATCAGTTCTTCTATTTGTTGATAGATCATCTGACTCCTCAGAAACTAGGAGGAAAAGTGAGGAAACTCTTAAATCTTTTAGAGTGTTGGCACAGCACTGTCTTCGTGTGAATCAAACGGGTGAGAATAATAATGATAATAATGAGAAAATTTCTATCCAAGAATACCGTGGCTTCAAGAGTACATATGAGCATCCTAGGTTAAAGCTGTCTGTGACATCTCAGAAGATTAAACTAAAGGAGAAGATTTCTTCCATCGTGATTGTAAATGAGGGTAAGCAAGTTAGATTGGATAATGTAGCTTCTGATTTACAAGGTAGTTCTTTGAATGAGATATTGGGTTATCTTCTCCAGCAAAAGAAGGATAGAAAACTAAGCTCCCTGGCAAAGGATTTAGGTTTTGAACTTTTATCTGACGACATTGATATTGGGTTAACTGATACACAACAATCACATTCAGAAGTTCAATCAAATCAAGTTTCAACAGAAACTTCTCAAGAAGGCCATAGAGACACTGTAATGCAGGATGGAGATCTGCATAGATCTGCTGGAGATCATGAGCAAAATCCCAAATTGACTGTGTTATCTTCTCAGCATGATGAAGTGAAGAGACCTTCTATTGTCACAAGTGAAGAGATAAAATCTGTGCAATCTGAAGAATCCATTGCAGATCATGAACGGACTGCCAAAGTTTTGAGACCAGAAACAGATGATTCCTTAGGTGGAAACACGTATAGTGGAGAACAGGCTCATTTTCTTGGTTTTAGTGGTTCTTTTTTCTATTCTGATGGTAACTACCAATTGCTTAAAAGACTCACTGGTGGTTGTAAAATTCCATCTTTGGTCATAGTTGATCCCTCCCAGCAGCAACATTATGTTTACCCTGAAGAGAGAAGTTTCAACTTCTCTTCACTGTATGGTTTTCTCTCAGAATTTCTTAATGGGACCCTACTTCCATATCAGCAGTCAGAGCATGTTCTTCGAGGCCAAAGGGAGGCCACCCATCCACCATATGTTAATTTGGATTTTCACGAAGTGGATTCTGTACCTCGAATCACAGCTTATACTTTTTCTGAACTTGTTATCGGTTTTAACCTTTCTAACAAAGAAAATACTTCTAATGCATGGAATAAAGATGTATTGGTATTGTTTAGTAATAGTTGGTGTGCATTCTGCCAGAGAATGGAAATGATTGTCCGGGAAGTATATCAGGCCATCAAGGGCTATGTGGATATGTTAAAGAAGGAATCTCTGAACGTGAGAAATATCTCTGATCATGGTAAGATTGTGTGTGTGTGTGTGTGTGCATACTTCTCTCTGTCTGTACACTCTACAACCACATGTTTCACCCAGTTACAATGCTTGTTTAGGATATTTGTTTCTGAAAGTTTTGCCATGTCTTGGTTTCTCTAAATAGAGAGATGCTTGTGTTTTTTCTTTTAGTAAACTGGTGGTTTCCCTCAATACTGGCAATTAGCTGTTCTTGTCTCTCTTCTGCTCGTTGTTCCCACCAACTGCTTGAGACTATCAAATTATTGTTACTTGATAATGGAATGTTAGTTTTCACTTGTAATTTGTATATGATTTTGACTCTGCACATCTGATCGGAACATGAATCCCATCGGTTCTTATCCTATTTGGTGGACTTGATTGATGTTGGATGATGTTATTTGAATTGATTTTGGAAGAAGTTCCTGATAAATGGTAGATATGGTCTCTGAAAGTTTGACAATCGATCATCACATGGCAGAAAATTTGGATTATGTTACAATGAAGCTTCCGGTAATCTACTTGTTGGATTGCACATTGAATGACTGTGACTTAATACTGAAGTCAGTAGATCAGGTACTCATGGAACTAAGTTTTCCAGTCCTCCAGTTTTTCACTTTCTTACATCTATCATGTATTGTTGTCACACTTTTCCTGAATCTTGAGTTTATTAGTGGTTGTATTTAACTATTTATTTGGCAATATGTTGCTCATCTCTGTCATTATTGTCTGATCAAATCAAGATGATGGATTGTTGATTGGTGCTTTTATGAAAAAATTTAGAATATTGGGCTAAAATGATGCTCTGCTCTGCTTTTAGCCAGAAAAATAAAAATGTTTCAAATGATTGAAGCTCGAATTGTCAATCATTGTTTTTGAACCTGAATCTGATTTCTTAAAATGGACAAGTCCAACTAATTTAATCAGTTCAAATACGAAAAATGAAATCCAGTTAGCAGGGTCATCATACTAATTTTCATTCAGTGGATATTTGGAATATCAATGAAAGGAATCCTTTCTGCCTAGAACATCTACAAGAATTAAATGACATCAATGTCTTTTTGAAAGTTTTCTCTGCTTTGTTAACAACTCTTGAAGCAGTAATTTTCATGCACAACTGTTGCTTAGTTATGTTTGTATATTTTATATGTGGGAAGTATGGATCAATTAGAATAATAAAATTTGAGATGAGATTGATTAAAATGCATTGCAAAGACTAGAGGAATGTTCAGATGTTTATTTTATTTTTGTTATCAGTGGATACCATGAAGAAATATGATGGATGTCATCTATGATTTATTTGAAATAACATTGCATTAAATAGTGAATTGTCTGGCCCACCAATTTGAAATGTTATGCAGTTGAAAGTTTTGGACACTACAGCCATTTGTATATAGTCTCTGGTTAATACTGTTGGTTGTACTTCTTATATGCAGAGGGAACTTTATCCTGCTCTGGTTTTATTTCCAGCGGAAACGAAGAAACCTCTATTTTATGAAGGAGATATGTCTGTAATTGATGTTATAGAATTTGTGGCTGAGCACGGGAGCAACTTTCATCATCTTGTTAGAGACAAAGGTAAACATTCATGTGTGATATACTATTGTTGTATATATAGTTTATCAAATAGCATCTGAATCAAATATTGTTATGTCAAACTTGGATCACATACTTTCTCATTATCATCATCACATGACTCATCCTCATTTCATGTCCCTTTTGATTCCTGATACCTACTTGGAGTTATGAGGTTCCATTCAAGCTTCAGATGGACTTGACTAGTCGAGTCCGTAGACTTGTGGCTACTAGTGTATCTTCTATGCCTTCTGCTTCTTATAGCACATCATTTTTTAATTCCCTGTCTTCTGTTTCTTCAAACTTAAAACATTTACTATGGTAGTCTGACTTTATTCTCGACTTTGTTTCTTGGTTCCAGTAGCAGGTTTGTGGCGATCTGAAAGAGTAGTCAAGAATCAGAACTTATATGATAATTTGCAAACTGAAATACATGAGGAGTCACTTCATACACTCAACAAATATCATGGATCCCCTGGTCAAGACCGAATGCTGGACCAGGTGGTCAGACCTAACCTGATGATGTCACCACTGCATGAAACATTGCCTCACGTGGTGATTGGTTCAGTGCTAATTGCCACAGAACAGCTTTTGGGGGTTCAGCCATTTGATGGATCAAAGATTCTCATTGTTGCAGCCGATCAAACAACCGGATTTCAAGGTCTTATCATCAACAAACATACAGAGTGGAGTTTTCTGCCTAAATTGGAAGAAGGCTTGGAAAAATTGAAAGAGGCTCCTTTGTCCCTTGGGGGTCCAGTTGTGAAAACAGGAATGCCTCTTTTATCCTTAACTAGAGCAGTTTCTGAAAATAATTTACCTGATATCCTGCCTGGAATTTACTTCCTTGATCATGTAAAGACACTTCGTAAAATTGAGGAGCTGAAGTCAGCAAATCAACCAATCGGTGATTACTGGTTTTTCTTGGGGTATTCGAGTTGGGGATGGAACCAGCTATATGATGAGATGGCGGAAGGAGCTTGGAACTTGAGTGAGGATGCACTAAGACATCTCAATTGGCCGTGACTGCCATTTATTAACCATCTTTACTGTACTAATAACATTTTTTATTCCTTTGTTAATTATAGAAATCTAGTAATTTACAAAGAAATGGAAGCTTATGTGGTACAAAATGACACTCGGCATACGGGATTCATTAAAAGGCTAGGGGCCGCAAAATTAGGAAAAATAGTGTGGGCTTGGGGTTAGTAAGGGTATGTTTGATTATTGTTTTAAAAACAATTTTCAGTTTTTAAAAATAAAATATAATATAAATTTATATTAAATTTTATTTTTAAAAATAGAAAATTATTTTTAAAAACGAAAACAAACACTCTCTAAGTCGTCCGAAAACATTGTTTAGAACTGGTTCCTTAAACTCACCATGTGTGTAAAGATGCCCATTCGGAGGAGAAAATGAACAAAATGGTTGAATTGTCTGTATGAAGCTATGTCCTGCATTAATTAACGTGAGAAACATCTGTATGCAAAATCAGTTCAATTAAATCACTGTATGGGATTGATGACTTTGTAAATTAGTTTAACAAAGTAGCTGATGTGTACTGGTGGAATTTGTCACAGGTCAGGCTGAGTTTAGCTAGAAGCTGTGAAATAATTGCTAAAGTAAACTACAACTATCCACTATACGGCAATTTAAATTAAAGGTTATAAAATAACAAAATAGTAACTACATATTTTCTGACTTCATATGAAGTAATAGATTGGCTATGTGTAATATAAGCCTCTTAAATTTTGTAGTTAATGCCCTTGTTTATGCGTTTGAGAAACATTCTAGATTTGATTTATAACTAAAGTTATTTGTTTGGAATATTACATAATAGAAATTGAAAATTTTTAATTCAAGTTGTGAATATTTTAAAAATCTACTTGAATTTGGTTGAATTTGAAAGCATATGATTTAGATCCAATTTAGATAAATTTCAAGAGAAATTCTTAAGAGCAGCGTAAAAAATTGAATACAATTTTTCTTATATGTTAGAAACAATTTCTCTATTTTTTTATTTAAAAAATCTTATATATGTTTATTCAAGTTGAACCTTAATTTAGTTTTGATTATTTGAGTGATAATTTTGTTCCTGTAAATTTATCCATTTTACATATTCTAAATAAAGGTAACGAGAAGAGTATTGGAAAAACACTTTCTAACACACTTATTTTTTTAAAAATATTTTTATTTATTGACTAAAATTTATTAAAAATTATAAAAGTATAAAAAATATTATAAAATTAAGAGTGAGAGTCACATAATTTTAATAAATTTTATTTAATAATTAAAAGCATTTTAAAAAAGTATATTAAATAATGTGTTGTCAGCATTTCTCAAGATATTAAATAAGTCCTTACAACATATAGTTTTTTTTAATTTGTCCAATGACACATGTTAAAAATTTAAAATAAAAAAGTATTTAATGAAAATAAAAATATTTAAAGTACATTTATTTGCACTTTTTAAAAAAATTTAAATAAAAGAAATAAGTATATATTTTTATTTTAAAAGAGAAAACTCTTTTTACAAATACAAACAAACATGCTCTTATTATCCCAAAACATGCTCTTATTATCCCAAAGTTATTAACAACATTCAATACATATTTTTTTATGGCAATTTAAAACAATTAATGGAGTGTCTTTAATGCTTTTAGTATGTGTTCTTGGACCCACGTAAGACAAGATTAGTTCAATTCATTTATTATGTTTTTAAGCATGAATTTGATTTTCAAATCAATTTCAACAATATATTTTTTAACATAAAATTAATTTATAAACCAAAATAAATTATTTTTATATTTTCAAAATGATGAAATAGTTATGGTAAAAAATTAAAATGAAATTAGACGCTCTTATTTGATTATGATAAAATACAAAATAAGATATAAGAATTAAATAAAAACACAATAGGATAAAAGTATAATAATTTTTTTTTTATATTTGATACAAGTTAAAACAATAAATTAAATATAATTAATTTTTTTTTAATTTTTAGGTTTAAACAGTATTTTCATCCTTATATTTAACTTACATTTGTAAGTTAGTATTTATAGGTAAAAATTTTGTAAATCAATTTTATACATATATTATTCTTGATTTATTCTCTAAAGTTACAGTTAAACTAAACAACGTTAAATAAACTTTCTTGTATTGACAACATTTCTCTTCTTGGTTCACTTCAAGGTTTTCAAATTATGTTTTAGCAAAGTATACAAAACAAAATTAACAAGAAAAAACCTTAAATGTTCTCTTGCATTTTTCAACTAATACTTTAAGTTGATTAACCAATTAATGCACCATTTTTTTTTCAGTTCAAAATCAAATACATCATTATGAATCTAACAAGAAACCTCAATTATTTGTTTGCAATATTCACATCTTGAAACAACTCCTCCTTAAAATACTCCTGAGTCAACATGACTTCATAGAATATATATGACAGATAATTTGCATCGCTTGTGTCCATGTACTACCCAAAATACAATTGTTTAATGTGAGATGCAATCTCCTATCTCCTAAAGCTTTAACAAAAACTTAGATTTTTTTGTGGAAGCAGGGGATGGGTAATGTGAAAGTGTGTTAATAAATAAAAATGGAAAGATAAATGAATAGTGGTAAAAAAATTAGGAAAAAGTTTTACTGAAAAAGATAAGATTTAGGGTAACATAAATCTTGAAGTTCTTGCATAAGAATGAACGTCAACATTATGATGAGGTTTGTCATGCTAATTATCTTTCTTTCTACACAGCATATGATGCTAAGCATTTGTTGCATCTCTTTGCTATGCTTATTTGTTAGCCACCACTAGACTAGTTTATTACATGAAGGATTTCAAGTTCGATTTTTCATTAGTTTGTTATGACTTTCATTTTATCATTGTACTAAGTTGTAATAATAATACAAATTGTGGGTATGCATCCAAAATCGTAGAGAAAACAAATTCAACTAAAAGCAAAAAACTTTTAAGTAAACATCAATTTAAAAAAAGTAGAACATTGTTAATATAAGAGGATTTATTTAAACATTCTTTAGTATAAATGTAATAGCAATGCCTAAATTGAAATTAAATGTATGTATAAAGACTAATTTATAAATTATTTATATATAAAGACTAAAAGTTAGTCAAACATAGAGATAAAAATATCAGTTAAACTTAATTTTTTAAAGATAAAATTTATTTTACTCCTATAATTAAAAAGTTTTGGTACCTTCTCTTACAGAACAATCATCACCGTTAATTTTATATTAATAGATAACGAGATTAGTAATTTAGTTAAAAAAATATTAATATTTTCTAATTTTTAAAATATTAAAATAATCCCAACTGTTAATTTAAAAAGTATAAAATACTCTCACAAATTTATAAGTACTATAGTAAATACTTTTTTTTTAATTTAAAACTTTCCAATTTGACATGTTTATTCTATCTACTTAATAAATTCTCAAAATAAAAAAAAGAAATGAGAATAAATAATTAATTTGTTACGATCAATAGCTAATTAAAAATAGTTGCTATACAGTACATGTAAGCTTGAAAAAATATTGTACTCTTTTCAAAATTAACAAGTATAATTTTTTTAATATTTTTAAAAATATTTATATATTTTTAAATAAACCACTAAATTTATTTTTATTCGTATAAAATATAAAATTAAGTGTACTATTTATGAAATAAGGCACTACCGAATAAATTACTTTAAAAAATAACGAAAAAATCGGGTTTTTAATTTTTTTGGCAAAAGAATTTAGTTTTCGGTTCCCCTTCTAAAGGAACCAATCCGAACCGCATTTAATGAAAGCCAAATACCGTGCCGCCTCTGAGTTCTCCCAAATCGGTAAATCTGCGTCTTCCCATTCTCTCTCAGTTTGCAGTGTTCTCTCAATTTCTTTGTGCTTGTGCATCGTTGGGTCTCCTTTTCTTTGCCTTCGATCTCTGTGCTGTGTACTCTCCTCTCGACATCAATCAAGAGCACATACCTCAGCCCCTCATAGTCGCACACAGGTTCTTGCACCTTGACAATTTTGTTGTATCCTTATGTTTGGCTTCCTCAATTACAACAACTTATTCCTTCAGAAATTTTGTATATATGTAATGCAACAATTGAACACATTTGTTTCTACAATCTGAAGAGTGGTACTACAAATTATGCACTGTTGAGTTCTGAGATGAAATTTGTGAGAATTTAATGTTCGATCTGAAGAGTGGTATTTCACATGTAAGTTGTACTATTTTCAGTTTTAATGTTTGTTTTTTAGAATATATTTGTATTTGTGATATTTGAGATTCATTGTAAAAGGTTACGTGCATCAAAACCAATTTAACCGATCCAAGTCTGGTTGGGATATCAGGCTCTAACAGATCTTAACCAAACTGCATGTACTTTTTATGATAGGTTCGGATGGTTTGTTGTCTTAAAACCGAACCACTGCGGTTAATGATTTCTCCACTGTTTGATTATATTAACCATGTATCTGCGGTTTACATTTTGACGCATTATATTTCTATAGAACACACTGTTTCTATATCCTTTTTTATTCAGTCTCTCTCTCTCTTAATAGCAATAACCTGGTGTTGTAAAGAGAAAACTGCCACTCTATCTTCGCATAGGTTTTAGAAGTGTTTGATGGGTGTGGCGCTCTTCTCTCTGATGCACCAGCCAGCCTGATATGCTTCTATACGTATCAAAATTGAATACTAGTAGTAATCCCTTTTGTTTGCGTTTACTTTATGTGTGGGGTGATTGCATTATAGTTTGTTTGTAGGAATGTGGAATCGTGGATACTGAGTGCACACTCTTATCTCATGCAAATCCCCTTCGATTATATCATAGTTCTTTCGTTGTTTATTTTATTTTATTATTTTTTTAAATTTTGTCATGGGTGGATTGGTTCTGTGCCTTTGGATTCTTGTATTGTGCGACTGGTATACATTTGATTTGGTGCTTCTGGACTTAATATTGTATTGTTATAATTGGGATATAGTTTCTGAGCCTTCAAAATGAAGTAATGTAACTTTTGGTTAATATTTAATACTGGTGTAATTTTTTAACATTGCTGAGTTGGTTTCCGGAAATGCATTGCTAAATCTCAGAACAACTACTATGTTTTGAGAAATTATGACTGAAGTTATAATACACTCCAAACATTGGGATTCAGTTGGATTCCATTGATTTGTAGATTTGTAAGAGAATTTGTGATATATGGTTTGAGTATTATAATTAGACTTGTACTTTTTTGTGATAATAGTATGACTGTTTGCTGGTTCTGATGTTTATCTGCTGAATGCAGACACCGTTGACATTTTTAGTAATTTGAGAACAAGCAACATAAAAAATGCTTCTGGACAAGAATGCCATTGAGGAAACCCATTATGAGGTTCTCAATGTCAAGGAAGATGCAAATTATGAAGAAATCCGTGCTAGTTACCGTGGTGCTATACTCAGTTTACATCCTGATAAGCTATTGAAGACAAGTGAAACATCCAGCAGTCCAACAGCTGGAGAGAGATTTCTTAAAGTACAAAAGGCATGGGAAATTCTGGGTAATTCGAGCTCCCGTTTATTTTATGATAATGAGCTGCAAAGTTCAAGGCGGGATGTCTCGGCTGCTGAAGTTGCAGAAGATTTGAGCTTACAGGATATGATAATTGAAAATGTTGGAGAAGCATTGGAACTGTTTTATCAGTGCCGATGCGGTGATTACTTCTCTGTAGACTCACTGGAATTGCTGAAAATGGGATATTCCGTATTGAGTGAGGAAAGTAGGATATCTATAGTCAATGTTGATACTTCACCAGGGTCAGTGATTCTTCCATGTGGATCTTGTTCGTTGAAAGCTCGGCTTGTAATCAATATGGATGACAATTGAAATTATTACCATTTTTTGGTATGAATAATTACGATTTAGATTATTAACATTTTTTTTAATGAAGATAGCATTTATAGCTGCCTGTCATTGAAAAAGAATTCCTGTGGCAGAAAGCTCGAAGTGTCATTTTCAATTTCGAATTTGGAAATTGGAATGCAGTGATATTAGTTTCAGATTAGTTATGCCGATTCACTTATTCAAATAATTTCACAGCCTTAACTGTAGATTTTTTTAAGAAAAGTTGAACCATACGTTCTAAATCAACTTTATTCATCACAAAAGGAAATTTAAATGTAAACACTAAAAAGGTACGAGAGTTAACAAAATTCACGGCTTAAAACTATAATAATCTCGACTGCACGAGAGTCTAAAATGCTGAACTGTAACATCTATCCAAATTCTGCTGAAGAATGCATGTGCGGAACTTGGTAAAACAGATTATCCAAGCATTCATTAGTAATGGTATACCTTTCAGAAAGAAGCAAAATATTCATCAAAACATTATGAGTAATGGATACTCACAAAAAGATTTCCAAAATTTGTTAGAGTTTAAGAGAGGGATAGGAAGAGAAGAGAGAAAAGTGATGGGTAAGATGGGTAATGTGATAAAGGGAAATGAGGAGAAATACATTATACATAAAATTTATTTGTAGAAAGGATGATTATTCTACACATGAAATATCTTATTTTATAGCACAAATCATAAATTTGCTTTCTTTAATTCCAATAGTTTAGACCACCTTTTATCAACAGAAGCCTGGCTTTGTCCACCTGTATCTAAAAAATAAAATGATCTTTAATAAGTTTATCTTGATATTTTTGAAGGATACTTTGTATTGCTGGTGTTCCTTGTATTACAAAATAAATAAAAGCAAATTAATCAATGACAAGGTCATTAGTAGCCATGAATTCAATAAAATATGCTTACATTGTATTGTAGCCTCAGATTTTTCGCACAATTCCGAGCACGTATCCTGCAAAAACAAATATAAATATAAAACCAGGGGCTTCCAAAATAAATTTTTTTGAAACCCAACTGGTGCAATCATGATTTTCTGCTCAATGTACATTTACTGAGGAGTTTAGCCGGATGGCATCTTGTACAAGAGAATCAAGATCAACTTCGTATCCTGGTCTCACATATATCACCTGTATTGTACGAGTAGCTATGTTAGACTACCCTTAATTATTTTTGCAACAATATTGAACATGAAATGCTTTGAAATCATCCCATGCCTAGAAATTTGGTATAAGTGTTGCCATTCCTTCTTGAAATATGGTTGTTAAAAGCTACATCCCTTGAAAAGGTTGCAACTTCTGCGGTAACATATTTTGAGCCTCATATGTTAACCTTTAAAATTAACTAATATCTCTGCTTATGAGGGAAAGACTGCATACATTATCTTCTAACTAATAGTTCTCAAATATGTATTTAGTTCACCTAAAGTGAGAAAGTATTTAAAATGATAAAGTAAGAGTATATTCACCCTTAATTTATGTTAAAGTACCTTGTAAACTCATTCACTTAAAATCAAAGGTGGATGTGCTTTTACTTATTTACTTTACATACTTTCTCATTATAGAAGAGCAAAATCCAATATATCTTCCTTTGGGACTTACCAGATTGAATTCAAATGATGTAAATGTGTAATAAAATTGTTGTACTTGAAGTAGTTGTTACAAGGTTGAATATCCGAACTCAAAATTTGTCCGTGCGAATTGCATTAGTTTAATATATAATCTATGATTTATCATTGATTCAATCTTGATTTATAAAAAGTATATGCTGTGGTACTCTAAAATTTATTTATAAGTAGCATGTCCAAAAAATTTATACCAATAAAAAAGAAATACATGACAAATTATAATATATATATATATATATATATATATATATATATATATTATATATATAATTTATTTAAAATTATATTATTTGTTACATGTTTCTATTATTATTATTATTATTATATATATATATATATATATATATATTACATATTGAATTTTTTATTTTATTTATTATAAATAAAAAAAATAAAAAATTATAACAAAATATATTAATATAATATTATTATTTTATTTTTAAATTTTAGTTCGTTTATTTTTTATTGCATTTTTATTTCTGTTAGAAGACTTAACCATTTTTTAGTTTATTCAAATATAATAAATATAATAATTTATTATTAAATAAATTTATTATTTAAATATATATCTAAATATTATTAGTTAAAAAATTTTATGTACGGTGTCCTAAAAATTTTTAAGAATAACATAGAATTTACCTTTTATAAAAACATACCAAACTTGGAAAGGTGTTGAAGAAACTTGTCCGGCTACCACCAAGCCAAATCCTAAATAGATATATGAATCTAAATACTTTCAATATCATATTAGCATTTTCATGTATTCTTTTGAATCGTTCAAATATTTTTTTGTATTCTACAGAAGAAAATAGCAGTAGACTTCTGAGTAGAAACTAATTTAGAGCACTTCTATCTATGTGCAATAGAAGACACAATAGAATAAAACTAATCAGGTTCATAGACTTACATAAGGGTCGCCTCCAATTTCAGGTAGTGATACCTTGCGATCATCTCGACTTGCCATAAGAACCCACACATTAAATTTTGTGTCAATCTGTAACAATTAGTTAAGACACAGTCATCCATAGAATTAATTCAAGGGCACACATAAAAACATAAGCAACATTTGACAATTTAGATGACGTCTTCAAGATTAGATAATTTGGAGAATGTATTATTCATGTGCATGCTTTGTGTATATGTGCTGAAAACATAAGCATAAATTTAAATAGACAGCAAAATTTTAATCACAATAACATTTAGCAGCCAAATAACATATTTTCATTCCAAGAAATTCTTACGTGTATTTGTGCACTTAATTTTCTCCCAAATTCAGACATCGTATTGAATATTATTTTCTAAACTTCAGTCACTTGAACACAGTATCCATCCTCTCTCTCTCTCTCTATATATATATATATGTACGTACATATGAATTAAGAATAATTTTATCCACACACACTACTTTTACACAGTTTTTATCATCTGATTAAAATTAGTCTCGTCTCATTGTTTTGCCTCACACAAATGTGAGGTAATGTGCTTAATGCCTAAATGTACCAGGCTTTATTAATAAATTAATTGACAACAAACTCCAATAAATAATTGGCTTTCATAATATTTTAATCTTTGACCAGGTATCTCAAGCAACAAGCAAATCTGTGAGACTAATCATACAAGTATAATTTTGATGACCGGTTAAGGACACGAGGTCCTCTCTCTTCTCAATAAGCACTTAATCTAAGGAATGAACTTTGTTAAGTTTAGCGCTATATACATCTAAGTATTTATGTACAAACTGTTTTCGTTATATAAGAGGTCTTACAAATCTGAAAAAAGACGTGAAAGAGGGTTTAGAAAAGATCAAATTCAAAGATACAATAAGAGATCACAATCAGTAGTGATCCATGCATGGTATTTGAATGGAAAAGAAAGCATACATTGTTAAGGTTTGTAACAAACCTCATTACAAGAAATTAATCAGTACATGTTCATGATGGAAGATAATACCTGTCGGCAATATGGGGCCGAACAATTGCTACATTTTCTAGGGAAGGATGTCGTGACTCTTCCATCCACCGATAAACCAAAGCTAGCATGCTGGCATTACCATGTAAAGTGTTGACAAGTGACTAAACAATTGAATTTGAAATTAGGGGGTATTATTTCTAGTCAACGAAGTTACAAAATATAATTGAAGATTGTGCCATCATTAACATAGAGAAGTAACCTTGTTTGGCATATTAGTCAGTTTCAATCGTAATTTAAATTTAAAATTTTCATTTTCACCCGGTGAAGTATGGTTACTTGCATTTGCTTCACATATATGTATCATGTATCCATATCGAATACATATTTAATACTGATACTGCGGAATACTTCACCAATATGTATCGTGAAGTATCCAAGTCTTTAAAAAAGTTGTGAAAATCAATGAGATATAGAAGCACGTATAAGGTAGGAACATAGAAGTCATATCTTCTAATGAATTAGAGATGGAAGCTGTTATCTTTACGTATGATGCTCAAGAAAGGAATGATATTGATACTATTCCTGTTTGTAGGCAATAGGCAATAATCTGACAATAATGATTTATAGTTTTATTTCATTTTTAGTAATGTTGAAGATGTATGTTTTTAATTTGAAGAGCTGCAATTACATAATTATTATGTTTTTATGAGCGTGAATACAAATCTAAATATGTATGATGCACGCATGGTATCCAATATATTTTTAGATTAGTTATATCACCCGTATTAGATATGTTTGGCATCTGATAGGATATCCGTGTATCATAATTATAGTTCACAACACACGTTAAAAACATCTGGAAGCACCTTTTGGATGGAGAGGTTGACGAAAACTTGGGCATTCTTATGTGGGTCATCTTCAACTTCAATCAAATCTTGTAAGTGTAGGTCGTGCAAAGACACGAGAAAGTCACATGTCCAATCCCCATGATATTTGCCATCACCTGGTGATATTGTGATCAGACGGCGAGCAGCCCTGGTCGTGTTCTTCCCAATCTACGTTTGATCGCATGAAGTAAATACCATTGGTCGTAATATATATATATAAATGGAAGACACAATTTGTTTGTATATTACCACCGGAGAGTGCAAGTTATCCTTTCTTTTAGAAGCAGTGACAGAGAGATTATTGTGAGAGTGAAACCGAGAGAGCAATCTGAAGGTTTTGAACTTGGCTGCAACGTGGCATGGATTGAATATTGGGTTGAAGCTCCTCGGCGATACCAAATTTCCAGCATTTGCTGCCATAACTCACACTCAACTGAAGCCTGAAGGCAAAGACAAGTGTTGCTTTGGGATATTTCATATTTGTATAACGTACGGTTTGGCCTTATCTTTGACGTGTGACTCTCGTTTATGCCTAGATTATTCATCTGACAGCTTATATTTTGCCACGTTGTCCCTTCTATGTTTGTCCAAGAAATTTTAACATAAATGAATAAATTTTATTATAGAGAAAAATGAATTAGTACAAAAGATTGGAGGATAGGAAACCTCAACAAAGATAATACAAAAAATAAAATAAAAAATTAAAAAGAGACTAATGCTGTAGGAGAGCTGTCCAATCCTTTGCAAACCCAATATATTGTTAGATTTTAAAAGACCATGTACAACAAACAATTCCATACTAATCTACAAACTTCTTTATATCGTTCCCCATAACATAGCGTACGCAGCTTTATCCATTATATGTCTGCAGCAAGGAAATTGCTGGACAGTGCTACCTGCGTATAAAATAAAGAATGACTTATGTAACAAATGCTACAGGCCATACCAAAGAAATGACACCAAACAGCTCAGAGAGGAAGACAGAGAAAGTACCTTTTAGCTGAGTTTGAATGGAGGACGACCCTTGTAAGGGCCGGACAAATCTTCACAAAAAATCTGCAAGAGAATTGTATGTTCTTATTGTACAAGTCATGTTGACAATAATTCAAACCAATCTTAGATATTCTTGTTCCATCATATCTGACTAAATTTAATTTTTAATATAGCTTTCCAATTCTAAACTTTTAACTGTAAGATATGAAGCTACAATACAGTTTTAGCCATATAACCCAACAGCAGGATTCAGAACACACTGTTTATTTTAGAATTGCAATTTGCAAATTTGGCCAAGCTTCAAGTGCTAGATTGAACGAAACGATATTAGTAGGAACTTCGCATTTCTTCCATCCATAAACATCTAAATCCACATTACCGAGCTATATGTACCAAAAAGGGAAGGCTGCACTGTGCTGCACTAGCTCTTTCATTTCACAAAATTTAACTTAAGTGAAATGGAGGAAGAGTTGTTTTAATTCTCCTATGCTTCCTATGTTTCTCTGTTTCTTCTGAACCAAACAAAAAGCTATCAACCCAAACCATTGTTAAGCTACAAAACTGCTTTTCCGCCTAAACATGCACAGGAACAAAAATGAGTTCTTGAACAGCACAGCCAGAGTACACAGATAACATAAATTGTGTGTTGCAAACGTAAAATAGAAAAAAGGACATACATTGCAACAAGCTGATTGAGGAATATCCATCTTTCTGCAGTCATCAATGCAGGCAAAACAACTGCTCTTATGACAGATACAAAGCTTCTAAATAATCATCAATGTATGCTAAGCTGGGCCAGTGATCTGTACGAATACGGACTAAAGTTGAAACATCACCAACTTCCATTTGGAAAAGGAGATGGAACCGTGGAGGAAGAAATATTAGAACATGAAAACAACCCAGGCTTCTTTTTCTGCTATTGCTAATAGCCCCCGTCTCATACTTTTCATCGTTGTAAGTAAGACGGAGTGGACCTGTGTCGTGTTTAGTAACTGAAGTAGCATCAGGGGAAGCATCTTCCCAAATGACATTCTGAATGATGCCCCATTCCCATACGGCATCGATAAGTGGCTCCCCACTCACACCTACGACAAAACGTGCCAGATGGCATTCAGTTGCCTGGATCAAAGAGGTTGCAGGGACATCAAGAAGCTTGACAGATTGAGTTCCACTGATGGCAGCAATCCCTTTGCCCCCTTTCAATTGAAAGGTCTCCCTCCCTGTGTTGGAGGATGATCCACATGCCTCCCATAAAGTGGTGAACAAGTCAAAGTTGTATCGAGGCATTTCATCTTCTGGGATGTCTGATGGTACAATAGCCTTGAGAAACATGTCTTCTATGCCTACTGTGATTCCCTGAAGTTGACCTTGGATGATCTGACCATTTTCTGCATTTGTTTCAATGTGAACATCAACTATACCTGGTGTGGGTTCCCTGGGCTCCAAATCAATCACAACAGTAGCTCTATATTTTTCCTCTTCCCTGGAATCATTTCCAACACCAACAGGGACAATACTTAGGGAGACATTTTGAGATGCATGATCTTTACTGTGAGGTTCACCAAGAAGAAAAGGTATACGATAAGATGGGATTGGCCCATATGGTGCAGAAGACGAGAAATTTAACACAGTTGCATATATAGCAGGAAGTGCATCTATCTCTTCCGAGGATGTAGCTGTGTTATCGATTCCCGACATGCGATTGAAAGTATTAGATTCAAACCTCAAACTGCACGATATTCTAACTTTGAGACCAGGCATATGTCTGAAGTCAGGAATACAGGAAAAGTACTTCCTTAATGTGTTCAAAATTTCTGTAACTTTAGAATCCATAACACGGAGAGGCTGTTTTGGCTGATTTATTCTTGCGGTTTCCAGAATGATCTGTGTATTTGAACTATCAGAAAATTCCTTTTCCTCAACAGGAGCATCAGGGTCTCTGATGCCCTCCAGATAAGCAGGTTTGTTGTTGCTTATAACTAAATTTGACAATGACAGAGACCAAAACTGTTTGACTAGCAATGGAGTCAGACGCTCAAGGTGAATGCAAGATGATAAATTTTTGAATGTCTTGAATTTCTGAGAAGGTCGAGGTGACTGAACATTGAAAAACGAGGTTGGGTGTGAAGATGGTGAAATTCCAAGGATCATGTCCTCCAAGTTTAGGATGTCTCTAAGCTTCTTCCCTGGAATGCAGACCAACATACGCAAGTAGATCCTGCAAGATACGACATATCAGCACAGCCCTACAATCATTTTTGCAGGTCCTTGAAACTTTCCATAGCTATCTTTAGTTTCAAGAGATAATTCGCAGACCAAATGTGAAAGAAAAAATTGGAAAATAGATTATTATATCAAAAGATGCAATTCACAACGAAATACCTTGAGTTATCACGAACTTCCAAATCAGGAAAATAGAGACAAGTAAAAGCAAGTAGACGAGATAATCTGAGGAACAATCTAGAACTATGGTGATGCATCATCATAGTTCGGCAAATTCCAAGAGCTCTACTTCCTTGAGACCAAGATTTCATACCCGTATCTGGGCCATGTTTCTCCACAAGGAAAATCATGAAGTTTGTGAGCAACTCTAACAATCCACGCGGAGGTATTGTCTGGTTTTTAGCAATTCTATCAAACATTGGGAAGCAATAAACCAACTTATAATCCATTCTCACTTTTGGAAGCAAGTGCTCATCAAATTTCTGAAGTAAGCACTCACCCAACCAAGAATGCTTTTGACAAGAGAGTAAACGGTCAACAAAAGCAACAACAACAGGAACCAATCTCCGATTCTCCAACATCATGTTCACAAGCAACCCCTGAAAAAAGAAACTAGAAGGTATCATGCCTAAATACGTGGCACTGATGAAAGAAATGACCCACACCAACTTGCTGTAAATTCACCTCAACCATGGAATCTGATCTCTGTAGTCACAGACATACAAGAGAATTGAAATATATTTATTATTGTTAGTTTATAGCCAAAAACACAAGAACCCTATAATTAGAAATTCTTTTAGTTTAGTGACACAAATGCAACAAATCAACAAGAGAGAATACAGAATCTAAAATTGAAAAACTCTCGAGCACCTGCAAAGTGCGGAATATCATAGAGTCCAACAGATTTCTTGTGGTAGATGGATCATTATCAGAATGAGACGATGGAGCAATCAGAAACTTATGGAATGTGCGGAATGCAACGGCAATCTCCGTGCTCCCGGGAGGCAACCACTTGAAAGAAGACACACAAACAAGACCATCTTCAAACAGCTTCACCGGATCAATCAAAGAGTCAGAATCACTTTTCAGCCTCAAAACATGAACACAGTAAAAGCAAAAGGCAAGAAGGTCAAGCTTCAAGGCTTTCAAAGCCAGTGGATCAAACAAAGCAGGATAAAAAGTGGAGCAAGCTTCCAGGGTGGGCTTAGTCTTCTCAACACGTTTACCAAAAATCAACTGATTGAAACCCAACAACCAATGAACAGCGAGCAAACGAAACACTAAATTATGCTGAGTCTCTCTCGAAATCATCAGAAGTCTACGAGAAACCTCTCCCTCTTGGCCATCAAAAGCATCAAGAAAATGCAAATACATGCTCACAACCACATGGCATAAGATAGGATCATAGGAATAAATCATTCCAAACAACTGCACCTTCAGCATCGATGGCTGCAATTCCAACGCCATAGCCATGGGTATTATCATACACATAAATTCCATCATCGCACAAGGAGTCATCACTTGAGGCCACTCCAGCAAAAACGCTAACGCCCTCCTCAACTCCTTCATATTCAAACCCGCACCCGCACCCGGATCCGAATCCGAATCTTGTTTCACACACTGCGGCACGTTGAAAGGAACCATCTGAACAGAAGTGTTGAGAACGGAGACGCTAAGTTTCCGAGTGATGATGTTGTGAATCACTGAGGTGAATAGCAAGAGGTAGTTCTGAGAAGCGTGGGTTCGCTCGTTCTGGCAGAGGCTCCACAAATGCCCAACCACGTCCGAAAGCAAACCTGGTTTCCATAGTTCCAATTCCCTAAGGCATTCGCACGCGATGCCACGTGTGTGCCGGTCCGAACCGAAATTAGGGCGGTTTATGACCGTCAGCAATAACTCCACCACACTCTCCGTTTGAGCCTCGACTTCGGCGTTTTCCGATACGCAAATGAGGATAGAGGTGACGGAAACCATGAATTGATCCTTGAAAGCGGGAGTGATGTGGACGGCGTCGACAGGCGCGTGGAGGACGGATTTGAGAGCGTCGATGAGACGATGGAGCGTTGGTTGGGGGAAGAAGCAGAGGGAGAACTCGTCGAGGAATAAGAGGAGTTGGAGTTTGAGAGACAGAGTGAAGTCCTTGCGCAGAAGAGAAGAGAGGAGAAGATCGAGGAGGGGATCCAGAAAACACCATTTTTGGGTGCCGGATTGGAACTCCTCGATTAGGGTTTCCCACTCCTGAGCTGTCAGAGGCTTCGACGGTGGTGGTGCCGCCGCCTTCTCCGCCATGCCGTTCACAAGCTGATCTACACTGCTTCAAGATACACTCCTAACTGCAACACGTGCTTCATTCTCTTGAACCGAACCGGACCGGGTTCGTTGGATGTAGTGTAGAAAGCTTTTGGGTTGGACTTAATTCTGGTAGCCCAGCCCATACCTAAGCCCACAATGATTTTTTTAGAGCAAAAAACTGTTTTTTTCTCCCAAATTCCCTCAACTCTTTCCTTTTCCGGCTCTTTCTCGGCAACCAAACAGTGGAATTGGCAAAACAACTCAGCTTGATCGTCTTGAATCGTTGCTTCGCAATCGCAACCGGCACATCGATAAGCTGTTCAGGTGCGTTATGGTAGTCATATTGTTTCCTGCATGCATTCGAAGATTATGTTTTGGCATTGATATCTGAACTGTTTTTTTGTAGCGGTTGTTTTTATGAACCTCTTTGTGAATTTGGCTGTTTTGAGCAACGCGCCTTAAAGCATTTATTTTTGCTGTGAAAGTTTGGTAAAGCTGTATTGCTTTTTGCACAAACAAAAAGAGAAGACAAACCTCTAGATTTTTTTTTGTTCTGCTATTGTGTGTGTAACTGAAAACTCGGTTCTAAGTTAAATGGTATGGAGATTTTATCCAATTTCTTCATGTTCTAGTGGGTGCTTCTGGATGCAATATTTTGTGAAGGTTGTGTAAGTTTTTAATATATTTAAAATCTTAATTTGTACCCCTGGCCTGCGTACAAAACTACGAAAATTTTTAGCTTTAGTTGGCCAGTGATGTCCTATTGGATTCTATTGCGAGATGTATTAAATTGTTCATGTTTTCTGCATTCAAGGAAGCATCTTTCCATAAACTTCTTATCAGATTAAGAGAAGTTAGAATGCGTTATTTTCGGGGTGTCAACGCTCTCCCACCCAAATTAGTGTCAATCAGTATCCTGTTATCCATCTAAGATATTTTAACTGAAATATGTATTTTAAATGTATCCTTTTCTCCAATAGTAAAGTTGGTGCATGACAATTTTACGAACAACTGAACTTTAATTTTACATATAGATTATTAATAGGAGCCTAACTCACTTAGGGAGATAAGATTTGGTTATTGTTGTATTTATCCTTCATTGTTGTGGGAAAATAAAAGAATTTTCTCCCCCACTATTTGAAGTTCTATGCTCTAGAAATAGTTTCCACTCTACAGAAAATTTTTCTAGTATTAGTTATTTTTTCATTATATGTTTCAAGGATCAGTTAGACTGAAAAACAATTCTTTTTGTTCAATTTGGAAATAAGAATATTCAAACGATATTATTTGGTAATGATTGTCATTTTACTATTTTTTACGTCCAAGAAAATATGTTTTGTTAGATATGAATACATGTATTTGAATTAAGATTTAGGGAAATAGTGTTTTCTCGATCGTAGGCAGGCTAACCACATGTTTGTTTTGGAAAGCTTAACAGCATAAACATGGAAGAATATAACAAGAGCAACATAAAGAAGAAGGCCAGGCTGAACTCGTTGCTGACAACCTTACTGAATGATCCTATACTTTCTGATGTGCCCAAGAACCCAACTTTGGCAGATGTTGACACCCTCATCAGCTTTGAATTGGGTAGTGCCATGTGCATCTCTGTCTTGAAATTGGATGGAACTTCATTTGGTAATACTCACTAACAACTTTTGGAAATTGCAAATTTAAAGCTCTGGTTCACTTCTTATTTTGGTGGTGTCAGATGTGACAGTGATGAATTCAGCAACAGTCAAAGATTTGAAACTTGCCATCAAGAAGAAGGTGAATGACAGGGAACAATCCAGCATGGGTCACCGCCATATTTCTTGGTGAATTACAGTTTTCTTTTTCTCTCTATTCCATCGCTGTTTCTCCTTTCTCAAAAAAAATAAAAAATAAAATTGAACTTCCCTGCTGTTTTCCAGAAGTTATTGTCCATACTCCATAGCAATAGGACATTAGTCATTGGGGGCAATTTTGTTAAACAATGCTATAATATTTGATTTGATAGCAATAGTTCATCTCTGGACAACCTGATTTTTGTGCAACTCTATATTGCATGAACTTATGAAATTGCAGGAAGCACGTATGGGCAAATTATTGCTTGTCATACCATAACAACAAGCTTCTAAATGATGATGATGCTATACAAAGTTTTGGTGTACGAAATAATTCTCAGGTTTGCCTTTCTTGTTCTGGATCTTCAAATGGATTGTTTTATCTCTTCTCTGCTAACTTACTTTCCTGTATTATTCTTTTTTTTCCAATATTGGAATTTTGAATCTCATATATCCTTCAAAGATCCTTCTTTATATGGCATGGGTTTATTATAATCCTTCTTTGACAACCTTATGTTTTTATTTTGAAAAATGATATGGTTTGTTTACATCATCATATGTTAGATTACGTTCGCAAATAGGGCATGTCATTTCACATAGAAATGTATTGCTTAGTATACTTGCATATTATATTGAAATCTTTGAGTTCAAGAAATTCCTATCTTCCTAGTTTATACAGCTATTTGTAGTGATATTCTTTGTCGAGTGTTCTTTAAAATTTTTCTATTAAAAATCCATTAGTTTTTCATGCCTAGTCAACTTGTTGAATGATATCTTTATCAGAGTGTAGTTTGGTGGTATTTTTTGTCTTTTTTATTTTTGGTCAAGGTGGTATTTTTTTTCCCTATCAGGTACATTTTGTTCCCTATGTCACGACAAAAGAATCTCGGAGACATTCGAAGCGGAGAAAGCATCGTTTTTTTCATGGCCTTAGTAAGCTTTCCTGATCAAACAAGCCCATGGTGTATAGCATGTTCTAAATCGTTGTTGGTACTGTTCTTTCTCATTACTTGGACTAACAACGCTTCACCAAAAAAAAAAAAGGACTCACAAAGCATGGACACCTGGCAACAGAGCTTGTACATTTACTGTTGTTTCAACTTAGTTGCAATGTCATCCCTAGCCATTCGTAGCGTCCAATCGGACAAGCCAGTTTCACACTAATTTCTGTCTGAATCTTCACCCTACAGAAAATGAAAAATAAAAATAAAAATCCCGTGGCATGCCTTGGTCTCATTTAAGTGGAGAATTATGTTGCCAAAAACCGTGCTGAGCTGCAGCTACCTTGTGGGAGGTCAAAAACCCTAAACCATACTTGTACTTTTAAGATTATTTCTCCATTTTGCTGCAAACAAGTTATTCAAAAATATGTAATTTCCATCTCAGAACATAAAAACTATAGCATTAGCTTAAGGCGTTATTGTTGGTAATGAATTATTGTATTATTATTGTAACATTACACATTTTATTTCCAATAAATTACAAGAATGTCATTATAAATGTAATTGAGTGGTGAAATTGATATAAAATTAAATTAGAAAATTCAGTCCATTGTTTTATCTTTATTTTCATTTCTATTGATGAACCGCATTGAAAGAATATAGTAATCTTAAGCAAAGTTTTCTATTTTTTTGGAAATAAATTGCACCTGCTCAAACTAAAATGTCAATCGTAAATATCCAAAACCATGAATGAATTGTGCAATGAAATGATCAGGCGCTTCTCATGGTAAGGACCGAACAGAACGATTGGGAAAAAGGATTCGGGCACTGCCCTCAATTAGACAAATGATACTTACGCAATAAATTTGTGTTAATAGTATACAAATGCGGTATGCAGAATTAGAGCGATATACTAAACAGCATTTAGAACTTTAATGTAATATAATTCTGTTCTAGTGTCAGGCTTCAAAGTAAAGAAACCTAAATTCTGGCAAACGAGAGGAGATAATAAAACAGAATTACTAAAAGCATCATCTTCTCTCATGCGATCTTCCAGATTCCATGGGAAGTTTGGAAGATTCTAAACTTCTACCCTTAGCATCTGTATGTTTCTCTTCCCTAGAATCATGAGATGCTTTTTGCCGCCGCAGCATATCCTCTGCATACCGCCGCCACAATCCTTCTCTTTCTTTTCTTGGAACCTTGTTATATCTTGGATCAGATTTCAAAAGACGTTTAGCTGTAGACCAAGAATTAAGAACTGTTTTTCCGTCGTCAGTTTCTTGAGATGCAGCATCGGAGGTGAAGACTTCAGCTAAGAGAGTTCTAAACTCGTGTGCACAACGCTGACCCAATCACAATGGTCACGGGTGTTAGAGTGGGACATATTTTAAACGAAAAAATGCAATAATTCTCACCTCCTACCGAATCCCTCTCCTCACATACAAGTGACACTGTCGCACATATTACTGAAGATCACATACATGTGTATATGTGTGTGTGTGTGTGTGTGTAAACAACTAGGCACATGCCAAAATACAGCTAGAGAATCCCATAGAAAAAAGCTTAGCACCATATATTGTCACTTACTTCCTGAAGCATCTTTACATGTTCCCTAAAGAGCTTTTCCGTGTCAGATGGATCAAGATCGGGATTAGTAGCACGCCCTTGAGGATCCTTCTCCAATCTAGGCTTAGATTCTGTCCATGATGCCTAAGAACCGGAGTACACAAAGGCCATTAATTTTTCATTAATGAAAGAAAATAGGATAAAATTATCATCATTAACAGCCAACATCCTAGTAACACAGGACAAATTACCAGCAAGAAATCTTGGTACAACTTTACCTTCCAAGGATCCGAGAAACTCATTTGCAATGATCTAATTCTTATCTATTTATCAATTTAACAACATTCCTAATATACATGAACGAAGTGTAATCCTACCATTCAATATGGGACCATATTGCATCTAATCAGAAACCGGGAGAATAAAGCTGAAAAAATATCAATACTCAAATAACAAAATTGAAATTTTATAAAACAAGAGGGGGTGGAAACATTCTAATCCTTTCAGATTTTGAAGAAAATACTCTTGCTTAAGTTTATTAATTAAAGATGAAATTAATAAAGGTAACCCTACCACAAAGAAAGAAATCTATACCAGAGAATCTTTGATTGTCTCCACAAGTAAAGCTTGAAAAGAAGTAACTGCCTCCTTTCTTCGAATTTTTATTCGCACCCTTTCCATTTCTTGTTCTTCTCTTTCCTTTCTTTTGCGCAGCTCCCGTTCTCTTTCCCTTAGCTTCTCCTGTAAATAAATTTCAACTTCAAGTGTTTGAATTTGCTTCATAATCAATACATCACAAGAAGTTAATAAAAATGAGCTGCTACGAAAACATTGTTAGGAAAGTATATGTTAGAAAAATAAAGATGGGCCGGCCCAGATTACAAAAACTGATAACCAGTTACTAGTATTTTCACTAATTGAGAATAAATAGAACAAAGGGAGGGGTCAGTTAGTCACTTGGGCTAGGAGAGATCAGGCTCTCAAACACATGAAGGAAACGTTGTAAAGAGCTACTGTTGTAAACATTCTTTTACTTTGTTTGGAGTAGCAATTCACCAACAAAGAGATTCAATAGCAATAATATAAGATTCTTTCTTTGGTTCTATTTCTTTTTTATAGTCAAAGCACTTGATTCTGGGGTGCGAAGATCGCTAATGGTACACACAAGAATGGATGCTCAGTTGGAATCTTTGAAGTTTGAGTTTGAGAAAATTCTTCAACGGCTCAAAGATGATAAGCAAAAAATGAAGAAATTATTCCAAGATGTTATGGGAAACATCACACAAAATTCAGAGTGAGATGATAGCAACCCAAATGAAGGAAGCAATTCGGAGGGAGATGTAAGAAAAATTCAATCACAAGTAGGGGGTGGAAAAGATCGATGGAGGAAACTAAAGAATCATGTATTATTGCTATTAGATCTCTATGCTGGTAATTGGTACCACACACAAAGTAAGAATTTTTACAATAGTATCTCCTTACAACAATGTTTCCTTCAAGTGTTCAAGAGCCCAATCTCTCTCAGCCCAAGCCCAAGTGACTAACCAACTCCTCCCTTTGTCCTATTTATTCTCAATTAGTAAAAACACTTGTAACTGATTATCAATTTTTGCTGACCTGGGCCAGCCCATTTTTATTTTTTCTAACATATACTTTCCTAATCAAAGGTCTAACAAACACCTGCATACTAGTTAGTTAATAAGCAAACTGAAATGTACCATAATATTGAACATTATAAAGCAAGAATCATCAATAAAAGAGACACCTACCAATAATATAAGGGTTTCAAATCCTCTCCAATTTTGGCGGCAACATGATGATCCAATCAAAATTCACTCAAGCGAATCCATTTCATTAATGTTTTGAAAGTTAAGATTTGCTTAAGTGAATTGCCTTTTGATACAGCCTAAATGCCTCTGCTCTGCTATCTTGTTTCAACATTAACTCCGTGCTTGCCCTTTCGAGCAGGGCTTTTCTGCTGATGACATTTTTCTCTGTAAATTAAATGTATGACATGATTCTTTCTCCAGAAACTTTGGTCTAGGTTAATGGGCAGTCAGATCCATGAATATTAGAAGGATGCGAACGATTTCACGAGGTTAGAGACACTGAAAATTTGTGACTGAAAGATTGGATGGATACAAAATGTGAGGAGATAATACCCAGAATTGTGGTAGTGTTGCAGAGTGAAATGGACTTGCCTTGCAGTGCCAATTGGAAAAAAGAAATATACGATGAGAATGAAAGGAATTGTTTGTTTGTGCTTTTCTGTTGAGGTTTTATGAGAGAAAACAACAGATGAAACTTTAACAAAAGAGAAAAAAAAAAGGACAGATGAAACAGAATAGAATCCACAAACTCAAAGCGTACAAATGGACCTTGAGCAAATTCCTAAAAAGGGGAACATATTGGATTGTTTTTCCTTCCTTTACCAAAGGAATCAGATTAGAATCTCATTCCCACCAACTGTTCTCTCTCTCATGACTTATGAGGGCAAATACACTCAACAAAAGTGATAGTGGGGTGCAAGAGAAGACAATTCGCTTAAACGAATCTTAACTTTCAAAACTTTAATGAGATTGATTCGCTTTAACAAATTGACTGGACCATCATGTTTGCGCCAAAACTAGAGAGGATCCAAATCCTAACATCAGTCACTATATCAAACCTAACCCAAAAACATGCAAAGTAGTTAACATCATTTACCCACTAAGAGCATACGATAGCATATCATGTCAAGGCATCAATAATAAAAGTGGTCAACATTTATTCCCGGTTCTATTTAGCAACTTATTTGTTGATTAAAAGAGGCATTCATCACATATTAACCAGCCCATACCTGCTCCTCCCTTTTAGCTTTGGTCTCTCGTTCTGCAGCATGTTCAGCAGCCTTCAATTCAGATATATACTCATTGAATAAAGTTTCCCTATCCTCATGCCTCACAGATTTATATCTTGGATCATCCCTTAAATTTTCTTTAACCTGCATCAATAGAAAGAACATTGAGAATTCCCGTCACAGAAAAGTAGAGATGTACATGCTTACTCCCATTTGTTTTTATCAGAAGTAAATTAACAAATCCAAAGTTGTAGCTTACATGCTTAAAGTAAGATATCCTACTTGTTTCTTTAAAAGAAATATAATAGTAAAGTACACCTAAAAGTGTATCTAAACAAATATACTCCAACTTAGTTTTTAGAAGGACTACATTAGTAGGTCATACCCTTGAGCGTATCTCCACAAATCCAAAGCTACAGCTTGCAAATATACTCCAAAAAAACAGGTAGGAGTATATTAGGATTTAGGATCCCCTATATGTTTTTGTGTGTATTATTTAAATAAATAGAGACCATTGAAAAAAATAAATATATGATTTTGAGACTGCCAACATCATTCTCAGTAACATGAAAAACAAACTTTTAACATGCTATCACATAGCCAAAAAACATTTCATACAAATCCAATAAAACCCGTTCAGACATCAACTCATCAAAAACACTAGTGGCCAAAATCTATCACTTGTAAGTTAAGAAATAATTCATAGGAAGCAGAGTTATCAATCTCAGATAGCAGTGAGTAGCAGCCGATCCTAAAAGTAGTATAGCATGATAGTGCATAGAGGGATAACCGCTATTCTAATATTTTTCATATAGGTATGACAGCATATACTTATAAAATTATAATTCACAGAAATGACAGCATATGCATAGTTATAAAAAAAAATTATAGGTTTGGTCTAGTCTTTTAAAATACACAAGGATAGGAAACAAAATATGTTAAAGCCTAAAACAGAAGCAATGTCTACTCTGATTCGGTTTCTGAACGGTAATTGATAGAAAACAAATTATATATGCTGTGTTATTAATCAGATTATGCAGTAAAACTGAATAAAAGGACTCAAGCTCTATAATGCTAAGGCAGATTTCCCAGAGTCAGTAATGAACTCCTCCAGAGAGTAAACTCTCCTTAGCAAAACCCACAATATTCTTGCCTACCTCACTCTCACTCCCACTCCCTGTTCTCCCTACATACCAGAATTCTCCTATTTTCTAGATTCCTTCCACGTCACCTCCTTTCTAACTAACTAATCATTATTCCCTGGCCCCCATTTCTATCTCCTAGTATAGACTCTCCACGCATTGGGCTTTTGTAAAACTGTCCCTTCACCAGACACAGGCCCATCACCCTTCCCAATAGTATTTGCCATATTTAGCACCCTATCAGTAATCCTCTTCATTGTCACTCTCAGGGCTACTTCTGTAAATGTGTTATTCCTATCCTTCAGTTTATATCATCTTTCATTTCATCTTCTTCCTTTTGTATAATACCCTTCCCCTTGCTCCATCATGCCGCGATAGCGCACACCCACACTGTGCTTAGGGCACAACCTCTGCAACGGGAGAAATGCTCTGCGGCAGCAAGTATTTTGTGGCTGACTGCCACTCCAAGGCAGTGCACGCTATCGATAAGTATGATAGGAAGACAAAAATAAAAATACACATGCTCACTTGTTCATGATGTATAAAAGAAAATTGCATTTAAGTATCACATGTTATGGCTTCAATTTCTCCTAAAAGTACACTAGATATAACATGCAAGTGAGCTTCAAAATATTCTAAATGTACTGACTACTAAAAGGAAGTCATTCAATAAATTTTTTTTTATAGAACCAAGAATGAAAGTTTCCATTCTTTACATGGCAAATCATGCTGTTTACAATAAGAGTCCCCTTTCTTATTCTTAAGCAAGTCCCCAGAATTGATCCATGATTTATAATTTCTTGTTTGTTTCCTTTTTAATTGTTTTGAGAAACATAACAGTCGACTCTTGAGGCAGATAACAAAACTATGTACAGAACTTAACCAACAGTCATGAAGCCTAAGACTTGGGTTAATAATTTGAATAAATAAAAAATAGAACCACAAATATTAATTATATCTCTTAAGCACATAAGACAAATGCGTTTCAAAATCCTACATCTAAAGAACAGAAATGAATGTCACAACTAATTCACAAGGCATCCATACCCTGGACCAACGAGAGTTAAAAGATATATCTCCTCGGTCTTTAAGCATTGACTTAAAACTGGCAGCAGCAACTGCACGCATTGCTTGAGCCTTTTCTTCAGCAGCTTTCTTCAAAGGAAGCACTCTGTAAGACAAACAGGAACCCCATCAACCAGCATTCTGAAAATATAGCATTAGATAAAAAATAAACCATTTACCATGCAAATTCAAAGAGTTCAGAGGGCATAAGGACACACCCACAGTGAATCCGAGAGTCTGTCATTAGCCTACTACCTGCTGACTCATGTTGCTTTCAAGGATTATCAATAGAAATCATTCCTCTGTCTAGGAAAAAGTTCAATATTAATGCAAATGAGGATCCAAACCAAAAAAGTACATGTACACAAAAAGGTAAGAACTTAGCTGAGTTGGATGTATCAAATTTTGAGTTACAAAATCAAAAGGATTGGCCGGAAAGATGGTATTCATTTTAGACAAATTGTTGCATGCAACAAACGCCCTGATGCTGGTGCAAAAAAGACACCAGCATGCAACAAATGTGTGTTGAATCATTTATCTCTATGCCCTTTTGTTATAAGGAATGAGCTACATTAACGTAATTTCCCACTCTTGGGCATCCTTGGAAGACAAGGTACAACGCAAAGAGAGTTAACAAAGGAAATATTGTGTTTGCACTCCTAGATAACTGGTAGAAGCCATAGATCCAAGAGGGCAGGAATGAAATACAATGCATCTCATTTAAAAAAAAACTGTAACAAGTACATGATTGGTTATTTGCATCCCAAATTCTTGATCAATACATTTCCATCTGTGACAATGTAAGTTGAACCATACATGACCTTAAATTTGTCCTCTATTAGCACTATCAATCTGAAGATCATGGAAAGCAGTATAGCAACAATCAAAACTCATTCTATGCAGTAGCATGGATACCTTGAGTTTTGCAGCAGATCAATTTATGTGATCCTAGTGAAAGATATTAACATGGATAGGTTCATCAAATCTCTTTAACAAAATATTGAAATTTCAACAGAAGAGATAAGAGAATCTGGATTTCTGTAGTTTCTGTAATTAGTGTTACATAAAGCACAACTTTGAATACTGTCAATTGTCATCAGTTATCACTTGAGGTTGTCAATCAACCCAACCCCATAATTGGGCAAGTGGCTCCTACCATTATCCTTTTTTTTTTAAAGTCAATACATTTGCATTCGCCAACACTGTTGCCAATCCACAACATGACACCAATACTGTAATAAACAGTGGCTGATTTATAGATATTCAATTTCTCCCCAGGTTGAATTCTAGAGCTCCAAAATTTGCTTGCCAATGCAGGATTCATTACAATCATAAGTCAATTCAGAAACATGCCTATTAAGAGAATTTTAACCAAATACTGGTCTTCACTAGTTTGTGTGTCCAACAAACATGACAAATGATCCAAAATCCCAAGGAATTTGCTAAGGAATTAATAATAATGAAATATTACATTTTCATGCTAAGAATGCCATAGATAGAAATAAAGACTTCCCAGTCATAAAACCTCCCCAAAAAATCACCTGACATGTATAATTGTTTGATGTGACAGACCAACTTGGCTACCAAGCCAGTGGACCTAAAAGCATGACCAGTGTGAAAACTAACAAATCAGATAAGTTATATGATGGAAAGGATGCTGCTTATGTGAAAACATCACTTGCTAAAAATGAACATAAAGCTAAGCAGAATATCAAATTAAAATGCAAGTCGCACCTTTCATTCAATAGGTGTTCTCGTTCCTTGCGGTCCAATGCCTCAAACCGTGGATCATTTCCCCATTTCTTTCGCAGAGTTTGATAATCAGTATTGTGGCCAATATCCTGAAAAAACAAAATGATCTATAAGCATTTAGTACTTCCACAAATTAACAGTAGGTAGATTTGACAATGGAACAATAATAAGCATGAAATGATGCAACATTAACCTCTGAGGCTTCATCCAGTAACTGCTTAAATCCTTCAACTGCAGCTTTTTGTGCAGCACGTTTTTCTTTGCGTTCTTCTTCTGCACGGGTTTTAACATAATGCTCAAACAAGGATCTTCTAGCAGAATAACTTGGGATGGCCTGTATTGACACAATATCGATAATAAAAAAATTTGTAGATGACAATTAAGCAAGCCAAAGAGTGAAAATAAAATAAGAGAGAAGGAAATACAAAGTTGAGGATAAGACATCATCTTCTAAAAAGAACAGACCATACTTTATAGCTAGATGCATTGTTTCAAAAGAGTTTCTAGTCTGTGTATATCCATCAGAGAAATGTCACTAAAGAAACCATGAACCAAAACCTACAAGGGAGCCATAGAAGATAATCCCACCCCATATATTCTGCAAAAGAAAAGAAATTCCTGCAAGAGCCTAACGAGACACACTAACCAAAACAGCAAAAGAAATTCCCCCCCCCCCCTTCCAAAAAAATAGACAGTGAGAAGTAGCAATTTCTTAAAAATTGAGAGTAGATATAATATTATTGTGGCTCCTATGATGAAACATTCATGCACATGAAGAAAATTTAGAACTTCCTCTTAAATCCATTTCATTCAATCAGGTAATGTACAAAAAAATTAGACTTAATTCCACACGTTTTTCCCCTTTTTCTTTTTTGACTAGTTGTTTAACTGAGACTACTAACTTACACATGAAAAGCATAGTTACCAGATGCATATCAATCCAGACACCATACAGCATGATAGAATTAAGATAGTTGATTGAAATTCCACCATTGTACAAGTGCACAACTCATTCACAGCCAACTATAATAAGATTTCCAGTTGAAGGAAAGGCCACCGATTCCCAATCAAAATATCAAAAAATATTTAGTCTCAAAAAACCTTGAAACGTGGATCAAATACAATCTTTGGCAGTTCTTTCTCCCATTTGGAGAATGGTGCAACTCCTCGCTCCTTAAGCATATCCTACAAAATTCAGACGCATAAAAAAAATTAGATATAAACTAAGGTACACCTGAGAGTGCATCACGGTTCATGGAGTGTATTCCTTATACATAACAGGCTTAAATATGACCAGAACACCAAAGATTTTACCCAGAGCAACTTTATTTCAGCACTCAAACTATCAGTAGATAAGATCCAAACAAATGCATCAATGCTATGATTTCTCTTTTTTCACTTTTTGCTGAAAAGCAGATGCATTGGCTGGTTCTTGTACGAGTTCATGCATCTTCTCTTGGACAATCAGATCAGGAACACAAAATTGAGCAGTGTACAAACAATGAAAAGAAATGTAGCAAAGAAAAAAATAATCACGGAAGACAAAAGCAGGCTTACCAAAGGAGGGAGAATAAGGATTCCTTACTCCTCCTTCAAAGTTTCAACTAAACTACTAAGAAAGCTAGCCACCAAACATAACAAAGCTATTAGTCAAAATTCAAAAAATAACTCTCTAATCCTTATGCTAGTCTATGATTAAGGAGATCCATGTACTGACAGCCATAGAAAAACAATTTTGTCCCAAAGCATAACAAAGAATAGAGATTGTAGTTCCCCAGTCCAAGTGTTCCTTTCTACCAAACTACAAAGGAATTGATTATATGCCAAAGAAAAATTGTACTAGAACATGTACCATCATGACTGAAAACAAATTTCAGAAATTTGCTAAAAAATTATAATTCTCTACACAAATAGTGTAATAGATAATTTAATTAAATACAAAAATTCAGCAATATAACAAGCTTCCATAAACTATCTTGATGATTAAAATTTAAAAAACAAAACACACAAAGCCAGCAAATAACGTCCAAAACAAAGTATCATCTAATAATAAATGTAAGGGTGGAAGTAAAAACAAAACAAGGGGAATAGGCATATTTCATATGATAATTTTACCATAGTCACTAATCTACAATGAAATCGGAGGAGGGTCAGGATTCCTCATAACAGAAACAAAAAACAACAAAGGGAAGGAAGTACATCAGCTCAAAGGAAAAAAACAAATATACCTTAAATTGAATGATGCGCTCCTCCTTTGAAGGTCCACTATCTTCATCTTCAGAATCTGAGGATGTATCTGAGACATTAGCATCACCATTAGCATCTTTCAGTTTATCTTTGTTATTATCAACTTGAAGGCCTTTAGCTGTAGATTCAGCTGCTTTTGAACCATTTGATTCAGATCCTGTTTGTACTGATGGCACAGGAATAGAAGAGGAAGCAACAGGTGTTCCTGAGTCCTGCAATTTCTTCTTGATCAAATCCAGTGCCGATGATGAGCTCTGTAGATTAGAGGGTTTAAGAGCTGCAGCATCACGACCACCAGTATTAATAGCAGGAGCATTCAGAGTAACCATTCCAGACCCTCTATCAGACAATACATTAGTATTTGGAACTGACATTAAATGATCTTTTATAACATCACCATCCTGCTTCTTTTTCAATTCAACCACCTCATTTGGGATTTGCCAGCAGCTAGTCTAGCATAGAACAAGAGGACAAAAAATAAACAAAGGAAATAATAGAGAAATAGTATCAGTGTATCACAACTTAATTTATTTTTTTAAAATAACTGTACATTCAATAAAAAATCTACAAAAGTTAAAATGTAAGACCAAGTGAATATATTCCTATTTAGGAAAATTACCACAAGAGTGGCTAATGTGTTAATAATAGTAATACATTGACTTATTAACCAATATTTCAGCTGATGTTCCAAAATTGGAAATATCAACAATAAAAGTGGCCTCTTTGCTTTGACCAAAACTTCAGAAACAAACCAACCAAACACTACTGCAAGGTAGGAGGAGAAACAATAGTAATAAAAACCCAAAAGGTTATTACATAGAAACGTATCTATCACATTATACACAGCAATCGGATGTGAATCCGTAATAAATCATTTTGCTAATTCCATTAATAATCGTCCAAATAAAAGAATAGACCTCTGGGATTTCAAAATGCCTTCAAATAATATACTATCAAACTCCTACTCTGATTTCCATTGTTACTGCTAGGCCTAAGAATGGTTTGTACATCTCTAACACATCACCACATGCAAAAGACCTTTGGGCATGAATCATGGATAATTCACAGGTCAACATGCAACCCTCCATATACCAGGAAGCACTGCTAAGACAATATCATAGTGAAGCTAATAAAATTTACCTTAGACAAATCAAGTTCAGTGGTAAAAAGCAATCTTCAGAATTTTAGCAGACAGCTTCAACCAAATCAAATTGAATAATTTGAATTTCCTTTTCTGTCCTTTTCTTTATGATCAAAATCAAACATTAAAAGTAAGATCTTACTCTAAATGAATTTATTAAAATTTAGGTTTTAAAATATTTTAATGATTTTTGGCACACTGCTTCAATCCATGTGGTTAAATCAATCTGGTGGAAAAAAAATGCTTACTTCTTGTTGTTCTAGTTTACCTTTCTTTCTCAAATTACCCTTCTACCAGAGAAGTTCATATCCTGCTTCCTAAGTTCCTCAACCTTTCTCACCCACGGACCTGCCCATCTTATCTCGTATGGAAAAAAATTTATTCATGTTTTTTGCATATTCTTCCAATAATACTAAACCAGCTAATAGAGGTTAATAATAATGATGTATAAAGCTGTAGAGCAAAACAAGGGAAAGAAGTAAGACCTTGTCACAGTAATGCAAAATGCAAATATCACTTTGGAAAAGTATAAAACAGAAATATCACTTTAGAAGCAGAAGCAATAAAACAAAGAATAACAAGGCAAACAGGAAACATCATGTCAGAATGTAAATAGGTAGTTCATCGCAGAAAGACAATAACTCGAGGAAATTGGCTGGGGAACAAGACAAATAATTGAGATAATGAAATAAAATTGATTCATGAATATATGAACCATACCTTGGTTCGATTGTTGTAGTAATATTTTTTTCCATCACTAGTAGAGACCAACAGCCAATCAGTACCAGGCAAATCCACCCTATTATTAAACAACAAGTGACAAAATATGAGAAGTTAAGATCGTAAATCTTTGGCTCTAAATAACACAGATCCAACCATGGTAATCAAAATCAAGATTTTACATAGGATCGGAGAAGGGGTCAAAGATTGTAACTCGCACGATCGTAATGGATCATAAGATCCTACAAAATCATATTTTTGCATATGAAAAAGTGTAAATATAAAGATGAGGGAAGCTAAAGAAAGACAAATGAGAGAAGGGAGCCACCCTCAAGGCCTCAACTCAAAATAGAGACAGGCCCACTAAAAACAGACAAAGATGGGGATGAGAAAAGGGGAGAAGGAAAAGATGGGTTAGGTAATGTATTATGATAAGACTATTTTACCCTTAAAAAAACTGGGAAAGGCAGATTATTTTTAAAAGATAAAAGTCTTTTTTACCCTTAAAAACCCTAAAAACTGCTTCATTCTGGGGATAGAAAGGGAAAGTCAACATTTTTACTCTAGCAGCACTGTGGCACCGCGAATTAGGCTACTATGGCTGTGAATACATCTGCGATGGCAGACAAGGTCACCAGCACAGAGCAGAGATGCTGGAGCAGACACAGTCACCAGAGCGAAAGCTATGGAGATTGCAGAGCAGAGGAACTAAGTCACAGAGCAGAGGAAAGCTTTAAGGATTGCAGAACGAAATCAATTTTAGGATTTCAAGAAAACCAGGTCACAAAGCAGATGACAGGTCATTGGGTTAAAAATTGGGTTTGTAAACACGGGGGGATCATCTGAGCTTACTGATTTTACGTTTCTGCACAGCAATCCCACCCAATCTTGCTGAGTCACGATCCCAGCACCTAGCTAGCACAAAGAGGGGGTTGGAGATCGTAAAATCGCACGATTTTACATTCTGCCATTGAATTTTGACTACCATGGATCCAACAATAAACAAATAACAATATGTCACATAGACAAAAGAAATTAGAAATGTAAGGGAAAATACATAAAGGTACCTAACATTTGAACAAAGAATCTCCTAAATACCCAGCACTATAGCAAGACACTGTATGCAGTTAAACTCCTTCCAATTATGATATCTTTGCAATACAACAGTATTGATATTAACCTTATTAATTTGTCTATAGGACCACTAAATCCCTTGACACCAATCAATCCCCCCCCCCCCTCTCCTTTCCCTATGATCTCTTCCCTTCCCTTCCCAACTCCCAATGTTAACCCCCCCTAATGTCAATAAAATTACGGTTTTAATTTTACCAGCATACCACCATCCTCTTTCCATACTACACAACTAATAGAGTATTACAGGTTTTGACAATACGACCTGCAAAGTGTCAATGACAAACCTAAAGTATTAAAATTAAGGTTTAACTTTCCTAGCACCATCCTCTTTCCATACTACACAACTAATAGAGTATAGAGGTTTTGACAATAACATCACCTGCAAAGTGTCAATGAAACACCTAAAATATTAAAATATAGAATTAAAAGACACTTTTTCTAGGCCTCGAAAAAATGTCAAGAGGAGAAAAAGAAAATAAACAACCCAGTATATGTTACAAGGTAATGTCTAATCAAAAACCAAATGATTTAATAGTCAGTTTTTGTCACTGGAATGTAAGCAGTGAACTTACATTGAAACTGGAGTTGGCTGAACAGAAACTTGGTGAGGCTGCATACACATCCAAAATATCAATAAATTGAATTAAAATAATATATGTATAGGGATCATAAATACTATTTATGATAGTAGGCTGATTTAGAGAGTAAAAAAGGCTTCTAAAATGATTTTGTGCCATTACATGTTACAGTCGTAGTCTACAAATATCCAGTATCCAAGGTCTTGTCCATTGGTTAGGTTATCCAATATCCATATCCTAAATATTATAAACTAATAATAAACTATATTAAAAAAAAATTTCTGCTGTTTGAAATTGTATATTAATTAGAATAAGTATATAAAATAATACTATTTAGCGATGCAGGACACAATAAGGCATAAGATCTGCCAAGAGTATAAGACCAGTACCTCCCCTTTAAAGCCAACAGGTTTATCATAAGTTGATTCTCCTGTCACAGCATTATAATAGTATACAATTCCTGCATCAGTCTTATGGGCTGTCCAGGCATCTAAGTGATCGTTATTAGCAACATTCTCATTATGTGTGACAACGGCATTTAATTTGTTCCGATCATCTACAACCACAAGTCCACAAGAAAAAAAAATGTAAGGAATGAGATTTCTATTTTCAAAGCACACCAATGAGAAAGTACATTTCAGAGGAACAGTAACATTGCATTGTGCATACCAGTAGGCCCTGAAATTACTTCTGTTGGCAAAGCAGTTGTTCCCCTCAACTGATGACCAGCAGCTGCAGAAGGCACAGACATGCCACCACCAGCACCCACAGGTGTAACACCAGGAGGTTGAGAATCAGGTATTGGAACAGCGGGGAGAGTAACACCGCGAGCTGGAAATGGAAAGGGACCAGGAAATGGGGCAGGATATTGAAGAAATGGTGGCCTAAGTACACCACTCATCTGTGGGGGCTGTAACCAAAGCCCCTGAGGGGAAGCAGCCATGGCAGGCATTGATGGATACGGTAAGCCTTTCTGAGGAGCACTAGGATCTGGTGCAATGGCTGCACTTGGCATACTTGGTCTCAATACTGCAGCTGAGGAAGAATCTGTGCCTGTGGGCAGAGCAGCAGAATTTGAGGATATTGTCACAGTTGATGCTAATCCAGGAGGGCCGGGGTTCCCAGGAGTAGGCACTACAGGATGCACAGGAAAAGATGGAGCTGTTGGCATCCACGATGTAGCTGGGCGATAATTAGAGTCAGAGGGTCGAGGCATTATGGATGAGGAAGTATGAGCAGGGGTAGAATGTGGGATACTTGACGCAGATGACAATTTACTAACATCCTGTGCAACGGAATCTGAAATGTTCTGCAATAAGCAAGAAGAAGTAGGAGGAAACAATCATTATTGAGTTTTTTTTATATAAAAATTATTATTGCATCAATTGCGTCAAGCCAATGCTCATCAGCCATTATTTGACAACTCGTTACCACTATAGCATGAAAACCTAATATAGAAGTAACAGAGAATCCCCATTATGTTATCATACATACAACACTGTGCACTATGTTACCAACCAAACATTTTTGTTATCATATCATAAAATTTTTGTGCATACTAAAGTTACTTGTATCCTTACTCCAAGCATGATTCATTTCACTCAAACACACGTGCTGTCAATGCTAGGGATTATCGTTCTTGTTTGAGTAGGTTGAAACTTGAAAGTGAAATGGCAGCAAATAGGAGGGAGGTGCAAAGTTAAGTAAGGAATTGAAGGTTTTGATATTCACTCATATTGTTGCTTGGTAGCAGGAGGGAAATCTCACTTTCATTGTAGAGTGACCAAATTTTATATGGTGGATGATAAAGCAGTTGCACTTCACCGCTTTCAAGTTTCAACTGTCCCGTATTCTTGTCAAACTGATCAAGGGTGTCAAGTAATCCTCATTCAAAAATTCTCACCTACTCAAACAAGTATAGCCTAGAGTTTTGACAAATTTACTAAACTAAGGAAACACCCAAACTTATTCCCTCCTTTCCAAACAATCTCACAATTCTTCAATTTAATGTAAGAGTACAGAGCTTACAGTGCTAGATTGTGCATGCTGCTGGTTGCCGGGAAAACTGGCACCACTTTGGTTAATATTATATGAAAATGAAGGAGGAGCAACATGTGAAGAGAGACCAGGAACTGAATGTTGAACCACCATGGGATTCGCTGCCGAATTGGACTTCATCACCTGCTTCAAAAAAGCAACCGATACAGTCAACAAAGTAGTTCGTAAAAACACGCGTCTCCGACCGAAACACAACATTGCATCACCATAAACCCTTCCATCATAAGTCCGATACTGTAAACAAATAACTCAGCACAATACTAACAGGATGTGTTGATGACTGCTGAGAATTCCCAGAAGTATTGACATTTTGATGCACAGCGTAAGAGAACGGCGCCGCTACAAAAGCACAGCAATTAGTTGCTTGAATTGAATCAGTATAAATAACACTCGATACATTGAAACAATGGGGAAAGCTTGAAGGTTTAGTAGATATACCAGCAGCAGGAGCTGAAGGAGTGGAAGAGGCCAAAGGAAGAGGCGTTTCTCCAGACACAGATGGCTGTGTCTCCTGCGGCAACCATGCAGGTGAAGCCATTGAAACTGATCTATCTGCTGCGTTGCAAAACAAATAACAATCAGTGTGATAATAGATGAAGGAAACAACGATAATTTTCACAGGCAAAATCGTAATTTACAAAGACACAGACGTAGGGTTCGAATTTCGAATAGAGACCAAAATTTCATAAAGCAACTAAAGGAAGCAGAGAGAGAATCGTGACCAGATTGTGGAGAAGAAATGAGAGTGCGCGAGGATGAATTTGGACGGAAGCAGTTTACAGTGAAAAGAGGAGTGAGTGTGTGATTGTTTTGAGTTGGAAATGGGTTAGTTTTGTTTATGTATGATTTAGGGCTGGCTTAAGCTTTAGCTTACTCGGACCACTTGCGATTCACCTAGAACAGTACCGCGTCCCGGGCTTGGGCTAATACTGGTTAAGACAAAGGGTAATTTTATTTGTTAGTTTTGCTGAAATACTTTTTAATTATAGTAAGACTTTTCGTTTTTTCATTTTTTTTTTTTATCTCACAAGTCGACCATTGCGTGACTGCCGTGACATCTCTTTTTTATTGCTAAATTATATATTTGTTTGATTTTATTCTCAATTAAGATAAAAAATAATAATTATCTGAAACATTTTGTAATAGAAGTAATGATTACATGTACGAATATCTAAATTTTGTTTAAAATTTTATTTTTATTTTTTTAATTTTGAATTTATTTATAAAAAGGAATAAAATAAATATTTTATGAAAATTAAAATTTACTTTAACAAATTAGGAAGGGCATCAAATGGGGCTAAAATTTTATTTGAGTGAGGATATTTTAAATTTAGTGAAAAGGAAAAAGAACAAAAGGCAAGCAAAAAGTTATAAAAATTCAAATAAGTTTTATCATGCATTTTTTTAATTTTTGCTTCTTGACATATTCTTATTAAAAGCATATTACACATCCATTCAATTATATTTTTTTATTTTTTTATTTTACAAAAAAACCATCAATTCATTGGCTACTGTATTCTTGTTGGAGCTCTACCTCTGCCCACAGTACATCTTCATCATAAAGAACTCATATCTCAATCATTCTTTCTCTCTTTTCTCTTCTAAGTTATACCACTTTCAATTACCCAAAATCCAACCTCTTTTCTTTCAAACCATCACCTCTCCACTCACCATTTTTTTTCTCTCCCTCTCTCACACTAACTTCCACCACTCAAAATCATAGCCTCCATTAATCTCATTTCTAACCTTTCACAGCCTCATTGTTTGTCTTGAAGAAGAGTACACCACTAACCCTAAAATCCTTCATCGAATATGAAATTTTTAAATTTTCGACCTTTTTACCCTTTCTTATTATTTTTTGGGTCTAAATTATTTATTTATTTATTTATTGTGTTTATTTTTTTTAATATTTTATTTAACTCAACATACATTTTCTTATTTTAGTTTTTTTCATCATTATTATTTTTAGTAGTACTAATTATTATTATTATTATAGGATTCTTATTATTTTTTTATGTTAGCCTAGCTTAAATAAAAATATTTAACTTTCTCATTTTTATTTATTTATCTTAATTTTGCTCTCTTGATTCTATTTAATTTAGAAAAATTATAATAAAAAGTTATTAAAATTGATTAAACACTATTATTTTATTTTATCTTGTGTTTTTATTTGTAAAATTTATCTCATTCTAACATTAAAAATTAATTTTTTCTAATTTTTTCATATATTAATTATTATGTTGGTTATTTACAGTTTAGAATTGTTATCTTTTATTTTATTTATTGTATATTTGTAGAATATTGATGTGATTTAACTTTACATATATAATTTACCTCCTCTCATATTATGAATAATAAATTACTTTTTTATATATAATAAATAAATAAATAATAATATAATTGCATTAATTTATGATACTAACGTATAACTTCGCTATTGTCATATATTATAAATTGATAAAATCTACGTGTACTTACGTTACTGAGTCTTTATACAATATTAATTTATCATATGTTGTCTTTAATTAATTAGGTAATTATATTAATAATCAATCAAGAGGCATTTTTTCCTTTAATTACTAATACTAATTGATTGATTTAAATTAAAGATATTTTTATTAAAACAACAAATTATAATGCTAATGTGTAAGATTCTTCCTTTATTCGTTATAAATTATCAAAATCTATGTATACCAATGTTACTTTAAGTTTTACATAATATCAATATATTGAAAATTTTATCCAATTTTTAAGATTAATCAATTATTATTATTATTATTAAAATCTATCATCTAGAATATCTTCATCATATTAATGTGACCATTTATAGTGTTTCTATCTTTATACACTTTAAATCGTTAAGACTTTTGTGTACCAATGTTACCTTAAGTCCTATGCAATATAAATTTATCAAATGAAGTCATAATCTTTTTATTAAGTAACTATTTTCTTTAATCAATTTAAATATATTTATTCCTTTCAAATTTTGATAAATTAAACAACCAATCATTTCTTCATTTTATTTTACAAATCTTTGCAACATCGAATCATGATGTGTGATTTACATTACTTTAAATTGTTCAAAAATTATAAGAGATTTATATATAACTTATACTATCTTAAATTTTCTTTCAACATTAATCATAAGTTAAATATAAGTCCAAATATTTCATTACAAATAAAAATTTCTTTTTAACGATTTGCAATATAGTTGTGTGATCTTCCTTCACCTTCCGTATTATTTCTCATAGGATATATGTATGACCGCGTTATCTTGTATCTTAAATATTATATCTTATAAAATAATTTTAATCTTAAAAGTAAACTTCCTTTTACTAATCTTTATCGACCAACTTCAAAATTTTTATGGTGGAACTACTTGACTTTGAGTTTTCCATTTCATCTGGGAATACATAGTAGAGGGAACCAAAACTGTCAAATCAAAATAAATTTAAATTTTTTTTAATGTATCAATTAACATTTTAATAAATAATTTACTTTTTTCTAAAATAAGATAACAACATTTATTGTTTAGAGGTTAAATAAATATTTTTAAAATTAAACTAAATTTACACAATTAATTAAAGTTAACCGTTATTTAAACGAACGTTGTAGGGTGTTAATACGTTCCCTACACGTAAAAGACTCCTAAACTCATTTTTAGTTTTAAAGATCATTTTTAAAGTTTTTCAAACTTTTCTTTAATAAACTTTAATGACAACTCCTCTGATTTTTTAGAAAATATTTTTTATTCTTAAAAAATATTTTGTTAAACACGTTTTTGCCGTACCGTTATGACTGCCTAATTGCAACAACAGGCAAAACATATTTTCTAAAATTGTTAATGAAAACATCTTAAGAAATATAATTTCTTTGTTGTTTTTTATTTTCAATGAAAATGATAAAAACAAGCATGTCCTTAGTTATAGTTTGTACTTTATTTTTTATATAAATTTAGATTTTTCAATTATTTCAAATCAATATTTGCCCTTATTTAGCTCTTACAAAAATATCACATCAATAAAAATTTTGATGTGACACATCTATATACACGCTACATCACAAATAAGTAACGATTAAAATCATTTTGAAAAAAAAATAACAAACTAACTTTGGAGGATTAAAATAAAGTTTAATTGTATATATACATTGACCAAAATATTACCAAAAAGATATGTTAAAAAAATAAATTTAATTTTATGAAAAAATGTAGTGTTTCTGTTAAAGATACACTTGTCTTCTGTAATCGCTCTGCTAGTCCTCTAATATGATGTCCTTGTAGAATATCTCAGATTTTCCTCTGTAATGACGTGGGGAAGGATACTTGTAAAAACACTCTGATGTCCTTGTATGAACAGTGCCGAATGAACAGTAAAATTGCGTATGACAAGTAAAATCTGCATATATACAGTGACTGCTGACGTCATCAGTGACGTCATGGCTGACGTCACATACGCGTACAGTGCATGTACAGTACGCGTGCATAGTATTTTTCGGCGTGAATAGTGCCCTGAACAGTGTTTCCGGCGTGAACAGTAAGGCGGTGAACAATAAATTCCGGCAGTGACAGTAAATTTTGAAAATTTTCTATAAAAAGGGGGCTTCACACAAAATTTTCATTTCTTCACCCCTATCCAAGGTTCTCAAAGGTTCTAAGGCCAAATATCACCATTTTCTCTCATACTAAACCTTCCTAAACTTAAATTTCTCACCAGATCTGAGATTCTACGTCTATTCTGAAGGATTTGAAGTAAGTTTCTTTAAGTTTGAAGCTAGATTTACCGTTCATTTCTCTTCTTCTTCTCTTTCTCATAGAAGTTCATGGTGTTCTTAGGAGAAACTCCGTTCTAAAGCCAAATTTTTGGTGAATCTTGCTATAAAACAAGTAATATTCGGTAGATCTAGTGTGAATCATCGTTCTGAAGTAAGGGGAGCTTACTTTAGCCTATAATCTATGTTTTGGACGGTTGATATATTATTACAAGAAGTTTTGATATAAATTTTGTTAGATCTTTTGAATAAAAGCTATTTTCTAAGCTGTAACTGCTGTTAATTGATTTAAAATGCTGAGATTTTGGCTGATCTATTATAAACTTGCCTTAGCTGAGCTGTTACAATAATTTTGGCGGTGTGCATCATGCTGAAAAATATGTTTTGCATCATTATAGAGCCGAGTTACATGTTTAGGTGGGTAAACATGTAACGGTAAGTTCATGCTGAGCTGCTGTGCTTTGTTGTCTGGATCCAGATACCGGAATGGGTCGCTCCCGGACCGGCTCGGTTCCTTCTGAATTACTTAGGCTGTGGAACCAGTTGGAAACCGTTTTCATGTTGTGCATTAGATGGGCTGGAAATGCATAGGGCTATCGCTGTGAGAAATATTTTGCTCTATATATATGATTTTATTTTATTTTTGTAAGCTCACCCTTGCATTTCTTTCTATGTCATTGTGTGCGTGTGTACTGCGATAATCATACGGTGGTACGTGAGTAGATGTAGCAGGTGTTGCATCTACTTCACAGACTGAGGGGCCAGTGAAGAAATGTTAGAAGCTGGAGTCGAGTAATATTGTATCAAAGTCCTTTTTTCCTTATATTTTGAGACCTCATGTAGAGGGAGCTGTATAATATAATTTTGGGTATTTTGAATATTATGAACTAAATGTAATATTATGTTATTCTGTTGGATATTTATTATAAGAAAACTTTGTTTTATTTTGAATGAGAAGAGAATTTCATACTTATATTCTTTATTATTTATTTACCTTAAATAAGTATGTGATGTAAAAATAATGTTCTCGATTCCTTACAAAAAGGGGTCGTGACATGTTCCCATTGGATTCTCTTTGGCCAGGGACTTGTTCCATTCAAGCTTGGTTACGAAACTCGGCCAGCTCTTCCATTTGCATGTACTTAGTTGCTCGGTTGTGCAGTTCATCTAAGTCAGCAAGAGATTTTTTACAGATATTATTAACAAAGGGTCCCGGTCTAAGAGCTATTGTGAAGCGATGCATCGCGACGGCTAGCTCTAGGTTCCGAATGGAAAGAGCTACTTTCCCAAAACGCTCCATGAATACCTTAAGTGTTTCCTTCTTCTCTTGGCGGATGTTAACCAAAGCCATCGAGGTTAATTGATGAGAACGACTAGTAGAAAATTGTAGATTGAATCTTGTGACCAGTGTTATGAATGAATCAATGGACGTGGGAGGCAGTCTAGTGAATTAGTTGAGGGCTGGGCCCTGAAACGATGTTGGGAATATCTGACATAGTAAGGCATCATCATCAGTGTAAAGGCCTACTTAAGTAGTGAATATGTCAACATATTCCTCCAAATCGAAAGTTCTATCATATTTTTCCAAGTGTCCAGTAACTTTGCCTCTAGAATTAATTTTGCAAAAGGACTACGGCTTGAGATTCTATCCCGTCCGACCGAAAGGCTGGTCCTTGTCTGCTGTTGAATGATTCTTGGCCTCTCTTGTAGGGCTAACGACTCTTCTTGTTCTGGAACAAGAGGTGTGACTTGGGAAGGGATATAGGTCCTAATTTCGCTTCTCAAGTTGGCATTTTCCCTTCGTAATGCAAACAACTCAAGAGCATCTCTTTCCCAGAGACATTGTATCTCTATCATTTTCGCCTTCAACTATCTTACTATTGAGGAGATGTCCTCATCCTCTTCCCTCTCAATAAGAACTTCTGGTGCAAGCTGATTTTATACATGTTCTTTATGTTGACATGGCATTCCCCATGGCTAGCTGGGGCCTTCTTGTTGACATTTTGTCAGTACCATATCTGCTCAAAGTTTGAGGCAATTTGTGTCCCACGGTGGGTACCAAAATGTTCCTGTTAAGGATACACTCGTCTTCCGTAGTCGCTTTGCTAGTCCTCTGATATGACGTCCTTGTAGAACATCTCAGATTTTTCTCTATAATGGCGTAGGAAGAGTACCTATAAAGGCACTCTGATGGTGAAGTCAGTGTTCAGTATATGACAATAAACCTATTTAATATTCTGAAGTGAACCCGCTTTACTTGTACTTCATACTTTCCTTTTATAGACATGATATTGGGCTTAATGGGTTTCATGACTCAATCCTGTTTTAGCCTTCTCATTATTTAAATAGTTAATCCTTTCTTTATCGATTATCGATTATTACTCTTTAATTAGCTTATTGATTTATTTTAATATGATTGGAAGGGTGTTCGTCCTTAGGTTAGACTGAAAGAGTGTGGGTATCCTTTGTCCTGGTACAAGGCTGAAAGGGTATTTTAGTTCCTTTTTCTGTGGCAATGATCGAGTAGTATCTTATTCAGTACAAGTAGAGTTAAAGAGTATTGAATTAGTTAGATGTATTGTAAGTTTTAAATTGAATAAAAGTATACACCCATCATAAAATTTATACGGTTGATAAACATGTTTTAAATATTTATTTTTTTTATTTAATCTTAAATTTGTATTATTATTACAATAAATCATTTCATTCATAAAATGAGTAAATCTCAACCATATAATTTTTAGAATATACTTGTAAAATATTTTTTTTAAGAAATAGAGAGAGAAAAATGATTATTTAACAATAATTAAATGAATTTAGAAAATTTTATAAATAATCTAAGAGCTTGAAAATTATTTCATAATAATTTTATCTAACTCGAATTGTTTCTGAATACATATAGTCAAGATAAAAAATAATTCATATTTTTAAAATTTTAAAATAAAATATTTTTTCTAACATTTATTGTTTTTTTTCTTTCTTTTATTTCCTTTCAAATTAATTATTTTTATTTTTATTCAAACTTCCAAACAATGTCTTTAGTACTCACTCATCCTAAACTTTGTATGTTATTAATTTTTTTTAAAAATTTCACCTAACAATAACAAATAAAGAAAAAATAACTTACTCTTTATTTTCATTTTTTACATTTAATTACCTCTTACATTTTTATTGTTATGTGTAAAACAAGTGAGCCCAAAACAAACACATCAGAGCCCATTTAGAAAATTATCTATATTGCAAATGGACTCGTTAGCAAAAGAATAAGAAAAAGAAGCACGAGTTTCTCAGATCAGAAACGTGTTTTGGGGGTGAGAGAGAGCAAGGCACGAGGGCGTGCAGGCAATGACCTCTGCGGCGCGGTGCAGTGGTGTTGCCGGCGATATTCTTGGTGGCTGACGGTGATTGTATGTGCGCGTGTTTTTGTGTTCACGAGTGAATTCACTTGCATATATCACATGATGCACCCAATCAAAATCAAAATCAAAATGCATTTACAAACTGAAAATAAGGAAGAGAAGAAACTTACCGGTTGACTCAATTGGATTGCTTGCCTTCTTCTGTAGTATTGTGTGTTTCACCTTCGGCGATGACCTCTACTTTTATTAACAGATAATGTCAAGGGAAGTATTCTGGGAGCAATGAATGTAGGCAAACGTATTGGATCTGTACAAGGTGATAAGCTTTTTCTCTTGTACATTATAACAACGTGTCTGTGAAATAGTAAACAATCCATGCGATACAGAGGGCCTTACCCTTTTTTCTCAAATCTTCATATATATTATTGTCATTAAGTTAAATTTTAACTCCATGGTGTCTTTTTTTAATTCATTTTTGTTTGTGTCAGTTCTTGATAATATCCTTAAGTAATGTTGCCACTTTTTCGTTTCATGTATCTATCGTGAATAGTCTGATTGGTTTTATTACTATTACGAATATATTTTATAAACTCAAGAAATGAAAAATATTTATTTGATAATATCCACTGAATCAACATTTTTTGTCCCTTTTGGCATAAACATAACACTCTCCTCATCAGCAGATAATTGGTAATTCAGAATGTGGCTAATTTTTTCATACAGGTCCAGTCTTCCAGTCCTTTAGCTTACCTACGATTTCAGAGCTGTTGAGAAAACAACACTGGTCAGAGCTCAAAGGTCATCTTAGAGCAACCAAACCTGCAATATTTCTTGACCAATTGCTTAATGCAGGGGTTGATTCAGAGCTTGTTTTAAGATTCTTTCGATGGTCTGAGAAAGAGTTCAAGCTTTCATATGGTATTGAAACGACTAGCAAAGTCTTACATCTTTTAGCAAATTCAAAAAGGTACGCTGAAGTCAGGTCCTTTTTGGATGACCTTGTGAAGAATGAGAAACATACAGTTTCTTCTGTTTTTCACTATCTTTTGTTGGGGGGTGATCAATCTCGTGCAAATGCTCTAATAGTTGATATGTTGGTCCTAGCATATGTGAGAAATTTAGAACTCCACTCTGCGTGTGAAGCATTTAGGCAAGCTCGGCATTATGGATTTAAGTTATCACTAAATTCATGCAATCCCTTGTTGACTGCTTTGGTTAAGGAGAATGAAACGGGGGAAATGGAATATGTGTACAAGGAGATGATAAAGAGGAGAATTCAGCCTAACTTGATCACATTTAATATTTTCATTAACGGCCTCTGTAAGGCTGGTAAGTTGAATAAGGCAGAGGATGCTATTGAAGACATGAAAGCCTGGGGATTTGTCCCAAACGTAGTTACTTATAATACTCTTGTTGACGGGCATTGCAAGAAGGGCACTGCTGGGAAAATGTACAGAGCTGATGCCATTTTGAAGGAAATGCTTGCGAATAAAATTTGTCCGAATGAGATTACCTTTAACACTCTTATTGATGGATTTTGTAAGGATGAGAATGTGTTGGCAGCCAAGAAGGCTTTTGAAGAGATGCAAAAGCAGGGACTGAAACCTAATTTAGTTACTTATAACTCATTGATAAATGGTCTATCTAATAATGGGAGGCTAAATGAGGCTTTGGCTTTGTGGGATGAGATGGTTGACTTGGGTTTGAAGCCGAATATTGTTACTTATAATTCTCTTATTAATGGGTTTTGTAAGAAGAAGATGATGAAGGAAGCAAGAAAACTCTTTGATGATATAGCTAAACAAGATTTGGTTCCCAATGCAATAACATTCAATACAATGATTGATGCATTCTGCAAAGATGGGATGATGGAAGAAGGATTTGCACTCCGTAGTTCAATGCTAGATGAAGGCATTTCTCCAAATGTTTCAACCTATAATTGTTTGATTGCGGGCTTGTGCAAAAAACAAAACGTTAGAGCTGCCAAGCAGCTTCTTAGTGAAATGGAGAACTATGGATTAAAAGCTGATGTTGTAACATATAACATCTTAATAGATGGATGGTTCAAAGATGGTGAATCAAGTAAGGCAGAAAAATTACTTGATGAAATGCTCAACGTGGGTGTGAAACCTAATCATGTAACATATAACACTTTGATGGATGGGTATTGTATGGAGGGAAATCTCAAGGCAGCATTGAATGTGAGGAGACGAATGGAGAAAGAAGGGAAGCGCGCAAATGTTGTTACATATAATGTGCTGATTAAAGCATTTTGTAAAAAATGCAAGTTAGAGGATGCAAGTAGGCTTCTTAATGAGATGTTGGAAAAGGGTTTGAACCCAAATCGTACTACCTATGACATAGTAAGACTGGAAATGTTGGAGAAAGGTTTTATTCCAGACATAGAAGGGCACTTGTATAATATCTCTAGCATGCCTTAACATGAACTTGAGATGCTAGATGGAATTTTGTTATTAGTGTATTAATTACTGTTTAGAGTTCAGCTTCATAAAAGATTAACAGAATAGGTATAGTATATATTTTTAAGTTATATCTTATTTTTTGCTGTTTTATCTGGTTGTGCTATGCAACGCAATTTGAACAAATTTTTCATTGAATACATTACGCAACTTCAATGCGTTACGCAACTAAAAACACTTAAACGGAAAGCAATTTCATTATTATTACCAAAACAGATCATCATCGTTATTATACAATACCAAATGAAGCTCCAGTATCGATGATCTTATTGCTCAAGTCAAGTAGTATCTTGATGACTATCGACCCAAAGAGCAAGTATCTCGGTGACCATGTTGTCATTTTAAAAACGACGGTCCAATCATTCATTAAGACATACTCGAGCTTGGAAGAAAGTTAATATGCAGCATGAAGATGCTTAATTAGCTCGATGTAGACATTACTAGTTAAGAACCACCGTTATGATTTTGTCCAGCGATTTTTATCTCACAAACACTAACAACAACAATCAACAACAAACTTATTTGGTAGACACTTATTAGGGTATCTACATCTTCAGAAAGATAGAAATGAAAGAGAAAAATAATAATTTCAATAAATGATGTGACCAAAATAAAGATAGATGAAAAATGTTAAGGAAGTATTGACACTATTTAAATGTCTATAAATTAAAGTTGAAAATAAACTAAGCAATTTTCGACATTTTTCATGTTGTATTTCTTACACGGTCCGTATATAAAAAAATTCCGGTAAGTAAAACAAGAAACCTGTTTTTCTATTTTATTATTGCCGGGTATAAAACAAAATGCTTGCATATAGACAATTAATCCAGATTTAAGCTGAATTAAATTTGTGGCTCTCACAAAATGAAGCCAAAAATCATCCGCCGCCGGTAGATGCTTTTCTCCGTCAGAAGCACTCACGAATATACAAACACTATATACTAGTGGATAAAATAAAAATTATCTAACTGTATCTACTGCCCAACCTGCCACGAGAAAGAGAAAAACTAGAATTAGCATCTTTTGGCGGCAACCCAATACGACAAGTATGAACATAACCTGTGAGCAGTTAATTTACATTGGGAAATGCTCAATGATCTGACATTATTACCCATCTATAATACTACCTCAATTCTGCTCTGTACATACAACTTTTTGAGTCTTTATAATGTGTATTTGAAAGTGCAGTCCATCAGTGCAAGTTGAAGCTTTTTATACCTCATTATTTTATTTCCATTAAAAGATATTTTCATCTAACATTCTATCTAGTAAACTTACGTTGTACTCTACCGAAAGACTAACCAAGTAGAAGCCGTTTATACCACATTAATTTATTTCCATTAAAAGATATTTTCATCTAATATTCTATCTAATAAACTTGCATTGTACTTTACCGAAGAATAAACAAAGACAACTAGCCAATTGTAAAACCATATAAAACAAAATGAAGTTTTTCCTCGAAAGGAAGGCTTGGACATTAAGAAGTACTACAAGGCAAGCACCAGAATAGATAACCAAGCACGATAGATATAATTCAGCTGGACAAAACACAAGAAAAAAAAAAAACATACCGCTAATATAAAGGAAAAATAATGGCATCTTTGATAATAACTACTTACACTGAACCAGGATCAATTTCAAGCAACAGAAGACCATCTTAAGGATTGAAGAGACTTGAACCGCCAATATTGAGAGCAATTAGTAGTGATATGCTAGTAATCACAGCAAGCCAAAATAAACCTGACCCTGCAATTGGAAGTTTTATTTGTCATCATGAACACAGGATTTTATTAAATCTTATAAACCTTCAAATAACACAACACATATTATAGAAGGTTCAATTAAAAATCATAAGACAATGATACCTCCAGAACCGTCAGAATTATCCAAACCAGAAGGAATTGATTCAGCATTGGGAACCGGAGATTTTGACACTTTAGACCCAGTACTTGAGCCATTATCCAAAACTTTGCTAAACCCTGTTTCAGATGCTACTATCCCTTGAAATTCTTCACTAACAATTAATGCAGCCAAAACATCCATAAATGACTCTTTATCTGTTTCATACACAGTCTCTCTTTCATCCTTCTCATTAGTGACATTTGCTTCTGAATCAGACAACTCATCATCTGAAGCATCAGTGTAAATGGAATCCAACACAGTTTTGTCATCTTCCTCATCCTCCACATATGCTTTATATGTTAGCCGAAGTAATATCTCCCCAGAAGAGCGCTTTCCCAAAACTCCCCAACCTCCTTGCAAAACCACAATTCTGTCTGTTGGTACGGTGTCTTTAAGAGATCCCAAATCAACCTGAACATTTTCAATTAAACATAAACATAGGGCAAAATACAAAATTAACTCAGAAATCCCCACATATTTTAATTTTTTTTATTTAACTTCAATACAAATATTCAACGTGAAAGATAAAATTTAGTACAATCATACATAAAAAACAAAAGAAATTTTTTTTTAAAATAGACTTGATAATTAACTTTCATTGTACTGCACTTATTCAACTTTTATGCAACAGATTGTTATATATATATATATATACATACATACATACATACATACATATATATATATATATACCAGATCAAAATAGTATGATATTCCAAGGGAACAACACAACAATAATTCTCATGGCCTAGCAACAGCATAAATGGTGGAAACAAAGGCCAGTAAAATGAAGGGAAATGACAGACAAATGTCAAGTTTTGCCAACATCCAGCCATTGGCTTATGAAGTATAGCAATATTACAAGTTACAACCAAGTGAACCAAAAAATTCCAAATACACATCCATTTCTTATACACTCCAAAACATTAAGTGTACCTATCATTGGAGAAGTTAGTCCAAGTAACATAAAATATAGTGAATCTACAACCACTCCTTCAATAACATCAAATAATTTATGTATCTACACCTAAAAAACCCACCAATTCCATCTAAAAGTAATCTCAATCATATACAATCACCAATTCCAATTAGGTTTGTTCAGCTAAACCCTGTTCAACTCATTAAGTTAAGCCAATTTCATCCCAAAAATTCATAGAGCTCCATTAGCACTAGATAAACACTGCTGATCATAGTTAGCATCCAACTGGATTTATGTTAGCATCCAATTGTAAGGTATGAGACTTGAGTACCACATTGGAAGTATGAGATTCTAATGTGAAATTTATAAGGTGCTGGGTTCTTCAACTACACCAACTAGCTTTTGTAGTCTGATTTTCCCAAAGTTTTATGAATTGATATAAGAGTCTTCTACATGTCTCTTAGCTACAAACAAGTGACACAGGTGGTGACATTGGCATTGGCACATTGCAGTGTTCACCTGAGACTAACTAAAGGGATTAGTGCATAGCTACCCCACATTGGTGTTAGGTCTGTGGAGTGTGGTAGAATGTTTAGATCCAATTGTAAGGTATGAAACTTAAGTCCCATATTGAAAATATGCGATTCTATTGTAGAGTTTATAAGGCCCCAGGTACTTCAACTACAATGGCTAACTTTTGTAGTTTGGTTCTACCAAGATTATTCATCGGAAGACACATCTTTGCTATTAAGCTACCAAGTAGCAATAAAAAGCGAAAAGATTGACTGGAAGCTAAAAAGCACAATCTCAAACAAATACCCAAAGCTAACAGTGTTTATATACTAAGAAAGAAGAATAAAACTATTAGAAAACAGGAAATAAATAATCAATAAATAAAATTGATATAACACATAATGCATACCTCTCCGGTGCCAATGGTCAAATCTACAAATCCTAAAGCGTCCTTTACTTGGATGAATAATTTCTGCTTTTTAGGGTTGGAAACAAGCATATGAAAATCCTGTAGAGCTAGAACACGTGAGTATGACAAAAAATATAGAAGTGGCATCCCAAAAAGATGAATCAGGAAATCCAAAAATGACACCTGATTCCAAATTGGCATTCCAGGGGGGCCAATTACTGTAGTTTGACTGTTCTTTTTGCTGCGTATAACCTGATTTCCAACGCTAAGAATAACATAAGGATCTGTCTTGCCTGGAAAAATAGCAGAAATAAATATAAGGCAGGTAATAGGGCATATACATTGTACACTATTTCATAAGAAATTTTTATGTTGAAACTAAAACTGGTAAGCAAAGAAAACCAGATAGGGCAAAAAAATGGAGTACAAATAGCCAAAGCCTGCTTTTATGGTCAACAAATTATACTATCAGTATACAAAAATCATATCTTTTCCATTGGAGACTATTAGAGGACAAAACAAAAAAATATGTTCACGGATCATAAATTAGAGAATAGACTATAAAATAAAAATCTATTAAAATAAAAAAGAATGCACCAAAATAATTAAAAAGAATCACTTCAAAGCAAATATAACATGATAGAATTTTACCATAGAAAATATAAGAAAGCTTTCGAGCATCCACCAGAGTAACAGATAGTTCACCAACAGAATCCTTGTTTCCTTCTTGCATTGCTCCAGATTTAACATCATCAGCAACTGGACCAACAGCTTTTCCCTTTTGGAAATCCAAAACAATTTTCTTGGGGCGGACAAATAGTCTAGGTAAATCTTCAGTGAGAAGTTTTGTCAAAAACCTACACAAGAAAAGCCAGAATAATTACATTACAGTCACTGACAGGAAAAAATTTACACAGACAACATCATGATAACAAATCCATAAAGATGAAGAAAGCTTGTAGATTAAATTCAGAAGATACTGAATGTTTTAAAGAATGATTCACATTAATATTATTATTTTACAGAACAATTACTGCTAAAGACAAACCAAAGTAAAGTACATCTTCAAAAAAAAATTATAAACATTTATTGTCAACTTAAATAAATATTTAATTTGGAGTAACAAAAGCTTCCCAAGTGTTGTGCCTTTCCATAATTAGTAACATAGTACTCTATAAAAAGTATCACCTTCAAAATGCATTCAGACAAGTGCACAAACATAAAGCTTCACAAGCATCAAATGCAATGAACTTATAACATGAAGAAGATAAAAGGAACTTACATTGAGAGAACTGGAATTGCTGACCATGCCAATGATGCACAAGAGAAAAAAACAACATAGATGTCAGCAACAATATTTCAGATATTTTAAAAGTTATATATGTTTAACATGCAAGGAGACTACATGTTGTCTTTGTCTTTGACCTACCAAAAAAATAAAATAAAACTTTGTCTGTAATTAAAATTAAAATGACATTTAGGAAAGACACGACATTAGATATAAAATCATTCACAAGCCTTCACCTAATAGTTTAAGCTTTAAGTAGAGTTGGTTCTTTACATGGTATTAGAGCTTCTGTGACCAAGAGCTCCATAATTTGATTCTTGTCGCTCCCATTCTTCTGAAAGAATTTGAAATTCAGCACAAGATATGTGGGTCTATGCATTGTCCACAATTTAAGTCCGAATGGCTCTTGCATTACAAGGGGTGTTAGATATTCAAAAGCCTTCACCAAACAGCCTAATTTTTGGGGAGAGTGGGTTCTTGGAACTGTAAGTTGGTGATGGATGGGAAGTATACAGGAGTTTACTGGTTAAATTTATTGTCAAGGCTTCAAATTCACAAGTTAAGAAGAGAGATCCAACTAGTATTTACAACCATTTAAAATAATTATTCCAACTGGTATAGAACTCTTTTCAACACCAATGGTCATGGGTTAGTCCATAGTCAAAATATGGTGGCGGCTGCCCTCAGTGAATTGACACCAACTAACTCATTTATACAGAGGCACAGAGCAGTGTCTCATGATTTTAAGAAGTAAGATGACAATCACTTGTATAAGAAAATTGCCTAAACAATCAATAATAAGCCTTGGGGCAACCTTTTTGTTAATTTTCCTATAATTATCCACACTTTATTTTGTTTTTATAATCAAAGTTCCTAGAAAACAGTACTTTTGCTTACTGATTCATTCAGATCCTAAGTATATAAAAAGAATATAAATTCTTAGATCTATAAAAGTATGACATACCCATTAAATTGAACAGTCGGAATGGAGAAAGTTCAAACTTGATTTTAGGAAGTGAAACAAAAGCCCATGAAACAGCTCCCACCCAAGGTTCTGTGGGTATTAGTCTTAATTTTACCCAAAGTTCACCATCAATGTCAAAATCTCGAACACCGACAGGTACAACAATTGGAATGATACCAAATTTCAGAGAAAGCATTAACAGCATCCGAGCGCCACCAGTATACCGAAGGCCTATCTGGTACCTGGATAAAACAAAGGGAAATTAATTGCTTCTGTAAATAATATGATACCAAAATCAAAAACAACTATACAGCTTTGGATCTCAGGAAGATAAATCCAGAAGTAGACAAACAAAATGCTCCATACTCCAAACTGGTCCATACTAAAAATGAACAAGATATAACCAGTAAAATTACCAAACAGTAATTGAAATTCAATTGAAACAAAAATAAGCAAAAACGTTGACTTAAATACTTGTTAGCCAGCAAAACATTTAACTCGAACTATTAATAAAGCACATGCACAAGAGAAGCAAAACTTACTGCAAATCGTTCACCCGGCGAGAAGTCCTGCGTTCAACATTCCTAACAGACAACGGCTCATCCCCTAAGGAGAACTGCTTAATCTCAACCCTCTGCACATAATCAGGCTTCTTCAGGTTATCAATAACAGGCTGAAGCAACCCTATGATCCAATTCTCAATCCCACCTCTATACACCTTCCACAACTTTCCCAGCACCATATTCACCCATTCCACCGACTCTTTCCTCTGCAAATCCTTTTCCAAAAACAAGGAGAAGCTCGTGGGAACCTGTGGCCACACACCACGCAACCTATCTTCACTGTTAACTTTGTTCCTCCTCCTCGAAGTCCACAATTTATCAAAAACAACTCCAACGAAGAAAAAAAACACGAACAAACCAACCACGTTGCGGTTAATCGGAGGCGATGGAATTGGATGTATAACCCCTAATTGCGTTCTAAGCTTATCTACAATAGGATCTTCTTGGAATCCGGTGAAGTTGGAACCTAATTGAACCGGTGACTCTTGTGATTCGCGGTCGTTCACACTCTCCCCCTCGAGTTCGTTCGATACTCGTCTCAAAACGAAACTTCTGGCACTCCTCCTGGCGGAATTCCCGAAGTCGCCGTTCCAATTTCTGTTGGAAGAATCTGTGGGAAGTGCGCAGAAACGAACGGTGCATTTTCTTCGGAATTTGCGATAGCCAAAATTGGCAATTAAGCGTTTCCTCCTTCTTCTGGATAAGGGGAATGTAGCGAGTTCATTGTTGCAGGGACAGAGGGAAGAGAGAATGGGAGAGAAAGTGGAAGAAGAAGAAGGTTGTTGAAGAATCATCTAGAATACGAATTTGAAATAGCATCGTCGATTGAAAACATTAATGAATGAATGAACGAATAGTAGAAGTTGTGCTAGCGTGAATGTAACCTTGAAAGCTTAGGGTGCCGAGGAATGCGAGTTGAAAGTTCCATGAAATGAATGAAAGAAAATTTGAAGAATACAAAGACTCGTTCGTTCGATTTATGATTGTGGAAATTCCAAGCTAGATTTATGGCCTCAGAATCAGGACAACGTGGATTATCATCAACTCGGGAGGGAGAACTGGGAATACACCTCCACTTCTGCTTTTGCATATTTCTTTCCTCTTTTTTTAAATTTGTTAAGAATTATGCAGTAAATATATCGTTATGTTTTTTAAATAAACATTAACTAATATTTTTAATATTAAGTTTTTAAGTGTCTAAAATTTTTATTTAAATATTTAAAATTTATTTTAATTGTTAATAGATATTTTTGACATTTTAAATTTTTTAATAATTTTTAGTTGTTTTATTTCAATTTTTTATTTTAGTAATTTTTCAATATTATATTTTAATAATTTTTATAATTTTAATAATTTAATGTATTATTTTAAATATTATCATATAAAGTTTTTAAAAACTCCATCTGTATGTTATGGTGAATAAGAATATAAAGAATAACAATTTTTTAATAGAGTTATATTTTAAATCACTTAAAGTTGAAATTTAAAATTAAATTAAAACAATTTCCACCAACCGACCTAGAAGCATTGTGGTGGTGTTTTTTTAGGACACGTTGAATTGTTTTCATGGAATTCGAGTGAATTGCTTTTTTTTTTTTATTTAATTTCATTTGTTATCTATGTTAAATAATTATAAAAATATTATCCTGTTTTTTAAGATGTATACGAAAAAATTATACTTTTATCATTTTAGACTATACGGATAAAGAATTTAAAATAATATTATAATTTAATAAAAATAGAGTTAAGATAGCATCTTTATAACTATTAATAAAAACACAAAAATAACTTTATTTTGTTACACTTGTCAACGTTTACGCACGTGGGTCGGAGGTTGGGAGGCTCGGAGCCAACGCGCTTGCTTCAGTTGCGGTCTTTTCTTTCGATTCTTCGTTGTTAATGATTTCGTTTTCCTCGTGACTTTTCTTTTTGTTCTAATAATTATGAATATGCAAAACGTGATTAGTTTCAAGATTCGTTATATGTTTGACCGTACAGCGAGATTTATGTAGAATTGATTAATTCAAATCTTAATTCATAACAATGACTTGTGCCCAATATATATATATATATATGACAACTCATGCAGACTATATGATAAAAATGAATGATCCTCGGATTAAATTGTACTTTAAACAACTTTGTTTTCTTTCTCAAATCTAAACTCTAAATTTCATTTATTCACTTGATATAAATCATTTCTCAAAATTTAACTTGACATTTTAAAAGCCTAACTTAAATTGAAATCACATTTAATAAATCTTTCAATAGCTTAACAAAACTATTGCTGAATAGCTGAACTTTTAAACATGTTTAATAACTTAAGCCTTTAAATAGATACTAACAAACATATATTAGATATAGGCTATTTATTATTGATCTAAAATTATATTAAAAAAATTACATAAAACTTTTATTAAATTGCAGTTAAATAGAATGAAAATAATTTGACAATTCTATAATCTTAAAAAATTAAAAAATCTCAAGATAAAAATAAATCATATAACTAGATAAGGTAATAAGTCTATATTTTTTAAGTGTTTGTATAACTTAATTTTATACATGTGACTCTTATTTTATGAAGTTTTTAGATTAATTTCATTATTACTTATTGTAATTTAATATAAATTGATAATTAGAAAGTTACATTGTAATTAGAAGAAACTTGATAACAACTAGAATCATATTTAACTTAATGAATACCTTATTTAATAGTCAGTTTAAGAGTGTTTTATGATTAACTAAGAAAGCTGTTGTAATAAATTAAAAAAAATTTAAAGGTTTATAAGAGTGAATTTGAAATTTAAATTTAATAACAAAATAACATATATTTTTTTATAGATAGGTCATATCTTTTTTTAGAGATAAAAATATATTTTTTAGAAGGTTAAACTATAATTTTTGAAAGTCAAATAGTTATTTATTTATTTTTATAATTTTATAGCATACATAAAGGATTTTACAGGTTAGATACAAAGACAAGTTGACACACTTTTCCTAAGTGACTTTTAGAGTTTTTTAGGAGTAGAGGTAATTGATGAAAATTTGAATACTTTTCTAAAGACTAAATAAGTAATCTGTAGCATTTTTTGAGAATAAGAAATGTTTAATCTATTTTTTCTTTAGATCCTTTTAGTTTATATTTTTTTTAATGAACATTAATTTCTTTACCATTATTTTTTCTTCTTATTTTATTATGAGTAGCTAAATATATAACTATAATGTATTCTTTGCATACTTTATGTAATAAGTATTTTTAATTATAATTATAATTTTTTTTTTAGATTAGTGTGTTTGTATTTGTATGTATTAATTTGGTCATTCTTAATATATTATAATTGATTGCATAGTAACAATCATACCACATATAACCAATAAAAGTATAAGGTAAAACAAGATAAAGAATTAAATAGATCAAACTTAAAAAAAATTTATTGTTATTAAATTAACAAACTTACAAATTTTTTAAATTTTGCATATTTCATTGTTTGCATAATATCCGTAGGATAATATTACTAATAAGTTAGATTAAGAGTTTCAGAATATGTCATGTAGTATTAAGAAGAGAAACGCTAATAACACATTCTCAAATATACTTTTTATTAAAAAATATTAATTTAGAAATAAAAAAGGATGAGAATTTTTAATAAATTTTAGTACGTTGCTGGCATTGCTCAAGTTAAGAATTGATTTTTATCGCCAAATCTTTCAAATCCATAAGACAGCACTGGAAATTCGTATTAAAAACAAATCCAGCTATTTGTTATATACATCAAAAAGTGATTCACGGTGTATCAACCACAAATTAAAAATGTACTTAAAAATCTTTAGTTAAAAAAAAGTTAAACTTTAGATCAATTAAAAAACGTTTTACACTTAATAAGTTAGTAAAATAAATAACACAATAATATTATTGTTAGTATTATTTTAAGCTTTAAGTATGATTTTAGCTTATCACACTATTCCCTTGCAATATTGCTCCTGCAGATGTGTAGTAAATTTTTCCGTTTCAGCTTGTGTGATATATTTGTCACTAATAATAGTTGAGACACTCTTTTATTTCATTTAAGCTTTATTACCATCCATTTTTCTTGTTTTGTATGATAGGACCATGATAATTAAACCATGTAAAAATAATAATAAATATATCAATTAAATTTTAAGTAATTCAAAGTCCTTTCAACTTTATTTTTTTTTATCTTATTTCTTTTTAACTAATTCATCTCTCTCTCTTTTTCTTTTTTCTTTTTTTTTTAAATTTCAGGAAATAAAGTATGTGACCCACAGACCATCTGAGAGTTTTCTCACAATCTAAACATGTGCTACTATTCTTTGCCACGGTTCTAACAGTAGGAGCGGAGCTAGAATATTTTTGTTATTGTATTATTGAAAAGGTAATTAAATTAATACAATTTTAATTGTATATTTTATCATTTAATAAAAATTAATGTGTGATTTTTGTTTCTTAGTAATTCTTTGTTTAAATTTAGTCTTCCATTTTTTAAGTCACTGTCAAATTCTTAAGTTATTTTTCTTTTACACAATCATTATATCCTTATTTATTTGTTTAAATAATTAAAAATTAATAACATGTTTGAGATTAAAAGAAATATTGTTAAAAGTTTCAAAATTAGAAAGTTGAATGATTTTTATATAAGACGTGATGTTAAAGTTTTACAGATGATTAAGATTTTCTAATTTAGATAAAACATAATTTTTTAATTGCTAATTTTTTACTAAAAAATCAATAAAAAGATTCATTTTAGCAATTAAAAAAAATAAATTTCAAAATATAAATCATTTCAAGCCTAAAGTATAGATTATTTGTAATGAAAAGGCAAAATTATATATATACACACAAAAGTACTCAAGTCTTGACCAATAATAGGCCAAAAATCATTGAAAGGTGATGTGGTAGTTTCCGACAGTTATTTTAAGTCTGGGGAATAATGATCTCTAACTCCAGAGTACCTCAAGCAGTACATAGCTCAGTCCCTGACTAAACGTAAAGCTCTTTTCTACGTCACCCTGCAAAGTATCGCCATCAGGTCCATTCTCCTTCGGTATGGGCGATTCATAAATAATTAATAATCGTATATCATAAATACTGTGGCAGGACCATTTGATCTGAGCATTAAATGTCAAAATATAAATGAGTAAAATCGTTGAAAGTGGAATAAGATTTTCCTGTCCAGACATTGACAATCATTAAATAATTAAAAGCAAATATATATTAAATAAAATGTAAGTTACTTTATTTAAAAATCACAGAAAAATACATTAATGACATTTTTTAATAAACTTTTTATTTTTAATTTATCATCCAATGTTTTGAGGTGCTAGCTAAGATTTGCTAATAAAATGAATCATTCAAACTCTATGCATGTTCATCTCACCCATTGATAGCAAGACTATAAATTAAACCAAAGACTACATTAGATGGCAGGTAAATTTCAAGGAATCAAATGCCACAGGACCAGAGTACATGTAAAAAACAAATGCCATAGGACCAGAGTACATGTAAAAACCACATGATTCACAATGCATGTACGGGCAACCGCAGTGCACCGATACAACAAGGCTAGGCAGTTGCGCATCTGCAGATGCATTGATATTTGAACTGAAGAATTTCTCGAATACACTAGCAATTTCAGTCTAACTAGTTAAATCATCATGTCAAGTCCACATAATTTAGGAAAAGATACTGGAAACTCCAAAACAGTATTCCGCAACTAAGGCAACCTGAACCCAAAGATTAAAAGAAAACATAGGCAAAACCATATAAATTCAGAAACAAGATGCAATGAAATTCTACCATCGGTCAAACCAAAATTCAAAATCAGTCTACTGGTTGATCAACTTCTGCATATGCAGTTTCAAGGTGAGCTTGCTCTGCTTCTTGTACCTCCTTCTCAGTTTTCCTGCCCTTCTTTGATTTGTAGTATACACTCATAAAGGTCCCGACAGCTCCATACTTCCTCCTACAATTCTCATATAGACCAGCATCAAACATCCTCCAGAAATTTTTCTCAGACAGCTCAGACACAGCATACTGTGGCTGAAAACCATGATTTTCAATCAACCAGTTCTCCATTTTACGCACTGCTTCTGCACCATCAAATACCTCACCCCTAAGAACAGGACCTGGTGCATAGTAAACTCCAACATCTGTGTACATTTGAGCAGTTTGGGTGTCTCCCTGTCTGCGATGTAGTTCAAAACCTGGCTCTGGATAAATCGTAGTTTTGATGGGCAGCTTGAACAGTTTGTGTGGACACAGCCAAATGGGGTATAACTGATGTATTAATGATAAATAAAGTAAGAAACAAAATATACAATTGCACCAACGAAATTATACAAGAAAACTAAATTCCAGAGACAACTAACTAATATATCTGCATAGGTTGAAATAAAACAGGCAACATTTGTAATAAACTAGTACTATTCAAACAAATTAGTAATATTACTACATTGAAAAAGTAGAATATGCATTTACTTAAATTTTCTCAAATGTTAGAGCATGGAAATTACTTTAGAACATATTAAACAATGAAAATGGGTTTTCATTGCAAATCAACCACGAGAGTTGAGCTCAACTTATTATTATAAATTAGAATGTTAAAATATTTTCCCTTGTACAAAATACTGAAGAAATAATGTAAGACTCAAGGTTGGGTAAGAGGAAAATATACCTCCATCTCACGGTGAACCCATTCTAATGCATCTCCCACCTTGTACAAAGGAACAAGCATGTCCTGGATGACATGCATTTCATGGTAATAGTTTCTTATAGCTTCACCTTGAGTTGCCTTGAGGAGAGAAACCTTAGGTGGCATCAACCAACCAAGCAGAAACCTAAACCAGCATTGATCAGCAAATGGGAGGATAAGCTTTCCCTCCCAGTACAAACACCTTGTGTGCCTGTGATAATATTCTCTGGTAGGAATGTATTCTACAAACAATCCTTTCTTCAGAGCAGTCTCTGCATGCTGATAGAACCAAGGTTTAAACCACCATCCTACACTGTTGATCTTATTCCCCTTCTTCTTGGCCTCTTCTTTTGAAGCATATCTCCCGGTCATCATCACAGCTTGTGTAGGTGAATAAATCATTCCTTCAACAAAGTCTGGAACCTTTTCCTCATTATCCTGGTCTCCATCCCTGGGAGCAAAAGAATCACAATATGCCTGTGCAATATCTTGTAGGTTACCAACAACAGGTTGGTAGGTTAGCTTCATGTACTCCTTAATGTGGATAAGTCTGATCTCAGCAGCAACAAGAAGCCCAAGTGTTCCCTGAGACCATGGAATAGAATAATATAGATCAGAGTACTCATTGTCTTTGGTGGCTCTAACAAGAGTGCCATCTGCCAACACAATTTCATAGGCCACCACAGTATCAGAGAACAGGCCATATTTGTGGGAGCTTCCTTCAATCCCATAGCCATTGATGAGACCACCAACAGTGAGATCATCTAGCTCTGCAACTACAGCAAGGGAAAGATTCATAGGAACAGTCACCCTAGAGATCTGCCCCATGTTGACTAGGGGCTCCACTCTTGCAATCATTCGTTCTCTGTCGATGTCAAGAATATTCCGGAAAGCAGACAAATCAACTTCAAAATGACGAGCTCTCTTGTAGTCAACATTTCTCATCCCAACTGCAATCCAGGGCTTACGAGCAGTACAGACAAGACCATCCTTTGATGGGTTCCTCTGTTTAAGCCGTTTGATAACCTTCTTGACATTCTCATCATGTTGCTTCTGACGCGTCTTAAAGGACTTCCACTCAGATCTCACGTCACCAAGGTAAGTGAGGAAATAAATTGTGAAGGAAATGGGAAGGACCACAAAAATAACAATTATCCATCGAAACTGAACAAAATAGTCCACCCAAACCTTCTTCCTCTTCGGGCGCAAGGGAGCCTCAAGATCCGACATTGTTGAGATTATATCCTCCTGCTCCTGCATGAAATATTAGAAAGCAACCTCTCAACAGTTATCTACGTACATAAAAAAAAAAAAAACAAAAACTAGATTCTGACTTAGTAGAACAAAGAGAAAGAAAGACAAAGCTAAATTGATTCAGTGTACAAATTATTATCAGACCAGAAAATACAAAAATACAGAAACAGAAAAGTAAAGGCCAAAAAAAAAAAAGATTTAACACAAATTCCTCAGGAATTGTAACTGGGATTATAGCTCTAAAAATTATCAATAAATAATCATATGGACAAACCAGCCACCAAAAGTCGTCACAGAATGCTAGGTGTTTGAAAAAATCTAAAATAAAAACAGAGGTCGTTGCATGCATACAAAAAAAGGTAGATAATCGAAAAAATTGTCAAAATCCAGCAGTAGTTAACAAAGATCTGAGATCCACTTTGAGTAAATGTAAATAGAACGCAAATCCACCTAGAAACAAAGGTGACCAAAGAAAACAAAGGAGCAATTTGTTTGTTTGACTAAAATCAAATAGGTTAAAGTATAGCCCAAAGAAAATAGCAAGATTATCGTTAGAGAGTGAAACTAGAAAAGAAGAGTAAGAAGAAAGACGAAGAACTCAGGATTAATGGTTTAGAGAGAGTACCTGAGAGTGAGGCTTCAGTTTCCGCTGAAGGGAATGAGTGATGGAGTAGAGGGTGAAGTGGGGTTTTATGTCAGTCTGGGGGCGTTTCCACTTTCTCGCCTCATACCCCGCTTCTAGGTAATTACAATTACATCCTTCCAAATTAGTAACCATTTTTTGTGTGTATATATATATATATAAACATGTCTTTTAATATATTTAAAATTATTATTTATTTTTTAAGTATATATAAGACTCATTAAATTTTAAAAAATATATTGTATAATTTTTAACAAAATTTATTTAATAATAATAAAATACATACTGATAGTAATTTTTTACATCATCATATACAATGACTAATATTGCATATTAATATGAAGTTACATGAAATGATATATAAATTATAAAATTAAAAACATTTATTATTGATTTAAAGTTAAATCAATTTATAAAGTATTTAAATTAAGAATAAGCACATTTTTAATTTTTTATTATATATTATTTCCTTCAGTTTAAAATATTATTTTTTAAACTTATAATTTTCTGTAAGTTAATCAAATCTCCTCTGTTTATTTTTCGTTTACTCTCAGTGTTTAAATAGAATATTATGGATGCGTATGGTTTTTACATGATCACGTGGTGATTGATTAAAAAAATGGACAATAGTTATTTTTTATATTAAATATTTAATTTCTTAATTTTTTTTTCAGATTCTTTTTATCTATTTCATTTTTAATATATATTTAAGGATATAAAAAGTAATAAAAATAGCAATTTTTTATTAGAAAATATAATATTTGATATTTTTTATTAAATCTTATACTTTTTGGTAAAGAATATTTATATAAATACTATGTAATGCTAGACCGGTTAGAATCTCAATGCAAGTGGGCCCACCAAACCAGATTCCATTGGCCTTCACGTCTTTGAATCACGTGAAAGTTTCCCACTCCCATGTGAGTTGCAGACAGTCTGACATTGTTTTTATTGAAAACTAATGTAATTAATATTTTTTAAGACTCTATTTAAAGTTTAAAAATAAACAGTAATAAAGAGTTATCGTTTAAAATTTTAAAATATCGAAATGTTATATTTTTAAAACTTAAATTTACAAAAACATCCTATGAAATTACCCTTGATTTTTCCCCCCTACTAAACACTATCGTTACGTAAATTCTGTGTTTAATTCAATTGCTTCTTAAAAGGTCCAAGTCCGACATGTTTTTCAATTATTTTTCTCATAAACATAAAATAGAAAACTGAGATTTTATATACATATATAATATATATAAAGACCTGGCCATAAATTTAGAGCGATAATATCAATGACAGAGGTTCGTAATCTGTTTTATTACATACAGAGGTTAGTTTAATTTTTTTTTAAGAGTCAATAAATAAATTTCAATAAAAAAAAATTAATATGTAAATAATTAAAATTAAAAGTTATATAATTATTAAAAATTTTGATTTTTTAATATATATATATGTGTGTGTGTGGGACCATTGTGAACCTCTCCCAAGAATCAGTTGAACAATGACGGGCCAGTTTGTTAAAATAGAAACAAGAAACAAGAAACAGCGGAATTTCTGCCTACTGAGCAGCGATTTTTACTTTCACAGCTTTCTATTGCACATGTTCAAGATTGTCTTTACCCGTCGTTACTTACAATGATAACCATTGTTCTAAATATGCAAGTTAAACAATAAATTAATATAATACTTTTAGCAAAAATATATTAATAATATTAAAAATATATAATTATTTAAATAATATATAATTCTTTTAATATATTTTATCACTATTTTAATATTTATGAATTATCAATTTATTAACAAAAACATCATTTACTATTAACTTCGTCTGCGAATATTCACACAACCTTTGCAGTTCCTTGCTGTCACTTGGGCAACCACTTGACCTGTAATTTAATTTCCATGTTAACTACCATCCATCAATTCCTGTTTTTAAAAACAAACTCACAGGAGCTAATATTATAATTTGCTTTCAAACATTACACAAGCATGTGTAGAATTTACAAATAATTGTTATTTATATTTTATTATTTAAATTAATTTTTATTAATATTAAATGACTTAAAAAATAAATAAAATTTGGACTCTAATTTACTAATTTATCTAAGTTGCTATGGGTAGTTTTTACCCATTCAAAGTATTCACAGGGAAAAGCATGTGCAAGAAACGTTTGAAGAGAAAATGTTTATAGAGAGAAACATCAGCAAAATATTGGAAGCAATGGTGTATGCCATTATTGGGTCACATCAACTCACGTGGATTCCACTCCTAGTTTATTGTGGTACGAAAAGAAAATCTTAGATATATAAATATTACGCTCTGAATTACAATACTACAAGTATCCATGGATTTCAGTTTAGCATAAGCATTTTAAATTTATTTTTACGCTTCAACTTAGTAATTTTATTTTTCTAAATTATACATGTGTAATTAAGATAAAATATTTTAAAAAAATAAATCAAGAAATAAAAAATAAGGTTTAATTTTTTGTATTAATATTAATATTATGTCAGAATTTGAAATTTAAATCTACATTAAGATCAATTATAATTATAATAATATTAAAATTCAGTTTATTTTTAAAAAGATCCTTATAAGTAATAACAGTTAATAATGAACATTAAGAATAATTAAAAAGCTTTGATAACCAACAAACTTTTTTGTGTAGAAAATAGTTAAGGAAATAAACGGATTTTATCAAATCCGTTTAATTTACATACAACATGAAACCTTGAAATTTAACCTCAGATTAATTTTAGTCTTTTATATATTTATTCATCTAGATTTTAAAAAACTCGAATTTGCTTTTACATTGATTGATTAAAGTGTCTAAGCTTAGATTTAGTCTCAAATAACGTGTGAACTTGGACTGTATTTATGCAACACACATCCAAAGCTCAAACTGACATGTAACCATTTTGCCAATGTATATCCAATGTGTTAATGGAGACAAAAAAAAAAAAAAAACACATAAATACAGCTTTTTTAATTTTCATAAAATTAACTATAATTATATTAGACGTATAAAGTAAAAGTCAATATTGTATATTAACTTAAAATTATTTAATACTTTATATATATATATATATATTAAAACTAACAAAATATATGAAAGTAAATTAGTTACATTGCTATAATTATTAAATCTTAAAAAATTTAACATAATTAATCAATATAATATACGACTATAATTCAATAGTTAAACTAAGAAAAATTATATTATATATAAAGTTAATATATATATATATATAGAAGGATTGTTTCACATTAATATAAGTTTGAAAATTCTTATACTCGATATAAAATTTTTATTTAATTTATATATATTAATTATAAAATAATAAATTATAACTCGTTAAATATAAAAAACTTAAAATAAATATAAGAGCTTTTAGATTTGGTACTTATTGTGGTATCAATAAACTTGAGAAGTTATTTTATATCATTTTAAATTAACAGGTTAATTCTTTTAATATCTTAAAGATGATAAGATATTTTTTTAAATAAATCACTAAATCCATTATCTATTCATATGAAATTAATAATGAGATTGTTTCCCATGTAAAAGAGAGTACCAAATCCTCTTAATTGCCCAAGGTAACAGAGATTTTATTTGTAGATCTTACACTATCCTGTTCATATATATATATATATAATACTTTATAATAAAAGCTACTCAAATCTCGTGCATTCAAAATTACATATTGTAACAAATAATTAATTTTTAATTTTTACTATTTATGTATAATTATATATAATACAAAGTTGTAATTTACAACAATAAGAATTCTCACAAAATGTATCTTATGAATACACACAAAACAAACAATCAATCACTTACATAAAAATTAATAAAATATTACAAAAAATTAAATTAAAAAATGCATGCCTTTTTTAATTATAACTACTTATTATTAATTGTTAAGCATTTAAAGCATATATATATATATATATATATATATATATATATATATATATAAAAGGATTTTGTTTACATTGATGTAAGTCTAAAAATTCTTACACCAAATCTAAATCTTTCATTTAACTTATATCTAACGATCAATGAAGTAATAAATTATAACCCGTTAGATGTAAATCAAATAAAAAATTTAAATTAAGTGTAAAAGTTTTTAGATTTACACTGGTATAAAAAGATCCTACTCTTATATATATATAAGCATAACATTTACCACACTTTTGTATTCTCCAAGTGATAAATATTAAACGATATCACATTATCACTTTTAGTTGCTTGTCTTTAATTTTAAAGACTAAATTAACATTTTTCATTTTTCTTTAACGAAAAAAGAAACACTAATAACATAACAAGAAAATATAATTTTAAAATAAAAACTAATCTCATTTAGAAGTCCTTGTTTAATATTGAGTTATATATATATATATATATATATATATATATATATATTACATGGTTTCAAATTTAGATGAAAACAATTGACGTCGGTTCATGTTTGTGAAAATTTCTATAAAATAGTCTCTTCAGTCCTTTTTATAAAAAACAAAATGAAACATTTTTTTGATCTTTATTAAAGAAAATAGATTTAAAATGCATTAATTGTTAAAGTTCTTTGATAATCTTCTTTTATTAGTATAATTAAATATATAAATTACTAACTACATTATTTAATATCATAAGTATTTTTAGAATAAAATTTATATTTATGAAAAATATAACATACTTAATTGCTTTTCTTAGTCTTAGTGATTTAACCTTTTATTTCTTATAAAAAAGACCTTAAAAAGTATATTGTTCATTAATATTAAGACAGCATATGCCTGATAACATAGTTAAGTTAAGCCAAATCCTATATTTTAATAATGGTCAGTACTGCAAAGCAGAATCAAGGTAACAACACTGCAGGATCAAACTATCGACAAAAAAATAAAAAATAAAATAAAATATCTGCGTAGATTTAGAAACAACAGAATCATCTTACACCAAAACATGTAGCAGTAGGCTTCAAAAAATGATCCTGATCAAATAAAAAACGCTTGCTTGAAACTCTAGATAAACATTATAGTTGCCAATCTATGGGATCAATCCCCTCTTGCTCCAGAAGTTGGTTAGTGCGAGAGAAGTGCCTGCTCAGAGAAATTCAAATAAACATGACGGAAAATAAGACTGAAGTATTGCTTATATCGATGAAAGGCACATTGATCAGGTCTTTTATAATATAAAGATTAGATAAAGTCTAAGATCTGAGTTTTGGTTAATTCCATGAATCTTTAAGAAAGCTAACCAACAAAATATGGCTCAATATACCAGCGGACCAGATCACGAACCAGCTGTATCACGTCAACCACTACAACTCAGTTTGAGAGTTTGGAAGAAGTGGGATAAGAAGGGTTTGAAAGGCTAGTGGAGGGAGGTGAAAAGGGAGCTAAAGCCCTCTCTTATTTGGATTTTTTTTTTTCTCAACCCCCTTCCCCCAAATTAAGGTTTTGGAAGACCTATAAATTTTTGTTCCTCACTTTCTTTTCTTCCTTAAATAAAACTCAAACAAAGCCTACAAGAACAAATAACAATAATCTTTGTAGTGGTGGACTGTAAAGGCTCAGTGACTGTTACCATAAAAACATATATACAATTAAATCCTACATTGGTTCTGAAATGCTAATAGTGTGCTTAGTTGAGTATGCAATAAGTGCATTTCTAGATGAAAATTGCAAATGAAAAAAAATGACGACGTATTCTAGACTTTTATGGTGTCCAAATATATTTTTCACTTTTCACCTGCTCAACCAAGTACACTGTAAATGTTTAACATTTACAGCCTTCCAGTTTCAAACGTTGAAGACTCCAAAAGGAAGTATTTTGTGACAAACCCTGCCTCTTAAGTTACAAAATGCAAGGTATCAAATAAACATACTTAAACAAGTTCATAGCCAGCATTCGGTGTTGCTTCTATTTCTTCCATTTTAGAAATTCTTCACAATGGCAGTACGTTGACTCGTGCCCTTATTCTTTAACTAAACTTAAACCTTGGTCTTCAATGCTTAGTTGATAAAGTAGACGCACAAAGCAGAACAGTTGGATGTTTGAACATGATTATTTTACTCACTGCTATATTGACATTTGACACAGATTAAATTAGAATGCAAAACCACCTTACCTGCAGCCAAAGAAGCCTCTATTTGCAGACAAACCAGAAGGATGTGCAGCTTTAAGAACATGATGCTTTGTTGCATCAATTAACCTGTGTATATGTCATTCAAGCACAAGTTCATCAACAAGTTTCAAAGAATTTATCCTCCCAGGAAGGAAAGAATCCAAATTAGTTCAAGAAAACCATTTCCGTGAAGAAACTTGCAGTTAATAGACGTATATTTGCATTTTGCAGTAATCAGCTTGTCACCCATCTCTCAAAAAAAATTCTGCAATATTTTATTTTTCTCAAACCAGCTTTGGAAAATTATCAAGGAAAGTATTACAAGCCCGGGTCATTTTTAATGCTTGGTTCCAACAATTTCTATAGTGTTAAGCAATGGGCAGTACCTAGATTTCTCCCGAGCAGAGTTTCCCCACAACAAAAACACAACTCCTTTTTTCTTCTGTGAGATTGTCTTGATAACAGCATCAGTAAATTGTTCCCAGCCTTTTTTAGCATGAGAATTTGCTTGATGCTTCCTGACTGAACTCAAAAAGTGAAATAATAATAATAAAAAAAAAACCACTAGAGGACAATTATAAATCACCAAACAAGTGAAAGACTATTGTATTCATACTAGATCACCATCCAAGAAGTGAAATACAAACAATATGTTACCTATTAAGTCAACAATATCCTTGATTAGAGGTTCACAAAAAATATCAAAATCTAACCTGTAAGAACAGCATTGAGTAAAAGAACACCCTGAAATAAAGATAAAAATTTGATCAGATAACACTTTTCAAAAATAACCATGGGAAGTCACCTATTACTTTAAAATATCCACTCTGATACCACTTGGCATTCAGAAGTCAGAACACTAGTTTAACCAACATCTCAAACCCGGACCATTAAAATATATAAACCATATCACAAAAGATGAATTTAGTGTAGAAATAAAGCTTTCAAAATACAAACAAAATACAATTCACGTTTTATATGACATTTATCATGTACTTAATATTTGGTACTATTGAGGATTTATCAGCCAAATACCTGCAAAAATTAGTTATCCACAGCATTGAAAATACAAATTGATCACCATTATCATTACTTTACAAAGCTTTACAGTCCGCAATTACAGAGAGTATTGGGTGGACAACAGTAAGAAATACAACATGTACACTTATCCCATAGCTTAAGTTGTAGTATTGTACAGTGTAAGAAAGTCAATAAATCCCAAATTCATCAATTTCAGTGGATTCAATTATGGATTCTTACATCTAATGCGTCATTTCCCTTCTGCGATCTTAGGAAAAAAGACCCCCCAAAAGGAAAAAAAAATGCATTTCCATGAGAATGTACCTGCAGGGCCCATTTTTCGAGATTCCCATGAGGTGGAATGGAGCATCCAAGGTCTTGGTGAAGTTCCTTGAATATATTGACCAAACTGGAAGGAACTTTGACTCCTTCAGGAACCGAGAACGAAAGCCCCATTGCTTGACCAGGTCCATGATAAGGGTCCTAAACATTGAATAAGCCCACAGTGAGTAAAAAAAGAGGGTTAGGTAAGGGCACAAAATCCAACAAATAAACCAACCTGGCCAAGGATTACAGCCTTAACTCTGTGAAAAGGGGTAGAGTTAAGAGCGTTGAAAATCAAGTGCGAAGGAGGGTAAACGACGTCGTCGCCGCTGCAAAAATCATTCTCCACAAACTTAGAGAGATTGACAGCATAGGGCTTTTGGAGTTCTCCTGAGAGAGCTTCCAACCACGTTTCCTCCACCAGCAACTCCTCTAGTTTCACGCCTCCTAGTCCTAAACCTGATTATGCGTTTTGATCATAAACGACGCTTCGGAATCCAAAACGACAGAGAATGAGCTTACCTTTGCTTTTGGAGACCCTTTGGACGCAGAGTTTGCGATTCCTCTTGGACTTGGCGAGAAGCTTGTTGTATTCGATGCGGGACTTTTGGAGAACGGAGAGTGTGGAGGCATTTGCATTGGCATTGGCATTGGCATTGCCATTGACATCGTTGGTTGGGGTGAGAGTTGGTTTCAAGCGCTTGGAAACAGGTTCGAACATGTCCATTAGGGTTCGAGAACCCATTTCTTCAGCTTTGCAATGGCGGGAAAGGAAAGAGACGATTGTGTTATGTAATGAAATGACCCCTTTTTTCGAGTTACTCGTTTATAGGTCCTATTTATAATTAACCTGACTATTACAGATGAGATTGTTCTGTTTTGCGAAGTAGTGAAACAATCACTTGATTTACTCTGTTTCACTTTTAAATTTTACATTTTTATCTATTTTTTATTGATTTAATTATAAAATTTCAAGGTAAGAGTTGTTATTTAACAAATTTTTTATTAACTTTTATAATTTTCAAATATTTTATAAATATATATCTTTATATTTATAAAATTTATTTTATTATCTTCTATATATTTTTTATTTTTTGTATATACATTTATTTGTATAAAATTCATAATGCTTAATATATTATTTTTATTATTTTAAAATTATTATAATTTTAATAAATCTTATATTTTAATACATATAAGGTTAAGTTAATTTGTTAAAAAATTAACATTTTAAATAATTTTATTATATATAATATATTCTATATATTTATTTTAAAATAAAATATATTTGCACTTAAACTTATTCGCAAGGTAAACAAACGGGAGTTCTTTTGGGATGATTTGATTGTGTTTTTCTCCTCTTTTTTTTATTATTTTGTGAATTAATTGTTGTAAATGTTTTCGAAAGAAATAAGGAAGATTATTTGGTAATATCATTAAAACACAGTTTTGGTAGTTAGAAAATAAAATAAAATTTGTAAAGCAATAAAAAGTTGTTTTGTTTTTTATTTTTTCTAATACTTGATAAAAGTACACAATTTTTAAAGTATTTTACATGAAATCAATTCACATTAAGTGTGAAACTTAAACAATTGTATCATTTAATATTTTTTACAAAATATAAGTTTCATTAATCCAAGAGTTGATTAGAAAATTCTTAAGTAAATCGAGTTTATAATTCCATAAAAATACTAATAAATACATAATTGTATTATTTTAATGAATAACATGTTCTTACAATATAAATAAATATTAAAACATATTTTATTACAAATATTTAAATTATATAAAATTTTATAGATAAAATTAAACAATTAGATTGATAATTTTTATATTCAATATTAAAAATTATTAAATCATATAAATATTCAAATTTAATAATACTCAGCGTAAAACAAAGTTAATCCACTTCTTTTCCAACTATCTTAACCCATTTCTTAAACTAGTTATCAATCAATGTCCTTCGGGTTTTTCTTTAAAAAAATATGAAAATTGTGTCAGCAACCGTAAAATTTTGGAAGCCATGTATTATGTGGCCATACTTATCTGGAATTGAACTGAAAATTTTTACTTATAAGCCGAACCAAGCTAGATCCAGGAATTCCATTATTGTGTCTAAGGAAAGTGGGTTTCCGAATTTAACAACGGCTACAACATACATCTTCCTCGTGAAGTTTGGCGTTTGTTGTTCCGTTTTGTTATCTACTTATCCTCTACGGTGCTGTTGTAAATTCGATTATAGGCGAGCGATTTTATTTTGGTACAGACTATCCATTAAGCCATTGTTTTGTGAAAAATACTTTGATTGCCTTGGGAATGGAGCGTAGTCGTTTTCAGTGTTGTTTATGACCAGTATTTCCTCATTAATCGTAGATGCTAAAAAATGCTACCGAAAGGAAGACATACAAGCTTCAAAGCTTCAAAAACACTAAAAAAATTCTTCAAAGAAAATAAGAACGATGGATTAAACGATTCCACTACAGTTAAAATTAATTATTAAAATTAAAAAATCTAGAAAACTAATTTTACAATTCATGCATTATACACATTCATTTCATAATAGTCACTGTACTTGATTTTACAATCAATATTAAAAAGCTTCATTATAAATGACAAACTTAGAGCAAAACCTGTAGCTCACGACCGTTTTCTCAACGTCTTACCTTTCCTATCACAACGACATCAAATATAGCAAAAGCTAACTTATACGTGCAGGGGATGGCTTGAAACTCAGGATGGTAGGTACGTTTATCAGGGAACATGAAGTCTACGATAAATGTTCCGGTGATCGACCATTTCAAATTCTAAAAGCAAAGTAAATTATAACTATATCAGAAATCAGAAATCAGAAATAAAAAATTTGATGCTCGGCATCCTCATGCAATTCTTCTATAATGTAGCCGAAATAAGTCTTATGCCAAATGGAAGAAATATTCAGTGGGCATCATATTTTAATGAAATACTCTCATGTAAATAACAAATGTTCTTGTTAAAATAGACTAAAATTAAAAAAAGACACCAAAAAAACATACGGAAAGCAAGAAAATACACGAAACTCCTAAGACATCCTCTGAGCAGCTTCCTTAGCTAGGAGCTTTTCCTTTGCCTTGGTTTTGGCTTGGGATTTGGATCCCATGATCCCACCTCCCCACTTCTTTCTGTACTCATCAAACTTGTCATTGAAGTTAGCCTGAAAGGAAACCAAAACAAAAGTTGTTACATTTTTTACAAGTGTGTTGACAGCGGAAAACAGGCAGAATAATTCAATTATCATCACCTTGATAGCCTCTAAGACTCTGCTGAACTCCAATTTGTCCTCATTCTTAACAGTTGTCAAGCACAAAACAGACGCAGTTTTCTTATGCACAATCTGTTGAAATACACATTGATTAAATCAGCCACTAGCTTAGAGTTGTAAAAGAAATTTAATCCATTCATAAACAGGAATTAAATCACAATATTCAAACAAGTATTACCGATCCCAATCGTGCCTTGCCCTTCACAATGCAGTATGGAATTTCCATCTTCCTGCACAAAGCTGGAAGCCAGACAACCAATTCAATTGGGTCCACATCATGAGCAATCACAACAAGCTGTGCTTTGTTCTGCAAGGTAAAGATAACTTGACCATTCATTCATCAATATCACCAAAAGAGGGGGTAAAACTGCAATCATACAGTAATAAAACAACCTGCTCAATAAGGTAGGTAACATGATTGAGACCATACTTCACAACAATAGGCTTCTTAGCTTCAACTGTCTTGCCCTCAGCCTCAGCCTGAGCCCTTTTTAATAGCCGCTCCTTCTTTTCTGCTTTATCCTCAGGCCTGTACTTCAGAAGAATCTTGAAAAGGCTTGTTGCTGCAGTTTAAATTAACATAGATAATAAAAAGAGTGATAGTAATACAAATTAATCAGCAAACATGTGAAATTAGGTACATAACACCGGAAGTACTGTAGCAGAAAGCAGTTATCAATAATGCAAATAAACTCTAAACGAAAACAGAAACGCAACTCACGAGCAATCAGCAGAACCCCATACATATTCACCATCTCAGTCACAATAACTATGATAATTTGCCAGGGTTTATTTCAACAATATGATACAATTTATCAAAATGGTATTCGATTCTATTTTGTTTTTTTATACAAATAACGAAATAAACATATTCTATAACATGGGCATTAAAACATTCTAACATACCTACATAAACAACATGTCTATAGACCTCACAGAACTAAGAAAAAAAACCCTCAGATCCCAATATTATGTTAGTCATTCTTACCTAGGTTTTTGTCGAGGGTCTTAGTGAACTGGTTCAAAGCTGGTGGAACCTTCAACCTCTGCTTCAATATCCTCTTCTTCCTCTGAATCTGGACGGTCTTCGGCCACTTCACGAATCGGGTTAGGTCTCTCTTAGGAGGCAACGCCCCTCCGATTCCGAACTGCTTTGGACGCTTCTCAAACAAAGGATTCGTAACCTTCTCCTGAGGTTTCAAATCAAACAAAATCAAAACAAAAACCAAATCGTGAATTAGATTGAAATTCAAGCAGTTTGTTACATACAGGCTTCTTTTTAGCAGCTGGTACGGGAGCTTTTCCACCTCGTTTGGGAGCCTACAAAATTAAACGCAGGAATAAGCGAGCATTACAGAAATGGTAATGAGGTCTGTCGAATGCGAAGATTCAAACATCAAAATCAGGTTAAAAAGAGACCCAGCAACTAAAATTGACGTGACAATCTGAAATGTCAGAGAAAGCAAGAAAATGAAGAAAATGAAGATAGTTAATGCAGAGAAAATCAGAACTCATAGGTAGACCTCTGATTTACTCACCATTGCTGCAGCTGCTGTGTAACTGCGACGCGAGTAAAACTGAGTCTCAGAAAAACCCTAACTAGGTTTGTGCATTATATATGTACAATGTTGGATCTGGGCCACCGCAACTGGATCCGCTCCGGCCCGCTTGTGACATACTTCTTAAAAAAACTTTTTCTTTTCAAAATTTAGTGAGTGTGGCGGTTTTATTTTGATGGACAGTGTAAAATTATTTCATTTGAACATGACATATTAAAATATATTTTAATTGAACTGAACCTTTGTAAATACGCTTTAGAGATATATTCATCTATAATTTTTAACTTAGAAAAAGCTTTTCATAACTAATTTGACATCATAAATAATTATATTAATAAAAATATATATTTATCTTACTTTATATTTTATATATAATTTAGTTTATAACTAGAGAATGAATTGTAAGTTCTTTACATAATTGAATATGTTAAAAAAAAATTTAGAAACATTCAAAATTTAATTATAATTTAAAAAAATTTCAATAATCACATAATTAAAATATAAAATATTAATAAATAAATATAGTTTAAAATGTTAAAATTAAAAGTATTAAAAAATTATTTTTATAATATTTTAAAAATTAATTCATATATTTATTTAATTATTTTCATAATTGTAAAAGAAATATTTAAAAAATATAAAAGAAATATTAAAAAGTTGAAGTGTTTTGATTCAATTATATATATATATATATATATATATATATATATATATAAAGTAAATATAACATTCAAACTTAGTTTATATTTAAAATATTATAATTTATTTATCTATTCATTTATTATAGTATAAAAATATTAAATATGTAAATCTAATAATTATAATAAAATTTTAATAATAAATTTATATATTATCTTTTTATTATAATGATATTTAATATTATTGAATTGATTTTAATTAGTTACTTTTAATTTAAAATTTAAATTTATAATCATTAATGTAACTTTTAAAAATAAAACAACACCATTCTTAAAATTTAATTACAAAATAATTTTAGTTAAAAGATAAATAAAAAGAAAATTATGATAAAAAATTTAAATAATAATATCACAAATCTTGTAATATCAATATTTTAATAATTATATATAAATTTTCTCATACTAATGTAAATTTAAAAACTTATATTCAATCTGAATTTTTCATTTAACTTACATTATTCTCTTATATATGTTGTTTTTTATTTGTATTATAATTTATTTATTTATTTATCATAAAAACAATTTTATAATAGGTCAATACAAAAATATTTTTTTTCATTTATATATTAGCATATATCATTTAAGAATTTTATTCAATTTTTGTGAAATTTTTTAATGTAATTTAATTGATATTTCTTTTCTGTTTTTAATATTTTTCAATAATTATTTTTTATTTTTAATATTTAATAAATTTAAATAATTTTTATTAAATATCATTCATAACAAATTTGTTATTGTTGTTTTTTTAAATTGTTTAACTATCTATATAAAACTTTATATAAAATTAATTCTAATAATTTTTTTTAAATTTAATTTAAAAGTAATAGTTATAAATCAATGATAATTTTAATTTTTAAGTTATACAAAATATTATAATTAACTTTAATAAATAATTATTAAAGTTAATTAATATTCAGTATATTGTTTTTGTTTCTAACGTGTATTAACATTCGTTATGACCATTCATATTACTACGTAAGTGAATCTAAATATTTTAAATCTTAATAATTATAATTTTTGTTATAAATATATATAATAACAAGTAGGTGAAACATAATTTTTTTTAATAATATAACATTTATATCACCAATAATATAATTTAATCAGTATTTTAAAATTTAATAATTATAAATTTTGTGATAAATATATACAATAATAAGTAATTATAATTAATTTTACATATAGATATAGATGTAAATAGATAGATATAGATAACTTCAAATTACTTACTTTTTAACCTAAAATATTTATATTTTAACAACAAATGATATAAATATATAATTTTGAAAATATTTTAATCCTTAAAAAAATCTTTTATTCCTTGTTGAATGACTTAGACACATGTTTTTCTTAAATATAAAAATAAAAATTGAATAATTATTTTAAAAGATTAAAATAAAAAATTATAATTTTACAAACTAAATATTTAATTAAAGATATTTTTTGCATTTTTATTTAAAATATTAATATTAAACAAAAGTATATTAATAATTTTAGCAATCCCTTTATCATTTAAATTTTAAAAAATTTTAATATATAATTTTCATATATATCACTAATATTAGTTTCTGTAAGTCGTTACTCTTATTAGAATTTATTATTTTTATTTTAATAGCTTTTGCATAATTTTTTTTTTGCCACCACAATGGGTTAAAAGCCCAAAAATATATCACTCTAAGATGCACAAAGCTAAACAGTCCAAATCCAAGAAAGGCCGAAGACACAAAGGAGCTATATAAAAATAAGAGAAATGAATGTATATTTTAAGGTCTAATTTATCAAGTCTATCAACACAAAGATTGGCTTTCTTATAGGTGTGACTAAACTTGATAAATTTAATATTCTTAAGCAACTATTTTATGTTATGAATCAAATAGTACGGAGGATGAAAGTAGTTTTTGATAGTAAGTACTAAAGATATAGCCTTTTTTTTTTTGCTCAACAAAGAAATATATATGTATTACTAATCAACAAGCACCAGAGGTGCATTACAACAGTAAATAATTTGTATGATTAATGTATAACAGACCAAACACTAGCTAGGTGTTGCTGCAAGATATAGCCTGTTTAGAATAACTCTTAATCCAAATAGTGGTGATATTATTCTGTATAACTAACTAAAGTCCAAAATATATGCCTAACAATTTAGCTTCAATATAAAGTTTTAGCTTTTGAGAGGGGAGAGGAATCCATCTAAACTGACCTTGGTCCTCTACAATTGTGACAATAGCCTTAGATTTGCCCTTGTAGCAAAGTTGAAAGTGTTCAAAATCACAAAACATTTGATGAATATGAGCAACATGTTGAAGGCAGGAATTCTAAAAAAGGATGGCATTCCTATTCTTCTAAAGATGCCATATAATAATCTCTAAGCACATGCATGATAATCTCAAGAACATTATTACATCTAGAGTAGAGAAAAATGCTAGACATGCCTCTTATATGTCTCTCAACATTGGTTAAGAGCCTACAATGGGTAACTTTTCACAAAAAAAAAAGAAAAAGAATAGCTTTGAGAGGCTCATCCCAATTCCAAATTATTTTAAACAAAGAAGCATTAGAATTAGAATCATGGTTATTAGCATAAATAAACTTATAAGCAGATTTAATAGAAAAATTTTTATTCTTATTGAGCTACCAAAAAACAGTGTATTGCATCCCAGATATAATTAGAGATTTTAAACAAGAAATAGAATAACAAATTGGAGAAGGAAGAATATTTTTAATTTTATTCCAATCCCACTCACCTTAAGCAAAAAAAAAGGATTACAAGGTCTAAATCAACATTTGGAATAGGCTGCAGGGCAAGTTTAGATAAGTTAGAAATGTAAAAAATCCAATTGTTTGTCTAGAACTTAGTGGTTAACCCGTTACCAACAACCCATCCTAGCCCTTGGTAGAAACTATGTCACACAAAACACCTGTCATTCCAAATATGTGATGAGTAATTACTATTGCCTATACGAGGGATCTTATCAATAAAAAATTTATATTTACTAAAAATGACTTGAGCCCAAAGAACAGGAGGAGAAGTGATCAATCTCTAACACAATTTCATTAAATAAGCTTGATTTAGCATTTGCAAATTCCTAAAACCTAAGTCACCTTATGCTTAGACATACAAATTTTGTCCTAGCCAACATGGTGACATTTCCTGCCCTTAACAGACCCTAAATAAATTGTCTACATATTTTGTTAATTTCATTGCAAACACTCTTAAGGATAACCATAGTTTACATTAGGTAAGAAGGGATATTCATAATACAAGATTGAGCTACAATAACTCTACCAGTCATGGATAATGAATTTATTTTTCAAAGAGATAGGTTTTTCTCGACCTTATCTATTATTATAAAGGTAAAATCCTACTTAGAGTGTTTATGGTGGCTAATAGTGATGCCAATATATCTACCAAAATCCTTAGTAGAACTAATATCCAAGTAATTACTAATTTGTTAGATAATAACAAAATCAGAGTTTTTGGAGAAAAATATGAAAGATTTATCATGATTAAATTTTAGACTAGAGACAAGACAAAATTCATTCAAAACAGTCCTAATGATATTGACATGATGTATGTCAGCAATGTAACTAGCAAAAAATAAATGAGAAATATGAGGCCTAGAGTTACTTAAGAAAAAGGGGGTTCAGCTAGCAGTCATGATTCTATCTTTAATTAGGTGAGTTAACCTTTTCATGCACAACGTAAGGAGGTAGGGAGAAATATGATCTCCCTATCTAATGCCCCTAGAGGGCTAATTTTACTCTTATTTTAGTTTAATAACTTAGAGGCAGAAGAAATGCAATGGTGAATAAGGTTAACTATATTATATTTAAAATTAATTTTTATAATAGTATCTAAAATGAAATTGCATCTCAGTTGATCCTAAGCTTTTTCTAGATCAATTTTAAGAACCATGTATCCATTTCTACCTTTTAATTTACTAAAATAATGCATAAGCTCTTGAATAATTAAGGAGTTATCTATCCCTTGCCACCCATGAATGAAGCTGGATTGATTTTTAGAAATTAAATAAGGAAGAGAGCTTCTAATTTTGTTGGCAAAGATTTTGGTAATAATTTTATAACTAACATAGAGAGGTGGGTTTAAAGTTCTTGATGTATTTACGATTACTAAATTTAGGGATTAAAGTAATTCCAATCTCATTGACAACAACAATTTTCTTAAGGTTAGTAAATATATCTAAAACAAAATCATAGATAAAAGGGGCTAGGAATTCCTATTGATTCTTATAAAACAAAGCATGAAGGCCATCAAGCCCAGAGGATTTAAAATTTTTAAAGCTAAATAGATAGGCTTTAACTACTTATATGGTCACCTTAGAATTAAGTCTAGTATGATCAAATCTTTAGAGGAGGAAAATGATTCAGATCATAAAAATCAACAACCTAAGGAGTGGGATCAAAATAGATATCTTGAAAGTAATTTAGAGCAGTGGATTCGAATCTCACTGGGTCATATTTTCAGGTATTCTTATCATCCTTTAGGGTTTCAATTTGATTACTTTGTTTGCAAAAAATTGTAGCTTTGTACAAATATTTAGTATTCCTATCTCCATCAAATTATCTCTATAATGATGATACCAAAAGGTTTCCTCATCATCCAAAATTAGTGATTATTCCTCTAGAGGGATTTCTTAAGTTTTAATAGAAAAGGATTGTCTCTTATAGCAAATTTTCTAGAAATTCCCTCAATTTTGCTAAAAATATGTTTTTCTTATTGAAGAGGTTGTCAAACACAAACTTATTTCATTCAGAGATATTGGTTTGGAATCTAGATACATTTTCTGTCCAGGGGCTAGAGGAAAGCTAAGAGTTCCTAAGTTGAGTTTTAAAGTCTTTATGAGAAATCCAAAAAGCTCAAAATTTAAAGGGTTTACTAATTTAGTAGGTATGATTACTATCTCTAATATCTCTGTCTAATCTTTCTTTTAAATCTCTCATTTGTCAAGTAAAAAGAAAACTCTTAAATCCTAAATCCTCTAATTCACATGTATCAAGGCAATCAACTATTTTTCTAATACTAAAGAGCTTTTGCATAATTTTACATGCATTATTTTATAAAATTTTAATTTTTAAAAAATAAAATTATGCAATTTGATGTTAAAAATAGTTCTCTCTCTTTATATATATATATATATATATATATATATATATTATTTCCAACATATTTATTTTTTATTGAAGATAATATTCAAATAAAATCAAAGCCATTAAATCAAGCATTTAACATTATTAGTAAAAAATATAGAAATACAAATTGGAATATTATCATAGATATTACTATAAATATTGAATAATATGTAGTTCATAAAATTAATAATTAAATAAGTTTAAACTTTTTATCAAATATTAACCATTTAAATATTAAATAAAAGTTATAAAGTATTTCGCAATTGAGTATATATTATTATTGTTGCTATTATTGTAATAATAAGTTATCTAACTCAGACAATTCAAATATTAACACAGTATTTTGATCGTTTTAAATGATTTAATTTACATAAATCATCTAAATTATTTCTAATTTATATGAGAATATAATATCCAATTTTATTTTTATTTAAGTGAAAATTATATTTTTATTTAAGTGAATAAAGCGAATTTATTAATTTAAGAAAAAAATATTGTAAAAAGATTTGTTTGAAATAAAATCTCAAATTTAAGATTATCATATAACACATCCTTTTTGTATGACAAAATTTAATAGCCGGGGTTAATTATTGAAAATAATTTCGTCATGTTTCTTCAACACTCTCCTTACAAAACCTGTGGGACAAAATTTAATGGTTGAAAATAGTTCTTTTGTCACGTGTTCCTTTAACACTCCCTTTGCAAAACCTGTGTGACACTGACAAAATTTTAGGGTAAATTGTTGTGCACGTACTCCATGATGAAGTAGATCTTAATTTTGGACCATGACTTTGAAGAGTTGAACGACGTTAGATGAGGCCGTACCAGAGGATGGAGCCTCTGGAGCTCTCATGCATGATGTGAGAGACTAAATCCCTTGGAAACCTTCATCGATGGTTCGGGAGGTGCTCAACCCGAGATATACATAAAATTATTTGTTTCAAGAAGAAAAAATCATAGAACTCCCATTTTCTGAGTTTGGAAAAGTATACCCAAAATTTTATGAAATTCAAGATGCTCACTAAATAATAAAAATAAAAAATTAATAAAGTCAGTAAAATTATCTATAAATATATTAAACAATATAATACCGAAATAAAGATTGTAAATATTAATATCGACAATATTACTCTTATTTATAGTTTTAATGAAACAATGACAGGTAAATTAGTAATATTTAAAAAAAGTACTATTTGCATTACTTTAAATTTAAAAATTTTGTTAACCTTAACTTTAGGATAAGTAATTAATAATAATAAAATTTTATTAAAAAAAGTATTTATTATAATTTTATAACTTTAATATAATAACTATATTTTTTTAATAAAAATTTTATGTTTGTAGATATTTAAACTTAGTCCTTAAAACTAAAGTTAACAAAACTTTAAATTTAAAATAAAAAATGTTGATGTTATATTAATAGATGATGGTTTGATGATACACGAGGCAGTAGCTAATGAAAATTTTCATTGCTTTAATCTTCTAACGGTTTAGTTACCAACATCAACTAACAAGCTGTTTTACAATTCAGAATAAAATTTGTTGCTTAAGCAAGCAAACATTCAGTAAAGCAAAAAATAAAAATAAAAAATTTATGCGGTTTTATAAATATGACTAACTTTTATTTAATCCTTTAAACTTTATTTTGTTAATTAATTTTCATAAATTTTAAAAATTTCTAAAAGTCTTAGAGCATGTTTAATTTCTCTTTTGAAAATAATTTTCTATTTTTAAAAATAAAATATAATACAAAAATAGAAAATAAAATATAATACAAATTTGTATTATATTTTCTTTTAAAAAACAGAAAATTGATTTTAAAAGTGAAACCATGCTCTTAGTCATCACCACTTATTGTAACAATGGCACGTTATCGATCATTGAGGCGATATATAACGTGACATATTTAAATGTATGTCATATCAATAAATGATGATGTGGACTATTTTTTATAAATAAAATTACAAGAATCAAAATAATAATAAAAAAAAAAAGGCAAACCAAATTTAATTATAATTATAAGTACTAAATATATACTATCCATCCAGGAGGGATTATACCCATACATTAATCCCTAGACTCAAGAATGGGTCATGACCGGCCTCTTTGGTCCCGTATTATCACCAAAAAAAGCTAAGATTCCACATGAAAGCTCAAGGGAAAAAAAAAAAAAAACTGAGCAAGGAATTATATCTACCATGCGTCTTCATGTAATAATATGATAAATTAAATAAGAGAAACAGTAACTTAACAACAGATTTAGCATCTGCTATGGGGAACATATTAGAAACAACAGTCACTCAGCAATGTCCAGAGTAGAATGTCGGTTTTTCCATTCCCCATTCTCAATGTAGCTTGTATCAAAACCCTGTCGCATGGCAAAAGAGCAACCATTCAACGGTATGCATTTTTAGTTAAACAAAACACTAAAAGAGAAAATTCCCAGTCAAACAAGATTAGGAAGGAATTATGACTATTGCATGGCCCTAACAAAAGCAATAAGCAATAGGAAAATACAATAAAACACACAAAAGAACAGCAAATCAAGTATAGAAACTACTAGTGGGAGGGGAAGGTGTTAATAACGTTTATTTAAAATCCACAAAGACTATAAAGAAAACCCACCAATATAAGTAGCCATTGCTAGACCTACTACTTGTTACATATCTATGAGACAACAAGAAAGCACTTTAAGTCTTTAACAAGCATAAATAATCATAAATGATTTATGTTTTTTACCATACCTTCAACTAGCTGATGGGAGAAACACCCTTATAAGCTCTTTCACAGTAACCTTTTTTCTACAGGTTGGACATTTACCCTGAACACTTATAGCAGCCTTGATGCAATTTTTGCAAAAAATATGACCACATCTTGTTGACATTTCTTCTACCAAAGGGCCCATACATATTGGACAGTTGAAGACAGGCTGCTTTGGAGGTTCAGGTTGCTTTTTAACATCTTCCTTCTACGAAAGAAATATCCAAGTCAGAAACTTGAATTCCAGTAAAGCTTCAGTCATCTAATAAGTTTCTTTATTTGTTTTGAGGGAAATTTGTCATGTTAAAACACATTAAAAGGATGAAGGAAATCAAGTTATGTTTGAATAATAAAATGCTCTACCAACACAACATCTGTGAAAGTAAGCAGCAATATCGAATTGCAAAGTATGCATCAATTCCATTAAATGCAAGTAAAAAAATTTCAATTTAAAAATACTCTAAAATCTTTGTCACTTCGATATTTTAAAATTTGCAAGCCATTCCATCTTTTGTTCTATGGTACCATTGTTCCCACAAAAGCAATTACCCTGCCCTCTAACCAGTATTGACTTGTCCTCGGGCTCCCAAAAACTGCTAAAAAGGTTATTAGTCTCGACAACCAACTACATAGGATGGTGTAATAAGGGAAATTTCAATGACAGGTTCTAAGTCACTGTTAAACTAAATTAAACTGAATGCTACTCTATCAAGAAAATACAAAGTAAAATAAAATAATATAAAGAATACAATACATAAATTCCTAAAGATTATAGCTATAAACAAATCATAAAGAGGTGATACAAAATTATTCAGCAACTGTTTGTTTTTTTTTATGAATGAAAGATTAAGTATAAAAAATAAAAGTGCAAAACAGTATGCCATGTTGCAGGGGATTTTTTACCGTAGAACTGCTACTGCCTTCCAAATTTATATACATATCACAATTAATAATCATTTGATTTGGTGATTCTCTTCGGCGTTTGTGGCGATTATTGTTGGTTACCCTGGTCTGATCTTCTGGAAGGATCATGAATGACAGATAAGTCAACCACCATTACAATCAATAAACATGGAGAATAAAGACCATATAGGAAAAAGGCAACTTAAGATGACATCTAAGCAGCACAAAAAAGTTCCTACCCACCAAGTGTCAAGTGAGCCAGTAAACTCAAATACAGCAGACCATAAGAGCAGAATGATTAAGATATTCAGCATGATATCATATATACTCATTTTTCCGTCAAAAAATTGAAACTCAAGAGTTTCAATTTACTATTAATTTCTTCTGCAATTTCTAAACCATGGTTGACATAAAGAATAAAGCACATCATAGAAAAGGACAACTTGAGTTAACATGTAAGAAGCACAAACTGAATGTTTGGAGAAGACAGTAAACTCACATCCAACAGATCATAAAAGCATAATTAACAAGATATTCAGCACGGTATCTTATGCTCTCAGTTTTTCTTAAAATAATTGAAATTCATGAGTTTGAATTTTCTATTATTGCTCCTGCAATTTCTTCTAGATGCTGACGTTGTGGTGGTCATTGACCTTGCCCAATTTTAAATTTTGATTAACTGGATTCAACTAACAAGTCTTGAATAGAGCTAGTCATTACCAAAGGAACCTAATAGCATGCATAATCCAATGGCCCTAGATTCATCAGCTTAAGCTCTCCACACATGCAATCACACCATTGGTAAAAGACCCTGTAACCCAATCAACATTAGGGAAAGTTTTAGGTGAGGCACCACCGCAATTGATGTTTGCACTGAAGGGAAAACATGGTTTGATTCCATAGTTGCCAGGATTCAGGAATAACAGTACAACACATTCACTGACCCATACATAGCTCTTTAGTACCCTGTCTTTGGCTATAAACAACCATCCAGCATATCTGCCGCTTTATGAAGCACAGATACTATGCACGACACGGATATGGTATGATACGAATACAGGGCTATGGGAGATTCTAGAAAATTCAAGATACTATATGGCCCAAATACGCTAACATGAATTCAAACAACATATTTTACACAAACAAAATATTTGTAAAGAGATATTGATGACTAATTCATATCAGCGTGCTACATTTGCATATCAAAACCGTATGGAAGACAAGACCCACAAGGACTGAGAGCTGCGAGTTGTCAACCATCATCATCAACCTGGGACATCCCAGCCCTCGCACCAACCTGTCACTTAGTAACGACTGACTTCTGCAAGACCCAAAACCACTGCTGCATGCGAAAGCTTTGAGCACTGCTGCATGCGAGACCCATGAGAATCGCAACCCCTATTTATGTAAGACAGGACCCATGCTGCCACAAGCCTTAGCTAGAGGAGATGAGTGATGACGCTGGTCAAAGACTTTGTCTCTCAAGTGTCAAACAATCATGGAATTGAACCTCATAGTTTTAATATTAACTAAGTTAAACGTATTGTATCCACTAGACCGAAGCAGTACCCAAGTGTATTGAGTAATACAGGGGCAGGAGTTTATTTTTTAAATAAAATAAAAAATTGAATACTTTTTGGATACATATCTGACACGTGTCAGTATTAGATATGTGTCCAATATTGATACTTTAGCAAAGTTGGAGTATCCGGGCTTAATAGCCACTTGTGTTCTATTATTGCCTTGCCTTTCATTACCTTTGTTGAGGCAAGTCTACCAGTTATGAGGTTATCTTACCTCACAATTGTTGTCTTCTAAAAACATACTGTTCAGTCAGTACAACCTGTTGAGAAAAAAAGATGTGAAAGTGAAGGGAATAAATAGCATGTTACCTAGATCAACATCAACTATAGTTCTCCCACGAACTCTTCTCGAATTGTTTTTCGCCTAAGACAGAATACAAACAAACAAATGGGATTAATTTCCAACATTGAAAAAATAATAGAAACAAAAGATGTACAATTACAAAAGGGAAGATAAACCTCAGCAAAAGCCCTTGGGGTGCATTCAACAACATCATCATCAATGGCCTCGACATCAATCATTGCAGGTTGAGTAATCTGTGGCTGCTGGTCAGCTTGAACTTCTTGAGGCCCCAACTGAGTTGAAGGTCCCTCCAGCTCACGATTCTCGCCAGCCAGTACACGGTTGGGGTCACCTGGTAAGTTAAGGTCAATGTCCAAGACTGTCTTCTTCCGCCTGTAACTTTTGACAGCAGGCCCCTTGCCTGTCCTGGAGCTCATCTCGGTATAATGTTCCTGTATCAGAGATGCAATCTGAAAAACTCAATATCATAACAAATAAGAATAAAGATTGCACTATGACACGTATCTAGGTACTGAAAAAATGTAAAATAATCCAAAATAATATAAAAAGTACTATTATTAAGGGCAGTGACATAAGTACTATTATCCCGTCAGAATTTGAGTTTTACCTCAGTAATATGCGTAATAAAGGTTAAATTAAAGATCAGCACACCAACATTAAAGGTCGACGCATATTACCAAGATGAAACTCTAATTCTGATTGGAAAGCCGCACCAACAAAACCTATGGTATAAGCTTTGTCCATAAAAAAACTATAACACGTGTATTCTTGTGAACGATGCGGCTTCTTGCAGTGATCATCCCAATTATACTACACACAGTCATCAAATTACCGCAGAATACATATATGAAGTAGTTGATGAAATCATAAGCACCAATACAAACAAAAAAAAAATAAAAATGCACAACACCAGAGGCGAATCCTTTACTAAAAGAAAACCTTATACACAAACTGAAAGAACACTTAGTCCGTCAGTTGTGATCGATCCATGAAAAAGTTGAAAACCCTAAGAAAATACACGCAAGAGACGAAACAGATAATCTATGGTTGTGAGCGATCCGAACAGAGATGAAAACCCTAGGATAATATACGGAAGCAAGAAAAGGAAAGTACCGATGGCGAAAAAGCGGTGGGGGAGAGGGCGAAAGTGAAGTAGGGAAGGGTTGGGAACTGAACGGGGAAGATAGTGAAGAGAAGGAAAAGGGGGTTTTGGTTTTGGACTTAAAAGGAAAAGAATGAAGGAAAGGGGAGAATGAAAGACTGTTGTGAACGGAGATGGGACTCGGGTCGAGACATAGCCACACGCATCCATCGAACCCAACGACTGCAAAACGTGGCCCTCCCCACTTAGCACGTGCTATTTTCAAAAAAAATTTCCATTATAAAACAAAATAAAAAATAATAAAAATCTTCCCTTTTCTCTGGTGAAATATAATAATAATATGATCTTAACCAGTTTGAACATATTGCTTTCAAAAAAAAAAAAATGTAATTTAGAAAAAAATTAATATCATCAAATTTTCCCGTACATTACACAGGCAGGCACATATATCACACATACCTTATATTTATTTATTTATTGACATACATAATTTATATTGTCTAATAATAATCAAGATTTATTTAGCGAGATTTTTAAGTACAACTATAGAAACAAATTATTTAATTCAAGATGCATAAATTTTTAATATATGTTTTTTATGTAACGGGTCAAAAATTCTTTTTTTTTTAATTCTTCTTAAATCTTAAAAATTATCACATTTATGAATGAATACTTTTTTTTTTCTACAATGACAAACTCTCATATAACCTTGAGTCCTCATTGTTAAAGGAAAGCAAATTTCTTTTATAAAAAAAAAATTAGGAGATAGTCATTCTTATTAAATCACATTATTATTATTATTTTTATATAATGAGTATTTAATTTTATTAATTTAATATAAATTTTGAAACTTGATAAACTATATCAAATTTAAAATAGATTTTTATTTCAAATGAGTTAAGTATAGTGTTATTATAATCTTAATTAGTCTGAATATGAATTTAAATTTAATTTACAAATTTTGATATATTATATCAATAAATACGACATTGATTTAAATTTTTTTATTTTCAAAATTTTCAAAAGTCTTGTCTTATTGTTATTTAATATAATAGAATATTTATCTTTAATTTTTTAAAATATTATAAATAATAATAAATTAGTTAACATTTTTTTTAGAGTTTAATTTAATTGATTCATACAGATAAAGATCATTTTTTTATGGTTAATAATAAGAAAATATTGTGTGTTTTATTTATAATGATAAAATTATCCTTATTTAATAAATCCCTTCTTGCTTTGTAGAGAGAGAAACGTTCTCATCCTCTGTTAAGATTTTTCAACCCTAAAATTTTTTCTTTGAGTGCTTGCACTGTTACACTACTAGTGATCTAAATTGTGATATATGGGAGTATACCAAGAAAGCTCCACTTGTGGATGATCTATGAAGGTAGAGGGAAGGTTAAAAGCATAGATCTTTTGAAAGAGGAGATGGAGTCTAAAGAAGAAATATATTTAATGGTTAAAAGTATGAAGAAAGTCAAGACAAACTCAAAAAGCACTATGGATGTGGTGATCCGCTTTTGCAAGGAAATACTTGCAATAATGATGTTTCAAATTAGGTGTGTTCTTTTCCTAAATCTTCGCTTTGCATGTCCTAAAAAGAAAAATTTATGGTTAGTAATTATTAGGATTTGGGTTTTAATAATAAAGAAATTATTAAATCGGTATTGGAAGAGTTAAATATTCTTTAAGATTTAGATGAACCTATCTCAAAGGTGAATGAGGCTCAAAACCTTTGCCTTGAAATTAAAGTCTCTCTAAGGGACTATGAACTATGGTGTAATCCATGGAAGTTCACTCTAGTTGTGAAATTGTTAGGTAAATCTATTAGTTTAATTTTCTTAATCAGAAGCTCATTAATATTTAGGGTAAAAATAGTAACATAAAAATCTTGAATCTTGATAAGATTTCCTTTGTTATAAAATTTTAGATTTTAGAATATTATAAATATGTCCTCTTTGAGGGCACTAGGTTAATTTTAGACCATTACCTCCTTGTGCAAAGGTGGAGGCCTTTATTTAGGCCATAAGATTATAACCTTAGGAGGATAACAACATGGGTTTGTGTCCCTGTCCTTCTCCTAGAACTATATAATGAGAATTTCTTTTGGCACGTTGATGCATGTTTGGAGTCCATGTTAAAAGTAGACCCTCATACTTCTCTACTATCCAAAGGGAGATTCGCTAGGATCTCTTTTAAGCTAGATTTAAATAGGAATTTAGTCCCCTCCTTTAAATCCCTAGGCTAAGAATTTATAGTGGAATATAAAGCTTTGCATCTAATTTGCTTTCATTATGAAAAATATAGATATAGAGTTAGGGGTGTTCATGGATTGGATTTTTAAAAAATCAATCTAGATCCATTTATAATCCAATTATATGGATTTGATTATAAACCAATCCATTTTAATTTTTCTAAAATCAATTTAAATTTGGTTTTAAAATTTGAATTTAGTTTAAAACCGGTTTTAAACCATTTTTTTACAGATGGTAAAAATATACTACAATTTTTATATTATTATTAAATTATTATAATAAAAAATATTTAAATTTTATAATAAATAACATAACATTATAGTTGTGTATATATATATATATATATATATATATATATATATATTTGTTAAGTATTAACATTTATTAAAAATAAAATATAAATATAATAAGTACTCTAACCCATTACATCTTTAAAAAGAATTAACAATACATGTCAAGAAAATATTTGCGTATATTTTAATTTATTAATAATATTTTTTTTATATTTTATTAAAGTAATAAATATTTAGATATATTCTAATTTTTATCATCTATCCATCATACAAATTAATTATATAAATTAAATTTTAAACTATTTAATTTTATTTTTTAATCAGTTTAAAAATAATTTTAAAATTTTAATTTAATTTAAATGATACTAAAATGTAGTTATTATTTCTTTTATTTGATTTTTCAAATTTATTTCTTCTCTCGTCAATCACTCACGTAAAATATTTTTTGTAGAAAGATAAAGATATGTATTTATTATATAATAAAAAAAAATTTAAAAATATTTTTATTTATGATATTGTCAAATAAATTATCATGACAATATAATATCATGTAAAATATTTTATTTACTTTTTAAAATTTTCATGTCATTCTATTTATTTAAATAATTTTTATTAATTTATTAAATAATATATTTTTTTATCTAAATAATAATAAATTTTCACTAAAATCATGTTTAAGAATTATATTGTATTGATTGGAATTTGAATTTAATATCACAAAAAGAACATTTTAATTTAGTAATTAAAAATACAAAAGGGATAAAGATGTAAAAATATTTATTATAATGATTTTAATATTATTTTAATGTTGGTACATTTTTTATCTATCATTTACATAAAAAATATAAATAAAATTTTGAAAGTATAATTATATTGTTATCTCATATATATATATATATATATATTGTTATTATATAAATTTTGTGTTGAAGAGAAAATAATATTTAAATTAATTTAATTTAAATGTGCGCTATTAGACTAATCCCAAACTCTTTTGAATTCGAGAATACACTTCTCTCTTGGCCTAGTTGATATTTTGACTTACGCAAAGGATGGGATTGAGACCTATTGTCCAGACTACACAAAAAATGTGTTAAAACCAGTTTTAAGGAAATATAATATAATTTTATAAAATAAAATTCAAATAATATCCAGACAAAAATAAAGTAGATTGAATATTTTATTTCTTTTAAAATCTGAATTTTTGAATCTAGTTTAGTTTGAGGTGTGGACTGGATTTTAGTATCTAGATTTTTTGCCCACCCTTACATAGAGTAGAGTCATGTACTAAATATATTAAGAATCACCAAGCTAGCTTAGACACAAGACCAATAGTTAGTAGTTCCAGGATACATAAGGAGACTAAACTTAGTGGTTCTAGAAACTCAAATTAGGGAGAGTGGTTAATTAGCCTATGAGGTAGTAGAAGTGGAAAGACATAATAGATTTGATTCTTGGATGTTGGCTAAGAAGCTTATTAGGAAAAAAATTTGGGCAAACCAGAAATACTAATAATTCTAACTTAAATAGGAAAGGTAAGGAGTTCCACAAGTTCTAAGTTTGGCATTCTAGGTATTACTGTCAAACAATATATGGAGTTCAATAATTTTGGAGTCTGTTAGGCACCAAAAACAAAAATAAAGAATTTAGAACAAGAATAAAAAGAACAGGAAATAATATAAGCAAAATTTAGACTAGTATTATTCCCAACAAGATGTTTGTATGGAGTGGATAAACTCCCAAAATAAAATGATTACAAAATAGAAAAATTGATGCCTAATACTATACACAAGTGGGGCATTTATAATCTATAAAATATAATAGAATGATGCAGTAAAACAAATCATAACAGATCAGTCTAAGGAAGTGGTGCACGTAAACAAATAACAATTACAAAGTCTAAGGATGTGGTATACATTCAACCTGATTTGTAATCCTCAGATATTGATTGCTGACTTGGTCAAAGCCTCCTCCCCTCTTAGTAGCTTGCACACGTTTCTTTCTCTAGAAATATGTGTATAGTGGCATTGTATCATTGCTTCCCTCGGGGAATGACACCTTGTCCTCAAGGTAGAAATCAGGAAACTACACTTTGAACAACTCATAGTTCTCCTATGTGGCTTCTTTTAGAGGACAAGAATTCCATTGAACTAGAGCTTAAGAGTTGGTAATCCTCCATCATTGACCTAATGATGATTCAAGATTTGTGAGGGTGACACAACTAGCTCCTAATTTGAAATAATAGGTAAAGGAGGTGGAGTAAAAGAAGTTTGAAGTCCATGGGCAGGTCTCAATAAGGTAGTGTTTGGATGCTGTCCCTAGACACTAGTGACAAAGACACAGAGACAATGAAGGATAAAGACATTGTGAGTAATGTCTGTGTATTGTGTTTGAATTTGAGTACAAAACATTGTGTATTCTGTCTTGTATTATGTTTGGTTCTAGGTATAGAGACACAAAATTGTTTGAAATGTCTTTAATGCCCCTGATTATTTTATAAAAAAACATTAATCCATCCTTATACCTCATACAAACCCAACCCTCTCTTTGTTACCCTTGTGTGTGCAAAACTTGCCACATCTTTCAATCTATGTTCTTCTGTCCTTTATCTACCTGAAAATGAACCCATCTTGTTACATCCCTTTACTCCAATCCTCGCTGT